CGCAGACTGGTCGTCAGAAGAGGGAAAGGAGGCAATATCGGTTCCCTCACTATACTCGTCGTCGCCATTCTCCCCATCCGACTGCAGAAGCTCCTGGGGCTGGTGTTCCTGCTGCCCAGGGGGGTGATGGGACTGCTCCGTCTCCCTTAGCATGCGCTGGACCTCAGTTTTCAAGTCGCCGCCTAAACTTGATACTGACGAGTCCGAGAATGAAAGAGTAGATGAGCGCACCATGGGCGTGGGAGCGAACTGGGGAGGTACAATTGTCGTGTCTGCATCCTGTTTGGGTTCGTCGGACAGGTACGACCTTTCGTAGACATCGATGAGCCCCAGACGACGCCTCCCGGCGAGGTCAAGGTGGTGGTGGAACGCAGACATGATGGCGCAGTGCTGAGGACTGGGCTGGTCCCTGAATCCTGTGCCTGTGTTGAAATTGACGATGGTCGAGTAAGCGTTTGTCTGCGGGCTGAGGCCGTAGAAGAGTCCACAGCGGAAGAATGTCATTTCTTGCAACTTTTGTAGTTGTGTATGCAGGATATCAACTTTTTGCTTTTTTATAGCACGCACAAAAAGATATAAAAAAAGAGGCGGCTCTCCTGTACGGATGTCCTCCCAGCCTCCTGCAACTAGTTCCCACCGAATTCAATATTTCCAGAAGAGGGGAAGTGACGTTTTTTACTCTTCCTTTTCTTTCAGTGGTGACTGAGTGTGGCTGGGTGTTGTTTGTTTGGTGAGCGGGGGAATCGGTCACTTGGTGGTTTTACTCGGTACAGGAGTTTGATATGCAGAAAACAGCAGCAAAAAGCAGTAGCTAAAAGGTTAGCTATGAAATCAGATGAGCCGTAGTCTCAGGTATCCTGGACAGGCTGTTTGTAGGATATATCACTTGCGAGCCTAAGGCGAAGGCCAGGCAGAGATTGAAGTCGAGACCGAAGGAGAGTAGAGTCAGATCGGTTGTCCACAGCGAATACACACGGGGAAGTCCCCCAGATGGGTTCCTGGGATGGAACCATGGTGGTGGGAAAGGATGGCCCCTAGTAGGCCATGCTGACGGCGCGTAGACGACGGGGTATTTTAAAAAGGTAGATAATTAAGAGAAAGCGAGACGAGATCAACGAGAAGGGATATATCACTACGGGGGGGTTCGTTCGATGGTATTATTGCCTTGTTCACTTCACTTCCACCAACAGATGACTTCAGCAACCTTGATGCAGTGGAAAACGGTAAAAGAAGAGCCGACTTGGAAGATGAGCTGTTGTTTCTGGCTGCTGAACATTCCTAATACTGAGCTGGTTAAGGCGCGCGAGAGCGAGTTTGGAGTCCTGCTTGAAGCACAGGGGGATATCGAGCTGAGTCTTGATCTGAACACCGGTCTTGAGGCCTGAGAGCATTTGGGTATGGCGGGTTAAATCTGGTGAGAGGGAGAGAGAGGTCGAGTTGAGCGAAGGAAGGGAGGCGGTAGGCTGGCTGAGGTTGAAATCAGGAGGACGAGAGGTCGCGCGTGAGTCCGACCTGGCTCATAGAGCTGCTGCGAAGGAGCAGGTTAAAAAGGCCTGGCGGAAGGGGAGTTCAGAGCTGGAGCTGCCGTCGTCTCGACAGCTAGACAGATACTATCGTCGTTTGTTCGTTTCTCTCGTGTAGCTGGCGTGGGTGTCGTGGATGGTGGAAGGTGGTTGTCGCTGTGACGTCGTAAAAATGAGGTTCTTGGAGTTGAGGAAAAAGTCAAAGAAAAAGAAAGGAAGACGAGCAGGTCGGCTGTGGCCGGCGTCATGGCTGACAAAACCGCGGAGGGTCGCCCGGTACTTCTGGCCGCGCGGGGAAACGCACCAAGTCAGAAAGTCACTCCGGCCCGCTGGCAGTTTCGATGGCGATGCACCGCCGCATAGCTGGCTGTTGTCTCTCAGGAGATCCTTCTGGCTGGCGCTGGCCGCTTCCTCCTTCACTGCGCATTTCTACGGCTACATCAGCTGCTCTCTAGGTCTGTCTCTGTCGACAGTCGTGTAGTTCTCTCTGGGGTCGAGTTACATTGAGTTTACGAGCTGCAGGGAACTGCTAACTAGTGGGCTGTGTTTGATATCTATCAGAAGGGATTTTTCAGCCAGGCAGCGGCATCGCCAGTCGTATCATCTATCATATGTGAGCAGCAGCGTCAGCGTCAGCAGCATCGGCATCAGCAGACTCGACTTCTCTCATTCTTGCCTTTCATCTTCTCTTCTTTTCTATTTGCTCTGCTACTTTGTCTAAACCAACTAACCCCTCGGTTTGCCCCAGAGAAGCCCTAAGAGAAAGTCTCCGTCATCCTGCGTCATGGCAAGGATGCTCCATCTCGCCGCATCTCCAGTCATTGGCTGGCTGGTTTGCACAGTGTTGAGGGCGACCGAGTTGGCCGAGTCGATGGATGAGTTGATGAGGATGTCTACCTGTTGACTGTCGCTGTCCATCGATCGCAGCAGAGAGTCGGTCATGGGCTGTAATAAGCCGTGTCGACGTCGTGCAGCTCAGCCAGCGTGTCAACCCGTCGTGTCTTGCACAGTTATATTAAGGAGCAAGCGGGCTGAAGGTGATACTTGATGATACTTTGAGCAGAGAACCCGCCGAACCACCTACCAAATACACGACCCAGACGGGCGTTCTCCCTTGCGGGCTTGAGTGTCTCTTCCAGCCCTGTTCGACTTTCACTTATGTACTCTCTGTTAAACAAAGGGATCTCTTTTTGTTTCTTTGGACGGGGATAGAGTTCGTCTCAACTCTGGTTCAACCAAGTAGTCAAGGCATTAAAATCATATTTCATCTTTTTTTCTTGTGCGTTGATGACCGGCGGGCCCTTTGTTTCGCTGTGGCCCCCCGGATGGTGACAGTCAACCGCGGATACGGGGATGAAAGATGGAGAAACACTTCCACGGCCAGGGTCGCCTCGCTCGCTCACCCATTGTTCTTTACGCGGCTCAAGAGTCTTTAGGTACTTCATCGCTACCTCCCATAAGCATTTCATCTAATGAGGAACTTGTCTGTCTGGCTCGCGGAATCAACCATCCTCCCGCCCGGCCAAAGAAGGCTCAGTCAAAGGGGGGAAGCACAAAGATGAATGACGAGATGGATCAAAATCAATCAATTAACCACCGAACGGCCTCCTGCTGCGCAAGATGAACGTATCAACGTTACTCTTATTGTCCCGGCACCATGGGTCATTCTCCTCATTGCTTAAGGGGGGTGTCCGTCCGTCAAGTCGGCCAGCAATCGTCGACTTGAATCACCAAATTTGGATATTATACAACCTCTCACCTCTCACCTCGCGCCTCTCTGGGCCCCCCCTTTGACCCAGCTAGTCAGCTCACTAATTAACTAGACCAGACCTGTTACCGTGTCCCGGGAAGAGGCACTTCTGGGTCCCGCCAGCTAGGACAACAAAAGAAGCCACTGCCACCGTGCATTGTTGTTTTGGCTTAATTCATCTTTACACCTATCGATGGTGACAGGGTCGACCGACCACCAGGCTGCATCTTGCCCGGTGCTCCCTCCGCATCGTGGCTGTTATGTAGCTAGTTGGTTACTCCTGGGGATGGCACAAGGGTTGATCTGCCTGCGGCACCAAGCCCTTCTGCTGTGCGCTCATCGGGCATTTAGTACCGAACTTCTCCCTCCTTCTCTGTCCCCCTCTCTTTTTCTCTCTCATCTCAAGCCATAGACTGGTTGGCTGGTTTCTTTTTTTATCTTCCCCTCGGACGGACCGTTGCTTGTTGTGATAGCTAAAACTACGGGCTAAGGGGGCTATGGCCCTCCCTGATATGACCCCCTTCTATCATAACATATAGACACCACCAACACCGCCAGCAACTGCAGCAAGTAGAAGAAGGACATGACATGGACAAGTGGAAACCAATTCATGTCTATTTCCATTTCTATTTCTGTTTCTTTTTTTTTCCATTTTTTTTTTTCTTATTAGACTTGAAGACTTTGCGGTCTTTGTCTTCCAATAACCAACTTTAAAGCGCTGGCTTCTTCTTCTTCGTCTCCTTCTCCCCCCTTCCCCTTCTCCTTCTTCATCGTCCTCTTTGTTCCTGCAAAGGCCCGCATGGGATGGTAGCCCAACGGCTTCTTCGATTCCATGGGATGTCCCGTCTCGGCCTCTGCGTTTCTGCTTCTTCTCCCACCGCTACGTCGTCTGTGCCTGCATCTGCTTCTCCCTGATCGTCTTCTTTTTTATATCCCCTGGAGTCTCCCGTGGTAACCAGCCCGCCAGACCCAAATATACCTCACTAGCAGAGAGAAGAAGATACATAACAACAAATAGATGCGGTGTCTGACTGCAGCCTGAGCTATTATTATAAGCGTCTTCTGCTGGCCCTGCATATCAAAAAAAGGAAGATTCCTTTCTTCCTCTTCTTCTTCTCCTTCTCCTTCTTCTTCTGCTACTACTACTACTACTACTACTACTACTTCTTCTTCTTCTTCTTCTTCACGATTCCCTGTCTCACTCAGAATAGAAACAAACCAACTCCCTTTGCTCGACATCCACTGGATCAGCCCCCCGACATAAAACAGAGGCTGTTCTTCTTTATCCCTCGTGTTTTACCTTGTTTTTCTTCCCCTGGCTGGCTCTTAGGCCGTCTATCTATCTATCTATCTACCAACGTCCATCTGCCTCGCAACTCTAGATACTCCTCCAGGACTCAATATCCCAGGGACCGTCCAGCTGCAGGACCTGCAGGACATCCAAAATAAACTGTTGCACCCAATCAGAAAATACAGATATTTCCCTCGATCATGACCTTACCCAGACACCTGGGATCGAGGACGCAAGCGGAAGACAAAGGTTATAGTCTGCCAGACACGATAGATGATTCGTTCCGTAACACGTTGGGCCTCCATGGTGAGATGCAGCCGCCCAGTTGCACGGCCAACAAAGGCCCTGCATTTCCATACGCTATTGATGGCGATACCCTCTTTCATGCAGGCCTGTCTTCGATGAAGCCTGGCAGTCTGCCTGTCCGCCGCTGGACAGACGACAACCTTTCATCTTTTCATCCGGGCCCAGCCCTGACCCCAGAGTCACTGATGCATCAACAGCAACACCAACTCCAGCAGCATGACCATGCCTTTGATGATCACGCGAGCGAACTGCTATTAACAGCAGCAGTAGTGGCAGCGGCAGCGGGGCCAGAAGGAGGAGGAGGTAGTAGTGGTGGAGGAGAAGGAGGAGGACAAGACCTGTTCAATGTCGATTCCGGTATGCTGTTTCAGGATCCAAAGGGACAGCTTGTTGAGCGTCCGTCCTCGCGGCCCACTGTCGGCAACTGGATGAACCAACAGATGTACAAGTATAGCCATAACCAGCAGCCGTCTGCAACAAGAAGACAATCACGCCAGCATAAATCAAATGGACAGCCTGCCACGTTGACAGCAATAAACGGAGATCTCCTGTTCTCAGACCATCCCGCTCTCTCATCCCCTCCTCCTTCATCGTCTTCATCATCGCCCTCTCCCGGTACCATGACATCCTACCAGATACAACAGCAACACAATACAACTGGTTTCAGCAGCGTTTAGAGAGCTTTGGCCTTCAGCAGATCGTCCAGTCTCCGGAGTGTCTTGACTCGACTACTACACCTATGTCCCATTCGCAGACTCCTCTGGATAGACGCGAGAGCCTGTCACATCTATCTACCGTCAGTGGAGGATCAAGCCATTCACCTCTCAATAGCAGCACACCAATGTCAACACCACGGTACGGTCCAAGTATCATGAGCCACCCAATACATAGCTCGCCGGTACCGGTTACAAATAATATCTCAGAGGCTTCCCCTTGTCAGAAACAACACCAACAGTATCAAGACCCATCAACCGTTGCGTCGGTAGCAAGCCACACATCGCCGCCTCCTCCACATCAGATACTCCCTTCTCAGCCTTGTGACGGCTCATCGGCCAGTTCATGGCATCCAGAGAGCATGGGTGTCTCTGTCTTTCACTGTTCTCAGCCCAATCTCCAATCTCATGAGCCTGAGCAATGGTGGACAACAACCTCGAACAGGAACTTACAGCCACCCTTCCCTCATGCAGGTTACTCCTCAGAAATGACATCTACATCCCTGCCATTCCGCCATCAACACCAACACCAACGATTCACTCATATACCAGATTCAATCCAAACCTCAGGCCTCATGATAGGCATGGATACCTCCTCATCTGAAATCAGCTCCTCCATCCAGCAGGGCCCCGTTCCCATGTCTGTGTCTCAACTATCTGGAGCCGAGGTAGCAATTCCACTAGCCTACTCTCTCCCTTACGTCCCACAGCATCATCAACGCTCCCATCAACATCCTCCTCCTATCCAAACAGCCCATAATACACCAGTTTCGCTTTCCCGCTCGGCACCAACGATATCTGCAGCTCCTCGCTCAGCCCCGGTAATATGTAGAAGAATGGCACACGGTTCTACTCCCCAACAATCGCCTAAATCAAGATACCATCTCCCACCACAGCAGAGACGTGCTCAACACGCCCGCAAAGCAGCCAGTTTCTCCGGCCAACTAAGTAAATGCACTAAATCAACCTCATCCAATGGCCCTACACATAACGGTGTCGGTAACAGCAGCAACAGCACCAATACCAATAACAACAATAATAATACCCACGGCTACAACACTGTCGTCAACAGAGCCGTCAAGAGCGTCTCGTTTGTCAATTTCACTCCCGAAGATAGTCACAAACTGCTCACTGGCGTTGCACCAAGCGGAAGTTCCAAGACCAAAGCTAGACGCGAGCAAGAAGCCCGTGACAAGAGACGAAAGCTCTCTGAAGCTGCTCTACTAGCTGTTCGTCGAGCAGGAGGCGATGTCGAAGCCCTAGAGGCCGTTTTATGTTAAACCACTTGCTTCTCTTTTAATAGTCATCAATATGATATCCGCTGGAGATTTCTTCACCCTGGGCCCCGGCATCAACTCTCAACTACCCTTAATAACTCTTGCATGCATTTACATAGGAACTGTTCTAATTCCTTTTCAAGCAGACACCGGCGTTATACTGCTTTTCTCTCTTGCATTACTTCCTCAGAACTCTCTTCTTCGTTTCCTATGTCGTTTACAGTACCATGACTTTCTTCCCACCCTTTCTTCCTGTTTGGCTAACTCCCCCGGGCGGCACTCTGTTGTACTTGATGATTTAAACTAGATTCCATCCATAGCATCTAAATGAATGATACTTAAACCTTGATTCAAAGGTAGGGGACTCCCCTTTCGCAGTGGCATGAAACGCGGACATATGAATGCCTCTTTGATACTCTAATGTCTTTATAGTTATCAATACAGAGACTGGGCCACCTGGAACAAACGTCAAAGCACCCGTAGTAAATCTGTTGAGAGATCCCACTTATTCAATGCCGAATAGCAAGTAATCTACCATGTTTTAGAATGAACGTAGCATACATAAGTTGCATTGCCGCCTGCATATGTGTCGAGCTATATATAACGTCTCCCCCCTTAATATGTATAACAGCGGATACCATGCAAAGAAGTAACCTCGCATGCGTCCGTTGAGTTTCCCCTGTCTCTTTGATCGACCAGAGGCGCAGATAACGACTTGAAGGAAATCAACGTGGCATGTCCGCCGGTAACAGGGTAATGATGGCCCAAGCCGTAAATAGATGAAAAAAAGTCTCCTTCAATAATGTAGCTATACGGAGATGGTCCACCAGTTGGTTCGCGAATAGTTGCAAAATCCAGCAGGTATTTTTTTCATTATTTTCATTCAAGTAATAAAGTCTAGAATGCAAATATATGTATGTCCAAAGAGATGATGAAACAGAGCACGGAGGCCATTCCACTTTGTAATTAGAAAGGGTGGGATGGAGGAAAAGTGGAAAAGTCCCACGCTTGAAAAAATAGTATACATATTGTACAAGAGTAAATGGATGGTGAGAACGGGGCTGGGTATAATGGTTGGAGTCTCATCTGGGTATGCCGGATGATGGATATGATATGCAGGTGAAAGCATGCTGCGGCTGTTGTCTTTCACTGTCCTGCCGCAGGTACTGTCCCTGGCACGTTGTCTATCCGTCTCACTGAAGCGTGGTGAATGGGGGCGAAGGAGAAGGGAAAAAAAGGGAGGAGCCAAGTCATCTCTTAGAGACGCTGGGATTCCATGACTCAGGCTGCCAGTTCTCGCTGGGTCCGCCTGCAGCTCTGTCCCATGGGTTTTTCATCTTCTTGCCTTCCTTTGCCTCAGACGGCTGTTGACCCTGCGGCGCTTCTGTCTTGCCGGCGCCCAGGGCCTTTCTCGTAGTGTGGTAGGATGGCTCGTGTGACTGGAGAGCTGGAGCACCCTGTTGTGCAGGTTTATCAAGGAAGGACGGCTTGCTTGCCCACCGCTCGTCCGCCTGTTGAGCTAGGTACTTGATTCTCTGCTGCCGTAGGAGTTCATTCTGTTGTTCTTCAATGCTAGGCGGCTCGGGTCGGACGTATCGAAGCCACTGATGCCATTGCGCTGTGTCCATCCATTCCGCAATTGTCAGCTATGCCTGTTGTTGGTTGTCTGTAAAATGCCGGACTTACGCGGGACCTTGACGTCGGCGTAGTGTATTTTAGGGCTTGCCTTCACAATGCGCCGAAACCGACCGGGCTTAAGAGAGTCCTTGAACTCCCAGTAGGTGTTGCCTGCGAGGTCGTTCCCTGTGTTGAAGAATTCCAATGTCAGCGTCGACTTTTCATGGAGCTGAAGCAAGAGTTAACTGGCAGGCTGCGTACCGACGAGGAACATCCTTCGCCAGGGAAGCTTAAGGCTCTTCCATTTGAACCAGAGACTGTTTATCGGACTCATATCTGGACGTTCCCTTCAACCTGCGTCACCGTGGCATAGCTGTTGATCGATGATTAAACAATTCTGTTCCTGTCGAGCGAAGATTGTGGCTGAGGCGAAAGTGGCGGACGTTCAGCCTTATTATAACTGGGCCGTCGCATCTAGATAAGTCAACAGCCAAACTAGATAACCAACCAGGAGGAGTACGTCACTCTCACAGCCAACACTCCTCGCATCCGACACAACCAGCGCCGGCAGACACCCATCTTCTCGCAGTTTTCTGGCGACAGAGTGCAGCCTGACTACTTTTACTATCATTGAGAGACGAAGGCGATGCTTGCGGCCTGCCAGACTGCCCCGCTGGTCTAGATAACATCCCGCCTCCTGACTATCACCTACAGACTCAGCAGTCGAACCGGACACAATGGCATCGGTTACGTCTCTAGACAAGGACCTGCGCAATATGCGACTGTCAAAATATACTCCTCAGGCTGCTAATGAGGTCCGAGACTGGATTGAAGAGACGCTGCAGGAGAAGCTGCCGAATGGCGACCTCCTAGAAGCCCTGCGCGACGGAGTGGCATTATGCAGGTACCTAGGCCTATTCCCTTCTGCAGCTCCTATTATCTTTTTATTTCTCTTTGCTTTTATTATCCATAGCTAACATGAGATTTGGTGAAGATTGGTAAACCTCGCTGTTGGCCCTCCCGGGGTCAAGTTCAAGCAGTCGAGCATGCCGTTCGTTCAGATGGAGAATATATCCCATTTCCTACACGCCTGTCAGAAGGCTCCTCTAAGTTTACCACCTCACGATGTTTTCCTGACGGTCGACCTCTACGAGTCAAAGGACCCTGCTCAGGTTCTACAGTGTCTTGGAGCGTTCAGTCGCAAAGCATACACTCTTCAGCCAAGCAGATTCCCACGGGCCATTGGGAAAAGTAAGGCCGGCGCACTGAGCCCTCAGATGAGTGGATCTAGTCAGGGTGGACGATTTGGTGCGCCATACTCTCGATCCCGTGGCCAGAGCAATGTCAGTGATGTAGGACGGGCCAGTCCAACTCTCCCATCCGGCCGAAGCAGTACCGCTTCACCGCCAACAAAGACCAGCGCATGGAGCAACAAGGCCGATGAGGCCAACACAGCACCGGCTTGGAACATTCACCAGTATGGCTACATAGGCGGTGCAAGCCAAGGGAACCTCGGTGTAACATTTGGTGCGCGACGGCAGATCACCACTGCTAGCCCCTCAGTGCCCAGCCTTGCTGAGAAGGAGAAACGACGGAGAGAAGAAGAAGAACTGGCTAAGCGAGAAGCAGAGGAAGCGGAGCAGCAGCGGGCAGCGCAGGAAGCTGAAGAACAACGCGCAAAAGAAGAAGAACAGCTACGTTGGGAAGAGGAAGAGAAGAAATTAAGAGAACAGGAACGGCAGAAGGTCGACGAGGAGAAGAGACGATGGCATGAGGAACAGCGTAGGTGGGAGCAGGAAGAGGCTCGCCAGCAGCAAGAGGAAAAAGAGCTAGAAGATAGGCTGGAAAAGGATAGGCTTCACAAGCGGGAGGCTGCGGATGCCAGGCTGAACGGGCAGTTTCTGAGCCAATACCAAACTTCCCAGAAACCCACCCGGGGGATAGCATCTCCATTGCTAGAGCAAAAGGCTGCTGCTTCTAGTGAAAGTGAACGTATCAAGGCACTGGAGCGTGAGCTGGAGAGAGCAAAAGAAAGAGAGAAGCAGTACGAGCTTGAACGTCAAGAGCTGGTTGCTTTACGCGGGTCTCCCCAGCCAGATGCCCGTCCCCAAGTTCGTTCGCCAAAACCAGACGGAAGCAGGCCAAATCAAACTCCGCAGAAACCCAGCTATGATCTAGCCTCTCAAGAACAGGAGCGTCGATTGCTTAGGGGTGAATGGAATGTACGCAACAAGGAGCAAAGACCAACAACTCCAACTGCTCCTTCACTACCACCTCGAGACCTCCCTACTCCTCCTGCAATGCCGCCCAGGAATACTGATCCGCCAACATCACCTCGCCCCCTTCCAGATCCTACCAACTATGCCAACAAGAATCAGAATCGCACAGATCGGTTCTTGCAAGAAAACCCTGCCCCTGTCCCTAGAAAGCCGGTCGCTTTCCGACCGCCGGAATTCTCATCCACAGCTGAAAGGGACGAGGAAGACCGACGACGTGTTGAGTCTACTCAAAAGACTCGAGCTGGCGGATGGGCTTCAAAGTCATTGCTTGAGAGGGAGATGGAACGCGAGCGTGAACGGCAGCGTGAATGGGAGGAGAACCAGGCCCAGACGAAAGACGCCGTCAACAGAGGCGTGAAGACCGCTGGTACCGGGCCAGGTGAGGGAGGATGGGACGTACATCAGTACGGATATATGGGAGGCGATAACCAGAATAATGCAGCGCCAGGAATCGGGTTCGGCGCTCGACGACAGATCATTGGTCCTCGTCCACCACGATAAATATGATGCAACTGGTATATACGGTAGGGTTGGAAAGGGAGAAACGAAGAGATATGTTTGTAACTGTTCCTACTAGAATGATTCAAGACATCATTGTCTATATTACATACATTCCTCGCTCATGGTGACTTTCCATAACTGGTTGGCGTGCGGCATGGGCCATGCATGCAGTGGTATCCAAGGTCCATATATTGATTGTTCTCTCTGGCCACGGTGTAGATTCACTATCATCATGGCTCAATGACAATGTATTCGGGATCCGGCTGCTTGGGTATAAGGGAGTTTATAAAATACACTATCCTATCTCCACTCTCAATGAGCCACACCCATCCAAACTCCTCCGTCAACTTCTTATTCTGGCCCCTTTTGATATCAATTCGAGCCTTCTTTGACCGGGCTTCGATCCCCTTTGAAACAGCATCCGCCAACTGAGGCCTGGAAAGTATCATCCCGCTACTTGCAAGGAGACGGATTAAAGACTCTAGCAGAATCGATACCTTTGCGTTGTCAATCACGCTGTGTGTCTTTGCAGTGAAAGGGAGGAAACACCGCTCCAGCTTAGTTTGACTCAGATACTTCTCTCTTGAGTTCGGTGCAGCATTTTCCAGCATGGTGAATAGCAGCATTTCGCAAAGAGTGGTCTGGCAGGCGGAAGGGAAATGAGTGAGTATAGATGGGGAAACGAAGAGTTGGAATGTAGGGAGCGGGAGGTGCCGGATAAACTCGACATAGAAGGAGTACAGCCTGTCCAGTGTCATGAAATGCTCCGGTATAGTGTTTGAAACACGAGATAGCAAGTGAAGAAGTCTTTGGCGGATAGTCAGTGAGTCCAGACTGCCCAGGTGGTCTAATTTGTCGTACTGAGCACTTATTGGGCCTTCGTCTTCATGATCAGAAGGGATATCATCTTTCCCAGATTTCTTCCTGGTAGATCTTCGCTGGCGCTTTACTCGGTTGGGGTCAGCCCTACTAGAACTGCCTGACGGCTTGTGCATAGGGTCATCTAGGTCCTCATCATCTTCCTCTTCCGGCTCAGGGTTGTCAAGATAATCTCCATAGATTTCCTCGTCGATGTTGATGTCACCTTTTCTCCGGGCAGCTTGAGCCTTGTCCTTTGTGACCTCTTGTAGCTCATTGCGGAAGATCTCTCTGAACTCGTTTGTGGATGATTGGGAGCCATCAGCAAAAATCGCCCTGAGAATTCTCCTGTCACTTCCTACGTGGTCTGAAGCAGTGGATATATAGGTGAACAGCAGGCTGTCTATCAGAACTGAGCAGTCTTTCTTGGATTTTGTGCCGGTATTAGGCATGTCGTTATATATCTTTTCTCTTGCCTTCCAGTCATCCTCCAGGATATCGCACATTAACTGTAGGAAGAGGTGCCAACGGGCCCATCTCTTGGGATGTAGGATAGAACAGTTAAGCGCCCACCCCACGACGTGCCAAAAGTCCTCCGCGCGTGACCATAATGAGTTCCCTTGCGCGAGATCTAAATTCAACGGTTCGACCCGTGTGCCGTCCGCGCCGCTCAGAGCCGACTCGCCATCAGTTGCATACCGGCTTTCATTCCTCGAATTGGCAAAGCGGTTAAAAACAAAGGTATCCCTGAACCGGCTATTAATAGGTCCCAAGTTCTTGTTGGCCAGATTAAGCAAATGTAGAGCAGAGTTAGACGCAGCGAGATATTCTTCTGACTTTGACCGCGTCGTCGTAGTAGGGTGTACAGTCAGTGTCGCGGCTAATGCGAGGTATTGCGACGGTGGAGCAAACACTTTTCCGGAGGCAGTAGACCGGGAGGATATAACGCTTGATAAGAGATTGAAGGCCTGTGAGTCTATACAGAGTCAGGTACAGTCAGAGCCAGCTATGGTGGGAATCTATATCCAGGTATGTTAAAGGGCGGGGCTTACAGAGTCTTTCTTCCAGATAAGCACTGCAGTAATGTCGGAGTTCGGACGGCAGAGCCTTTACCGAAAGATCGCCATGCCCTGAAGCCATGGAGTGGAAGTGGCAGGCCTTCTACAGTGCTGGGTGGCTTTTATGCAGGAGCACCAGGGGACAAGAGATGTTGAGAAGAAACTCCAAGATCTCCGCCAGCGGATGCTGCAGCGGGAGCTAAACCTAATCAGTCTCAACCTTCTTGACTTTGATAACCTCAACTTCGACGTCAATAGAAGATGACAATGTTAGATGTTGTTTTCTAGGAATTGTTTACTTCATACTGCTGAATCTGTGATACCCATAGCGATGCTTAAAGCCCTCTAGAACAATGTTGCGGCGCTTTCCTTTTCAATCGGATGCTATGTTTTTGTATTGGGCATTTTGATACGTTGAAGTGTCTCATCAAGTACGGAGTACTCCGTAGCTACTAGGGACATGTCTAGATGCGTCCTCAGTCTAAAGAAAAACTTTCGGATTCTTACTGGAGCCACTTAGAAGTTGGAGATCAAGCATCATGCACCCCTATCTTAGGTCGAGACCGGCCCAATAAAAGACATAACTATGTGGACAACTGCAGCGTTTATCAAGGCTTCCAGCCCTAATAATGAATCTAAAGGAGCGTTTCTCTTTATGAGTGAGACACACTGTGACACCATAGACAGAAAATATGAACGCCACCGAGGTCGTTAAGGTATAAAACCGCATGTCTCACTCATCCCGAATGGCAAACATAGCCACCGTCGCTTAAGGCGCAATTATTTGAACGGTTCAATGTTCCGAACATGTGGACTAGCAGATGTTTATTTTTGGACACTATTACGGAGCACACCGCAAGCTTGCTGGAGTTATGCTGGAAGGCCGATCCACAGGGCTAATTCTGGAGGCGACTATTGAGACGAAATGGAACACTGGTTTCGAATCCCGCTTGGTAGTTTCGAGATATTCATCTGTGCGTCTCAAGCGTCCAAGCAGACATCCTTGCTAGGCGGCTCCGAACTAAATATATACATGGATAAGATATGTCAGGGATAGATCTTGTCGACGTACTCCCTGCGCCAAAGCCGCTGCTCGGATTTTCGTGCTAAAGTTGTATATACCCACTGCATCTATGAACCCCCCTTTTTCAACATAAGCAAATTGATATGCTGCAAACCGAATATCCCCGTGAGGCATGTTTCTCATACGCGCTAAGCTAGATATCACATGCAAGGACGATCATTAAGCCACCAGGAGCAAGGTGGTACGTAAGTCCGCTTTGTTTTCCAGGTTTATTGCGACTGTTCGTTGTGAATATTCCTTGATAGTAGCAGCAATGAATTAATAAATTATCTAAGCAAAGCTGTACGGACTAATGCTATGGATTAAACATTCAGGAAAGCAATAGTAAAACAAAGCCCCCAAATTACGCTGGGAATCCGGTCGCCCTCTGGGGAAAAGAAAGAAAGAAATTGATACAAGTTGTAGCTTCCAAATTGATTCTAAATTGATCCTACAAAGGCCCCTTAAACTGTGATACTCCCCTACTAGTCTTCCGGGTCATCTGCCAACCATCCTATTCGCATGCGATGTGACTGTAAAATGCTAGTCAGAAATCAAGTATTATATGGAGGAGCAGGGCAGAAAACGGGGCTCAACTTACTATGGGTAGCTTTGGGATGACAACCCCGAGAACAGCTAGGAAGTTGATGATGAAATATGTCAAATCATAGTGGGTGTAATGCGTGCTCAGGAGGAAGAGGATGATGGGAACGCTTAAAAGGAATTTTTTGGCCGGTGTATATTGATCACCATTGTCGATTTGTTCCCACATGTTGAGGTTATCGTAGGCTCCGCCGTTGAATTCAAAGGGCACCCCTCTCACCCAATGAAACATGAGGAAGGAGCCGAACATATAGGAGATATTGGTGAGTGTCCATGAGGTCTCCTGGGACACACCTGGTATAATATCATAGAATATTTTCAACGCTATGATGAGGACAAAATGGATCGTCCACGCTCCTAAGTTATGTCTTGTCAGTTATGGAAGCCCTGCGAATTTCATAACCGTGGGATATGGAGTTAAGCTGCCCACCTTTTGCGTTGACCCAGTTTGCATTCAGATTCGGTAGGGCAGCCTGGTCACTTGTGTGTTCTATAGACTCCGGAGGTTCCTGGTATATGATACTACTAGACCTCCTTCTCCGTCCTGTCTTGGCCTGACTCATTCCCGTATCTGGTGATAGATGAGAAGAAGCCTGTGTTGCCCGTGGCTCCAGCGTGGACGAAAAGGAGGTTCTCGGTACGATAATGGGAGACAGTTTGGCGGTATTGAGAGATTGTGTAGCTACAGCCGGTTCAACGTAGGAAGTAGGTTGGGAGAGAAGGGAGAAGGCCCTGGTATACGAGGTGCGCCGTGTTATATCGACTTATCGAAAGCCGTTGAGCTGGCCACTTCAAGGAGTCAAAGGAGGACGTGTGTAAGGCTGGCAAATGCTGTCAGGCGGGGAAGCAGAGAACCGATCCGAGGGATGACAGGGAGCAGGGCGTGTTGCAGGATACACAAGCGAGTGGCTCGTAGACTTATATGGGGGCGGAGGAATAGCCTGGCAGAGACGACCGACGACAGGCAGGATATTGGACGAGCGATGCAAGGTTGAGCAGAAGAAAAAAGCGATGGCCAGAACTGAACCAGAGCAGGCCTTGAATTTATAATAATGCAGGAGAATAAACGAATAACCCTGGCGGATGCTATGCGACTGTCTGGCGCGTGTCGGTTGGAGTCGAGCTTGCTTCGATGCTTGAGTTGCCTGCTGGTTGGTTTCTTCTTCTGCTTGCGTGGTGGTTTCTTCAAGCTCCGAGACACTTGATTGCTGACTAACACGCGGCCCGGCTTCCACGCTTCTCTTTTTTTGCCCTTTCGACCTTTTTTTTTAGTTACTTGGAGAGAGACAAGCAGGAGCAACAGCGACAAAGGCGACTGACTATCCACAACGCCTGGCCTCGAGTATCAGGCTGCAGGTAAGCTTTATCTGGCTGCCATATCCCGCCGGGGACCTAATCAGAACTAATGCTGACTTACTAACAACAATAATAGGAGAGAAAAAGGGTTCGCCCGAGATGTCAGGCGCAGCGGAAGATGCAGCTTGCGACTCGCGTACCGCGTCTGTCGGCATTGCGCCAGCCAAAGGAGCCCAGCGAGTAGCTTCGTGGAGTGGAGGCGCTGGAAAGCAGCTGTCTGTCAACTGGAATAATGTGCGGAAGGGAAAAGTACGGACTGCCCTTAGACGACCCGCGTCAAAACCTGCGAACTCGACCAACTCGTTCAACAAGGTGAATGGGGAGTACTGGCGCAGTGGGAGTGCCTCTGAAGATGAGTCTGAGGCCGGGACTCGCGCAAAGGATATCAATGCCTTAGCAAAGGGCGGCAGTGACGTGGATAGCGATCGTTCCACTGATGATTCTACCGATCCTTCGGATGTTGACGACAATGACAGCTCTATCTTGTTGAATATGGACCAACCAAACACAGAGAATCTACAGCTGGACGCGCATCTAGAACCGCAACCTGAACCGCAGTCTATATCCACCAACGAGGAACAACCACCAATGCAACCTGATACGACCAGCACGATTGAAATTAAAGAAGAAACTATACCAGTGGTAATCGAACCGCCTGCTGTTAAGATTGAAAATATAGACACAGCTGCACAAACAGCCTTCTCATCGAAGTACAGCGTGCCACCTCGGACAATTGCGGAGTTGAACGCGGAAGATTTTAAGAAGCAGTTAAAATACCTGCACTACAACAGTACTGGAAACCCTGATCCCACGACACCTGTCAGATGTACAGACTGCTTTCGAGAAGGGCATCTATCTGATATCTGCCCCAGTAAAAAGGTAAGTATGGTTGTTCTACCACTACCTGTCTGTGTGCCCTAACTCCTACAAATATAGTGCGAGCATTGCGGTGCATGGGAAGCCCATGAGTCCAGATTTTGCCCTACTTGGCGAAGGTGCCAGAAATGCAGAGAACGAGGCCATGACAAGGCCTCATGTTCAGCACCTCTTCAGGGGTCTGCTGCGGAGGTTCCCTGCGATTTATGCGGCTCTGACCGGCACATCGAGTCCCAGTGTGATTTAATGTGGAAGCAACCACATCCCACACATCCCTCTGGGAAGCTATTTATTTCGATATCATGTGCGCAGTGCACCAGCTCTCAACATCTTATCGGAGACTGCCCGTCTGTGGGCGCTCCATTACACTCTACGTCTTGGAGCCTAAAAGCGTTTGATCCTTCCATAATCTCCAACACAAGTCTGTCATCTACCAATGCACCAAATGGGAGAGCAAATGGCGCCATTCCACAATTGAAAATCAAGGGGCGTGCACAAAGGGAACCAACTCCAGAAGAGCACGAACTTCATATAAGATCACGTCCTCATCCACCTTCAGCACCTCGTTCAAACATTAGATTCGCCGAGGGTCTTGGACGTGGGCGGAACCTAAGCTCAAACCAATCCCGCTCCAATGATGGTGGAAACGATCGCTACACACCTCGGGATTCTCACCGCGACTACCGCGAACGAGACCAGTACTTTGGCTCCAATTCCCGTCCTCGTTCTCGTTCTCCAGAGTCACGGTATGGTGGAAATCATCATAGACCACCCCTCCCGCCTAGTCGTGGAAGAGGCCCACCACCGCCTTCTCGTAATCCTGGCAGGGATCGAGGAAGGGGTAGAGGTGGTAGCGGCGGTGGCCAGCATGGTGGGAAAGACTCTTCAAGGCCTATGCCTGGTCGAGGTAAGCGGAAAGGCAATCGAAACTCTTGAACGGCCTACGTCATGAATCTCCCAAGGTGATATAGTATTAGAGATTTTGGATACCTAGATTATCCCTATTATCTCGCGGGATTGAAGCCCAGTGTTAATGTGCGGTGAACCTCTACTTGTTCTCCATACCTGAGAGTCACGGTCCAAATTGACTATTTGTGACACTAGACGTGCTCAGCGGTATTGCCGGATTTTCCACGCTACCTTTTTAAGAGCCTTGGTGCCCTGCGACTTATCTTTCAAATATATTTGTGAATGCCACTTCCATTGCCGAATGGGCCCGGAAGTTGAACATGCTAGCACTAACGCTCCATCGGAAACTAAATGCACCCATCAGGGCACAGTTTCTTCGGGAGATGCCGTACCAAAGGCGCAGCCCAGTCAACATTAGAACTAGCGACCGGCTGCCCGCCCGGTCCATGACGGCACCAGATATACAGGATATTACAACGCAGAGTCAACGCCCGGAAGGGGTTGCTGTTCATCCTCCTACGAGACTCCATTCATACTATAATGATAAAAAGGCAAATGTTCATTGTCTTTGCATAATCCGTAGGGCCTACTGTAAATCTAGCATCTATTTATCTAAGCTCAAGACCTTTCCCTAGTTCCACGGAAACCAGTCTCGAGCACATTGATCAAATCATCCAGGCGCTCAATACAGAGATCAGTGTGTTCGTGATCCTTCAGATCCTGGTTCCGTTCATTCAAGAGCAGCACGGTAGCAGCTCCGGCTTTATGTCCGGCCGTCATATCATCTAAACTATCACCGACCTACAAGGCTCGTTAGCTCTCTATACGGTATATTCTCGTCAAGCAGCCATAAATCCACCGTCATACGTACCATGATCAAATTATTAGCATCCTCGAGATCCCATGCTCGCGCAATGTGCAGTAGCCCAGCTGGGTCGGGCTTGGGCATTATATTTGGCGTATCCCGAGTTACAATTGGTGCAAATACATGAGTAGCCAGATGAGACTTAATAAGGTGGTTCACCGGGCCGCTTTCGCCATACAAATAGATGTCAGTAGGTCATCATATATATCAAACTGTTTTATGTGAGGGGTATACGTGGGGCAAGACTATTTAGCAACGTACTCAAAATTGCGTGTACACAGAGCTCGCTTGACTCCCTTTGAATTGAGATAGTCCATGAGCTCGACGAGTCCTGGCTGGGGAACCTGTTTTACCATTGCCTTGCGCTCAATGTCGCGGACCATCGCGATGGCGTCCGTCCTCGCCGTGAAGGTGGGCAGGCCTCGGATATGGTGAATTATATCAACACCTTTCTCTATACCGAGAGCATCCCTAAAGTAAATAAATCAGTGTGACATTTAACAAAGCTATAGAGGTAGATTTTGATCCTAGCTGGCATCTTACCGCATCTCTTGGAACATATAATGCTGTGGTAGGCTATATCCAAATCATACATTAGCTACCAGTTAGCTTCTCCGTGCACCAGTAACTTAAATATTTCATTCCAATGATACTTGGGGGAATACTTGCCATAGTGTCCCATCAACATCGAATACAATGCCCTTCAGAGCGGGTACACCTCCTTCGGCATTTAAGGGCGCAAATCTGCGTTGGGCCATTGTTGCTGGGGATAATGCCGATGCCGATACCGATGTTGCCGCCGTAGACAGTGAGCGTGAAGTATACCCAGATAGCAGTACTTGGGATGATCTATTGAAGAACATGGGGCTTCTCTAGCTGATAGGTATAAGTTATCGAAAAGTGAAATCAGACTCGGAACTCTTTATCTTGTAGAAAGCTTTTTATTAACCGTTCAAACGCCAAGACGGCTGTTAATATTTGATAGTAGCCAAACTAGCTACTTATCTCTATATTAAAGAAAGATAGAAGTTTATAACTATATATGAATTGTTAGTAACTAAATAATTTTACCCTGTAGAACAGTGAATGAGGAGAGATAAAGTCACTGACGTCGGTTATTTGCCGCTCGCTGAATATATTGGTTTATTAGACGCGCGGCTGTTACGAAGTAACTAGTTATTGCTTTGAGAAGACCTAGTTTGTCCCTAACTATTTATCCTCGTTCCCGTGGCGAATTAATGTCTCTATTAACACTATTGCAATCCCTTAGTATACTAGCAGAAGCTAGAAGGGGAGGCCCTATCGCTAGGCTGGCATATGTTGGACCACAAGGGACAAAAAGGCCTAATGCCCCAAGGAATCCTTGGGTAATGAGTGCGAGTCGTAGCTAATGGAGTATTCCAACAGCATATTCGACGTCCACTACAGTTTACTAAGAGCCTCAAGTCCCCAGTCATGTGTGTCTTCATTCCCTCTTTACTACTTAAATAATGACTGACAAAGATACTCTCTAGGTATGTTAATTTTGCACATGGCGATGAGGATCCTGCAGAGATATACAGCTCAAATCTCCATCCTCCTGGATATCATAGCTGGAGAGGATCCAAACAGCTTCCTCTGCCCCTGGTTTGGGGTTGGTCCTGTGATTTAAGAATCTTTCAACTGCTATTTGAATAGTCTTTATCAAAGACTCCCAATATCACCACGCTACGCGCTCGGCTCCTCTACGTTAGCTCAGAGGCTTCTGCGCGAGCCTCTCCCGATACCACTACACTACGCGCTCAAACCCCTTTTTTCAGTTAACTATGGGGCTCTCTCTCTCTAGGACTCTGCGACCAAGTTTTTCCCCTCCAACATTCGACATTCGTCACCTGGACGTTTGATGAATCAGCTTGTTCCAGTTGGCTTCGTGAGCTCAATAACTAGGCGCAGACTTCAATACCCGATAAACCTTGATACTTAAGCAACGCATGGAAATGAATATCGTCATCAACTGTTGGAACTGTGTTCGTAGCCATGACAACAAAGCCGTGTCTATAAAAGGCACCACCTCCCCTCAGTTTCGTGCTTTTCTTTTCATTTCATTTTCGCACATTTGCCATTTTTTCCCAAGCACGGAGCATTGAAATAGTTACTCCATACCCGTCACAATAGAACGGGACCCTATTTCGACGAAAAATTTGTCTTTTACAGTTCCAGTGTCTTTAACATGTGTCGAAAGGAAATTCAAAGACGTTCAGGATTTGCTTCACAATCCACTACCATCACTGCCGCCACCACCACAAGTTGAGCCATCTCTCAAAACCGTGTTGATGACCTTGATATAATCGACTCTCAGTCGGCTTCGTTCATCATGGCAGCTGTTTTGGAAACTTCGCCTGTCCGCCTCTCGCCAGATATCTCTACTCTACGCGCGAAACTGCCTTACGTCAACTACGAGCCGTCGCCACTGGGACCCGATAATCATGCTCATCCGCACGAATCACCTTTGCAAGAACAGCAGACACTCATACATGATACCGCTCCCATATCCTCACGCTGGAAGACCATCATGCCCACCTACGGCTCCCGACACATTTACGACGTGGCCGACTTCTCTCTCTGGTGTGAAGAAACTGCTGAATTTAAACATCCAACGCGGGAGCAGCAGAAATGGGTTCTCCGTCACTATCGCGCTAAGGAGGTACGCTTTGAATATCCGCTGATTATCGTGATCACGGACACGCCTCCGAAACCTCTGACCCTCACCATTGCAGGCGTTGCAGCGTTATTCGTGCCGGATGCCCCTCTCGGCACAGGCTTTAGTGTGAACACGGCCTATGCATCGCCTCGCGTGCCGGACCCTTCTCCGGTTACTCTCAAAAGATGGATGGCACCCACTAGGAGAGATTCAGATCTCATACTCAAATCCCTGGCTCGGCTGTGCAATATCAAGGCTATAAACTGGTTCGGAGTCTACTGTTATGTTGAACTACATACCGGCGATGGTAGATCTTACGGACGGCACTCACTTCCTGGTCTTGTTGCGGGTAAAACCACAACATATCATCATTCAAGCAGAGGATTCTGGGATGAAATGAAGAGTTTGTCTCTAATAAGGCGTATCGACCCGCAAGAAGTCGATGTGTTTCCACCTTTGCAAGATCGAACAAACTATCTTCTAGAAGGAAACGGAGCGTTGCAACCTGGAGTTCGACTTGCAAGCAGTGTGAATTCTGCTGAGACATCCTTGGATCTTGAACTTGCTACCAGCTGTGGTGTACTACTTCGCAATTCCACCGGCCAGATTGTTGTAACTGCTGCCAACCATAGAATGCAGCACTCGTCGGACGTGTATCATCCCAGCACAGCTACCGGAACTAAGATTGGAACTGTTGTCGAAAGATGGCTTGCACAGGATGTTGCAATGGTCAATCTGATTCCGGCAGTTCGCTTTTCGAATGATCGGTACTTCCAGGCCACTGCACCTAAACGCCTTGTCAGATCAGACTACGTGCCAAATGGAGCATGGTGTTCTTGTGACGGGATGTCCACCGGTGTTGTCTTCTTGCACTGCCATGGCTCTCGTATTTCAGACATTCATATGGAAGTTACAAATGGGATAAATATCGCGAAAGTTTACTACAGCACAGAAAAACTATATAGCACGTTTGGGCCGGTTGGGGGGCAACTATCTGATGGGATATGCGGTGCACCCATAGTTGAAGAACGATCGGATGGTTCAGGCGGAGGTGTCTGTGGCCTTTTCCGTTATGGCAATGAGTCAATCGCTGTTTGCCCTGTGCTAGACGACATCATAGATGCTGGTTGGCAACTGTATTAGCTTTTTTGTGTGGTGTTGGACCACAAGGGACAAAAATGCCTTATGCCCCAAGGATACCTTGGGTAATGTGTGCGAGTCATAGCTTTAACCGCTGAACTAAAATTGCAATAAATAAATACTCCTTTATATATCTGTTCACGAGGAATTGGCGTACCTAGGGCGGGTACTTAAAGCTGCGGACTTTAATGCCGTAATACCTAAGGTGATAGCACCAATTAGTTATGATATCGAGATGTCAGAGTGGCTAGTGTCCAGGAAAACATATACCCTCAACAGCGGATGGATGACGGACTCTGGGTAAGCCCCTAAGTGGATACACAACCAAGCGCGGGCGGAAGGGAACATTCGTATGCTCCAACATATACGCTGTGGACTGTGGGCTACATTCTCAACTTGCCATCAATTGTTCTATTTAGTGAGACGTCGCCCCTCCAACTATGCAATTCTCCCTTCCTTATTATCGGGATGCTGGTCAATTACCAGGGCCTCTTCCTGATCAGAACGAGATTGAACAGGCAACACGAAATCTTATGAAATCAGATTATAGTGGGCGCCTGGTCGTGATTAGAGACAAATATGTTGTGAAATATGGCCCACTTATAAGTGAAAATGAGGGATATGCTCTACTTTTTGTTGAAGAACAGCTCAGTATCGCGGCGCCACGACTCTACGCCATGTACCGCGATGGGGACGCCCTGTATATCGTCATGGAATACATACCCGGCATTTCTCTAGGGATGGCGTGGTCTTCGCTCACTGAGGCAAATAAACACTCGATTGTTGGACAATTACGATGCATCTTCGATCAAATAAGCGCCAGGATTTTACGGCAGTGTCGACCGAGGACCCGTTCCCCATAGGTATTTTTATTCTCGTGAAAAAGACCCTTCTGTTACCGGCCCTTTTCAGACGGAAGAAGACTTCGGAAAAGCTATCGCACTTCGCTCAAAAATTATATGGAGCAAATCAATTAGTCGCAGCTTTCACTCCGACTATCTTGCTCGCTACCTCCCATCAGCACTTCGCAATCATCCGCCTATGTTCACCCACGGAGATCTCTACAGAGAGAATGTTCTTGTCAAAAAGGTCGTCGATTCTGTCACAAATGAAGAAGAGTATGAGGTAGCTGCTCTTGTGGACTGGGAAACGGCTGGATGGTATCCTTCTTACTGGGAATACGGTCATATCTTTCCCCTATTACGGTGGATTGATGACTGGCCGGAATATGTTGAGAAGATTCTCGATCCCTTTCCGCTAGAGGGCGCCATGATGCAGGTTGTCTTTACTAATATGGAGTTCTAATGTGAGATAATGCAGTACATCTCAAAACTGGTGTCACCACTTACACCTATATCCAGCACTTAACTAACTAGCTAACAAAGACTGCTCTATCTGTAACTATAACTACGCTAGATATATCTAGTTAATACAGTACTAGTGATGATCTACTTTTCAATCCGGAAGCTTCTTGATCCCGGATCCAGATACATCGACAAGTCCTGCATGCAACAGCCTTAGTAAGATGGGCCGCTTTTGAGTTGTCTCTGCGCAAAAACAGAATGATATACACAAGTTTAAATTGTGAGGCCGGATACTTGCACTTTCATTGAGTGTTTGATACCGAAAATTTTCAGAAATAGCTCATTTAAATCCCTAGATCACAAACGCTCTCCATGACACCGTGATAACCAACCCACCTATGTGATTGTTCCCCTCTCCCTCAACGACGCCTACACTACCCCTGAATTCACAGCAACCAACAAACTTGAACGTCAAATCTCCTACTCTCTACTGCCACGCCTCTCGTTTTGACCTCACGACACCTTTGTTCCTCTGATAATCGGCATCTCCTGCATCTACAATTTTCGCCGCTTCCAGTCTCCCCAACACATCAAGAATGAAATCCTGACAGCTATAGTCTGATTCCTCGTTGCGAACCGGGGTTTCCCAAGCAATATTTTTAACAGCCTCAATCTTAGCTGTTTCGATTTCAAAAAGTGGACAAAGTTCAACGAGAGAAGTCGACTCTCGTGCATCAGAGCGGATTCTGACATCCCGGAAATACCGCTGGCGAGCACCAAGGAGATGAATGATTGTTTTGTCTGGTTTTTGCTCGGTGTCGATAAATAGACTCCAGTGCTTGATGCCTGGGTTGTCGGATATAGCTACCATGAGCGGAGTAGTGGGTGCCATTATGACTTTCCGGCTTTCCGTGAGGTTTTCCCTAGATTCCTTCTTTTCTTTGGAATAGTAGAAGCAGCAAGAAAGTGAGCCCGCATAGCTTCTTCCGTGAAATCTGAACATGAGTATTGCTACTAAGCTTGGTGGCTTACGCTTTCACAAATCTGGTTGTTGATCTCCGTTAAGTATAGCATTCCAGCTTGATGGTGTTAAAACGACTCTGACTAGGGAAGTTTAAACCAAATAGGGCTAAATTTATGCAATGACTAATATAAAATGACTCAATATCATGATATAAGTGGCCAGTTTAAAGAAGAGAGTTTCAGTTTACATCTAATAGATGCAGTTTATATCGAGGTTAATCAACTCCAAGGAACGTTAAGAGTAACATCCACACAATTTGTCCGATACTGGATGAACAATTATAATCATTTCAAGCATGAAGAGTAGTCTAACGAACAAGCTAGCAAACTACCTTGACCACTATAAGTCGACATCGAAGGATTCAAAAGTAGAAGGAGAAATGGAATGTATAAGGGTACCTTTTCCCAGAGCCCACGTAGAAGAGAAATAAACCGAAGAATCACCAAACGTAGAAGAAAGGAAAAGAACCATATACATGCATCCAATCGTACGTATCAAGTGGCACAAACGAAACTGGAGGACGTGCTGAGGAAGAGATGAAGGGGGCAAGAATTAAACGAGTGCTAGTTAGGCAAATGAAGTGAAGAGTTCATAGTCTGCATCAATAATAAACATATGAGGAGGTATCTTTCTCCAAATGATTCATTAATTTTGGGTTTTGGGAGGGATTGTTTTTCTGTGTTTCTTTTTGCGGGGAAGGGGATGATTTTTTTGGTATAGCAGGCGCTTTGCGTTGGCGGGAAGAGTTGACTCGCTGGCTGTGCTGAACGCTATTTATCAAAGGGCAAAAGTGGAATCGGATGAGGGTGGGATGGTACATGATATTCAAACGGAATCAACATCAGCAATCAACGCCCATGGGGGGAGACGAGAAAGGGGAAAAAGGGGGGAATTAAGACTTGATCTAAGATTCAAGCGGGTAAGTAACGTGGCGGGTGTAAAAGCAAGAAAGAAGAAGTAATGGCAAAAAATGGCAGAAAGCAGAATCAGTAGTCGTCATAATCATACTGGGGTCGCTGAGAGCCCAGGGTTCCGTTATTTTTACCAGAGCTGGTCAATGGTCGGGGACCAGTTGGTTTTCGTTGTGGGACGCCTCGTCCCGGAGAAGATCTGGATGGGGAGCCATTGTTCTAGGGAGGGTTAGTATATCTGACATTACGAAGTGGATGCTTGAGGTTGGTACTTACAACATGGTCAACCATACGAGCTGTGCCTTCTCGCATCGCCATGCGCTCTGCATAGCTTGGGTTCGCATCATCGCTTAACTTCGATGAGCGATGTGGTATCAAGGGACCATCGTCTCTGACCTTAGGTGGTCGTGGAGGGCCGGATTGGCTCATTACTGATGACCCGACTGAATAAGCACCTGCAGACATGGGGCGGTGGTTATCTGCTGCGCTGGAAGGGCGGTCACGGTTAAGTGCCCCGAGAGTTGGGTTTGAGGCCCAGGCATCGGAGTTAGGGGATGTGGGGGCGCCGTAGTGCTGGGCTTGGGATTCAAGCTGCGTCTGGTACCGGGATGTAGGGCCCTGGCGGGGTTGGGGGTGTTGAAGGTTCAAGCTATCTCTATGAGCTCTGTATTTGGGATTTTCAGAAAGCTGGGAAGGGACAAGCGGAGAGGGGGGACGGTTCTCTGTGCCCATGGCATCTTTGTTGACGCTTGTGTTGGAGCGGAGCCGGTCATCGCCGCGGTGGTCATAGTATTCGGCGGTGGTATAGTTTGCATTTTCCAAATCGGAGTTTGATCTCGATGCTTCGGAGGAGAAACGCTCCTTGCGGCTTGGCTGGATGCTGTTGCGGAGGTTCTCACCCATGGACGATGCAGTCGTTCTGGACCAGCGGGAGATCTTGGGGAAGAAAGAGGAGCTGCTTGATTTGGTCTTGCGGGATTTTTCATTGGACATCTTGGGCGTTGTGTCTGCACTTGGAGGCGAAGCAACGGGGACTCGCTCGGGGGTTGCCAGGGGCACTGAAGCACCTCGTTTATGGCGGCCGACGAAACGAGAGCCAGGGGGCGTTGGGTTCTCGAGAATATCCTGCTCGTCACGAGTCAAGGTGTCGTCTTCGTTTTCTTCCTTGACGGGGCTAATATTGCGCTGGGAAGACTGTACTCGTCCCTCACTCGTGCGGTGCGGGGAGTTATACAGTGATTGCTCAGCCGTAGCAGCAGCAGTATTAGCACCGCGTTCTTCGTCATCCTCATACCCATCTGCAGCGCCGTGTCCGTTGACATGTACATTCTCAGCCGAGTTACCCAGGGCAGGAGCTCGGCCTTCCTGCGCAGCTCGCAGAGCCTCGACTTCCGTTAACAGATGAAGAAGCATTTCCTCGATATTAGTCAGATCACCCGAACTTTTCAAACTAAGAGTTTTCAAAGCCCGCTTGAATACATTTTTCTTCTTGGAGCGCAAATCCTCCTCAAAGTCGCTGGACATTTTGCTGTGCGTGCGAGGAGTGATCATCGGCCGGGGACCACCAATGGCCTTCTGGGTACGGTCATGGCCCTTGGAGTTTGCGTCGAGAAGCAACTCATCTTGCTGGGCGATGTACTTCTTCATATCCTCGAAGGAGTTGCGCATTTCAGCTGCGCTGCGGACAAGGGTGATCAGGATCTCGGTGTCTCTTGCATTTCGTTGGGCGTCACGAACGGTCAACTGGTTACAACGTTAGTACTGGCTGGGCTGATTGATGTATAGCTTTGTAGTATGTTGATGAAGTGTAACTTACATGGTCCATGAGCGCGACGATATCCTTGGACTGGATCCTATCGATACCTCGACCGGTCGAGCTATCGTACAAGGGCGAAGGCATGCCATGGGAATACCCGCTCAAATGCCGCTTATGTTTATCATTAAACGGATCATCAGCCTCCATTGGACTTCCAAGGCCACCAACGATATCATTCGACAAATCGAATCCTTTACCCTTTGGCTCTGGCGTAGCACTGCTGTTAGATCTATGGTTCGCACCAGACATGTACCCTTCATCTCGCGGGTTGGGAGACACCATATCGAAATGATCGTTGCCATAGGTATTGGGACCAAGGCTTTTGTCCATATCATAATGGTCCCGACCGGCCTCTTCCGAGATGACGCCTAAACCAGCCGCAGCACCGTAGCCAGCGCCCGTTAGATCGGCGTCGTCGAGCTCTCGCTCGGGGGAGAGGATCTGTCTCCCTGATTGGGGCGGACTGGGTTCGTAGGGCCAATGGTCGCGGCTTTCGTGGGGGACCCCGCCAATGGGGCCCTGAATAATTGAAGGGTTGGTGTTGATTTCTGAATCAGTGTCGACCATGTGGCCTATTTCAGGGATCGGGCTACCGGAGGTGGGCAGAGCGTTGGCACCAAGGATAGGCCTGTCTTCTTCATATTCCTCATCTTCATCAGACTGTGCAGTACTGTGCGGTGGAGATGTTACGCCCATGCGTTCGTGGAATGGACGTTCATCAACGCTCGGTGGTCCCGCTGGTTGCTCTCTTGTTCTGTCCTCCTCTTCATCGAGATCAAGATCGTGATCATGATCGAGATCTTCGTCCTCTTCGTCTTCATAAGGCTCTTCTTCCTCTGCCGGGCCATGTTCGTCATGGTCCTCCTCTTCTGCTTCATGTTCGTCTTCCTCGTTGAGGTCCATGTGTCTGCTTGGCTCCTCACCTTCGCCTTCCATGCCAGGGGTATAGCTCCTTGACGAGCGGTTGACAAGCGGATGTGGCGAGCGAGTAGAAACCTGCGAAGGATCCAGAAGAGAGGCAACTGCCGACTCAACTCCAAGGGGAGCATGTACGTACTGCACATTCGTAGCGCGGCCACCGGCAATCTGCTGCCCGTGGTCAAGAGGGTCGGTAAAAGTGTCATCGGTATAAGCAGTCAGGTGTTTTGAGTCGGTATCGTCATGGTCCCAGTAGCTAGGCGAGTTCCTCTGTGATTCACCAATATCCAGCTTGGATCCCAGCTCTTCGTCTGGAATGGTGGGAGGGTGGCGGTGGCTGTAGTCTGCGGTTCGAGTTGATCTGGCTAGATCAGTGCTTGCGGCTGAGGAGAGAGACTCGATTGACAGTCGTTGTGGCTGCTTGGAAGCGTCATCACCTTCCTGGCCGGGAGTCAAGCTGCGATTGTGATGATCATCGGCCTGGTAGCTAGCCACGCTCTGGATGGGGCTGAGAGCACGGTTATTAGAGAAATCAACGTCGTCATGATGTGGGTCGAAGAGGGCCTTTGGAGTTGGAGACTCGTTGTATTCATGGGTAACCTCCTCCGACAGACCGCTACCTAGATCTCTGAGATGGTGTTTGTTGCTATCAGGGGTCATGGGAGCTATGGGGGAAGCGAGTGCTCGGGGAGATCCCCTGGCCACTTCACCTTCGAGAGCAGTGGCGGTCTGGGCCGACTGCTGCGAGAGAATAGACTGCCTGGTCATATCGGAGTCAATACCGCTGCGGAAAGGCATGGGAGCAACATCGTGCTTCTGGAAGATGAGTTCAGTATCATTGAACCCGGCTCCGCCTCCGGCTCCACGACTACCGCTGGCAAGAGAGCTCTTGCTACGCTTATGGACCCTGTCTCGCCGGCCCAAGCTTGAGTTTGAATCATGGTGTTTTAGAGCTGCGGTGGTCAAGGCAGTTCCTACAATCTTAGCAGCCTCGGCATCACGTAGGCCTTTACTCTTCTTTCTGCTGACTCCTGGCGCTTCTACTGAGAGGAGGCTGGCCTGGCGGGACGAGCCGCTCCCTTCACGGCGGGGACTAGGTCGCTTCTCGCGTCTGCGTTCCTTGGACCTTGATGATTGGGAATCAGGAGACCGGACGGGCGACCTTGTATCGGCATCCAGACCTAGACTCCTCGAGACATCTGGAGCACTGGACCGTTTTGCAAGTTTTAAAGCCGCAGCATCCTCCTTGGAGGCCTTGTGGGCAATGCCAGCAGCACCAGCACCACGGCCAGCCTTGAGTCGGGCTAGAGGATCATCTTTCTGGTCCTTTTTGAGCTCCTTTAGCTCAGGCAAGATGAGCCGACGAATGGCATCTTCGACCGTCTCGAGCAGTTTAGGATTGTTGAGGGATGACCGAGAAGTGCCAGATTTGAAGGAGTACTGGTCACCGTTCCCTGTCTTACCGTTGTTTCCTGACGCAAGTGAAGTGCTGAGATAGCTTGACTCGGGACTGGCCATGTCTCTTTCTCTTTCTCTATGTTTACCAGCCCGTCTGGAGCTGTAATCCAAGGCACCCGAGGAGCTTCCTTCTCCATAACGTTGCTTTGAGCGAGTACGGTCCCTTGAAGCAACAGCAGAACCGCTGATCTTCTCAGCGGCCTTTTGAGCAATCCTCTCACGGCTGAGACTTCGACTGCGTCTTCTGGAGGGAGTCTTGAGCAAGTCACGCGAGTCCGTAGCCGGCTCAGTCTCATCTCCACTGAGGCTGTGGCTTCGACGGCGGTTAGTGTGAGTCTCGGACACGACGAGGGGACCATCGAGCATGCTGTCTGCCGGCATGGAGGAGATGTCCGAGGTAGGCTGGATGTATCTTGACGAGACCTCGCTGTCTCTGTTAACGATCTCGATCTCTAACGGATGGCCTCGCGAGGCACCTATATCATCCATTCCATCTGTCAGGGAGCTCAGACTGCCATCATCATCAGCTCCTGCTCCCCCGCCTCCACCTCTGTGGCTAGAAACATCCTTCGAGGACCTGGTGGGCGTGCTGAGCGAGATGCGTCTGGTATACGACGGTCTCCTCCCTCCGCTGTTCTCACTGATATGGATGCGGTCTCTGTCCCTGTCTCTGTCTCTATCCCGGCTCTTCCTGCTAGACGAAGGTGTGACTCTGACCCTGACGCTAGGCCGGGAGCTGATTCCACCGCTGCCCGACCCTTTCTTGCCGCCTTCGAAGTACTCTATGAGCAGCGAGGTCTGGGAGTGGTGCGAGGAGCGGGACATCTTCCCTCCACCACCGTCTTCACGGTCCCTGTCCCTGTCCCTCTCTCTGTCCCTTGGCCGCGAAGAACGACGGCGGGTGGAGATGGTGATGGGGCTGCCATCTTCCGGGATGGAGTACGACGTCTTGTCTGTCCGGCGAGAGAGGTCGGTGGCAAGATCGGTGGCTGTCCCGGTGGTGCTGGCGACTGTGGTGTCGAGGACAGACTCTGTCGGGGCCGGGAGGATGGGTCTGCGGGTGTCGACACCCATGGCTCTTCCCCTTCTTTTTTTGTCTCTTTTTCTCCTCTTTTTCCTGTTATTTCCTTTTTCAGCAGGCCACTATCATAGTCAGGTCGGCCGGTTGCAACGGGTATAAGGTCTGTATATGTTCTGTCAAGGAGGGCCTTTTTTGGGAGTTTTTCGTGGTTGGTTTTGTTTGTCGGTGTGTAGTTGAAGCAGTCCGGAGTAGCAAGACAGAAAAGTAGAGAGTAGAGAGCGAGCTGTCGATGTTTCTTCTGACTAGTAAAAGCGAAGAAAAAGGCTCTTTATCTTTCTGTCTGCTTCGTCTTCTTCTTCCTCTGCCTTCCTGGTGAGGCGAGAGAGTGACTGAAGTCTGGCTGCTTGGGTGGTGGGAGGAAGCAGTGGTTGGTGGTTGTTGGTTGGTGATGCTGGGGCCTGCTTGCTTTGTTGTCAGCGGCGGCAGAGAGAGAGAAAAGTCTTGCTGGTCCCTGTGAAGGAAGACAAGGGAGAGAAGAATTGAAAAGGAAGAATAAGAAAGGAACAAGGATATAATTACAACAAGGAGAACGACCTTGAGAAGAAGGAGAAGAGAAGGAGAAGAAGGTGTTTGTGTCTGTGTTCTGTGTCTGCTGCTGCTGCTGCTACGCTACTTCATCCACCTCATCCACCTCATCCCAGCCATGTCAAAGCGAAAAGGCGCCAGTTGGACCAGCCACTCTTATTTCTTACCTGCGGACCTAGCATCTTCTACTGATCCCGGGGACCTGACTTGACTTTTCCACCAGCCTCATCGAGCAGGATAGCCAACTAGACTGCAAGTGACAGTGACAGTGACAGTGACAGCCAGGGTGAAGTCAAGGAGTCAAGAGTCAAGCAGTCAAGAAGTCAAGAAGTAGACGAGGAAGACCGTTGGACCTTGGGACTTGACTTTGACAGACAGATAACCGTCTCCCTTCGTCTTCCCTTCGTCCCTTTCTCCTTTTCTCCTGTATCTCTCTTGTCCTTCTTGTCCTTCTCCTTGTCCATCTCCATCCTTCCCTTCCGTCCCCCGGTCAACCAGCATCTCAAGCGTCCTCATCCTCGTCTCTCATCCTTGTCCGTCTCCATCTGCCCCAAGCCGCGGCACTTGCTGATTGGCCTTTGCTTCTTCCTCGCCTTCTGCCTCTGGAGGCCGTGTCTGCCTTCTCTTTGGTCGCTTCTCTGGCCTCTCTCTCTCTCTTTCTATCTCTCTGGCGCTTTGCTCTCTTCTCGCTGTCGTGCCAACGCATCAAAAACCCCCTTCTTGCAGGGTCGCACTAAACTCTCTCTCTCGCTCGCCCGTCGATTGATCTCCATAGCCGAGCTAGTTCTAGTCGTCATCGAGCAGGTCAAGCTGTACGGAGTAGCTGTCAGTAGAAACGAGTAGCTCGCGAGTAGCTCGTCTGCTTCACATGAAACCGTCAAACATCAAACATCAAACAGCAAGAGAAGCACGAGAAGCACAGCAAGTTGGACACCAGCCACTCTTCCCCTGCCTCTTCTCTCGTCTCTCCTGTAGCTCCTCCTGTAGCTCTTCTCCTGTAGCTCATCTCTTCCTCTTCTCCCCCTTACTTACTTCTACCTCTCATCCTCCATCGACGCGTGTCTTCCTCCTTCCGCCGGGCAGTGCAAGTCTTAAGTACTTAAAACCATCGCTCGGCGGTTAAAAAGGGGGTCCTTCGTCTCTCTCATCTCTCTTGTTCCCTTGTGGCCCCTTACGCTCATGATACGCTGTAATTAAGGCTTCTTTGCGGTGGCTTGGCGTGGCCGTACGCTCTTGATACCAAGATTACCCCGCCTGAGACAAGCGCCAAGCCTGAAGAAGAAGCAAAAACCTTTCGACCTTTCGACTTTCTTCATCTTCGACTTCGACTTCGACTTCGTCAACGTCAAAACTCCCGACTTCGCCTCTTCTTCTTCACTTCCTCTCGCCGTCACCTCACTCTTCATTCACCTTCTCTGGCGACAGCTTTACCTCTCGACGTACGACCTTTTCCTTCTCTCGCCGGCACGGAGACGCTCACTCGCTCGCTAGTCTCCTGCGCTCCCCGGGCTAACGCTGACGACGCACCTCCCGGTCACACCACCATCAGCACGCGATAGGACAGATAATCAAGACAGTCAAGACAGACAGGAAAGATAAACAAACAGACAGCAGACGGACAGACAGAGCAGAAGGATACAGATACAGACGACAGACACAGACACAGACACAGACACAGACACAGACAACAGACATTGGAGTCTCGCTGGCCGACTTGCAAGGGATGACGACGCCGAGTTGCTAGACATCATCACCAGCCACACCCATCATCCATAGCCCCGAAACTCCCCCATTCCATCAAGAAACATCACGCATCTAGACATCGAGCCATCAAAGGACATCACAGCAACAAGATGCATCTAACGTCGTTATTCTCCTTCTTTCTCGCGTTGTTGTCGCTCTCCCATCTCGCGGCGGGCCTCAAGCTCATCGAGTCCAAGTCCATCACGCCTTGCACAAACACCGCTACCCAGAACAACGCCGATTTCACCGCAACCGAGTTCAACATCGCCTTCACCCCGGAAAACCGCACGCTGAAAGTCAACTTCCATGGCGTCTCCTCTATCAAGGGCTTTGTCAATGCTCGCATCGAGCTCTTTGCCTACGGTTTCCCGGCCGTCGACCAGCGTTTCGATCCATGCGCCCCCGGCCTCGACCTCCAGGGTCTCTGTCCCATGACCGCCGGGCCCATCGACCTCCAGACAGACTTTGTCGAGATCTCAGACGATGTCATCAACAAAGTTCCCGGTTAGTCTTCTTTTTCCTCCCTGTCTCCTCCCCCCCTGATGGCCGCTCTCTAACAAAGATAATAGGAATCGCGTATAATGTGCCTGATATCGATGCCAAGTTCCGGGCATATATCTATGCAGCCGACACTGGGTCGACCATTGCCTGCTTCGAAGGACAGCTTTCCAACGCCAAAACAGTCTACCACAGAACAGTCGGATGGATCGTCGCCGTCATTGCTGGCATCGGTCTCGTTGCCTCTGCCATCACCTCCGGTCTCGGTCACTCCAACACTGCCGCCCACGTAGCCGCCAACGCACTCTCCCTCTTCAGCTTCCTCCAGGCACAGGCCATAATCGGTCTCACCTCAGTCACTCTGCCGCCCGTCGTCCAGGCTTGGACCCAGAACTTCCAGTGGAGCATGGGCATCATCCACGTCACCTTTATCCAGAACATCTGCACCTGGTACCAGCGTGCCACGGGCGGAACCCCAACTAATGTCCTCAACGCGCCCTCCACTACTTCCATCCAGGTCAAGAAACGCTCATTGGAAGTCATGCGCGACATGCTTTTTACCTATCCCAACGGTCTGACCAAGCGTGTCAACAACGAGCCCACAGTCGGAGAGACCATCAACAACATCGTCCTGCGTGGTATCGAACGAGTAGCTTACAGAGCCCAGATGGAGGTCACTAACGTCTTCATGACCGGACTCCTCTTCTTCGTTATTTTTGTCACCTTTGTTGTCCTCCTAGTTACCGCCTTCAAGGGATTCTGTGAAATCGCAGCCAAGAAGGGCTGGATGAAGAGTGACAAGTTCCAGGACTTTAGGAACGGATGGAAGATTGTCATGCGAGGAATTCTCTTCAGACTGGTATGTTCTTTTATTATTATTACTCTTTTTATCCGTCTCTCCCAGTTTTATGAAATTGCGGCTAACATCTGCAGACTTTGATTGGCTTCCCCCAAATGGCAATCCTCTGTCTTTGGGAGTTCACCCAGATCGACTCCCCAGCCATTGTCGTCCTGGCTGTTGTCATGCTACTCTCCGTCGTCGGTTCTCTCGGCTGGGCTGCCTTCAAGGTCATCAACCTCGCAAAGAAGTCCGTCGAAATGCACAAGAACCCAGCGTACATCCTCTACTCCGACCCATCGGCACTCAACAAGTGGGGATTTCTTTACGTCCAGTACCGTGCTACCGCATACTACTGCGTCGTTCCGCTCCTCGCCTACATTCTCATCAAGTCTATGTTCATCGGCCTCGCCCAGAAGGCTCCTTACGTTCAGGCCATCGCCCTCCTCGTTATCGAACTCGGTGTCCTTGTTGGTGTCGCCATCCTGCGTCCGTGGATGGACAAGAAGACAAACATCTTCAACATCTCCATTGCCGCCGTCAACTTCTTCAACGTCATCCTCCTCCTCTTCTTCAGTGAAATCTTCAAGCTCCCAGTAAGTTGGCACTCCTTCCAATGTCATAAAAAACGTCACACTAACATAGCATCCGCCAGGGTCTTGTCGTCGGAATTATGGGTGTAGCCTTCTTCGTTATCAACGCAGTTTTCGCCCTCATTCTTCTCATTCTTGTCCTTATCGCTTCCGGATACGCCATTCTCTCCAAAAACCCCGATACACGCTACCAGCCCATGCGTGACGACCGTGGCTCCTTTATCAAATCTCACACCCAGCTCACCACCGAGCTCGATGCCCTCGGCGCCACCGCCCGCGGAGAAGGCAAGTTCAACGAGTTCGAAGACGACTCAACTTCTCTCTCAGGCCAATCCAACACCCGCACCCCAATCGACACCCGCTCTGCAAACGATCAACACCATCCAGGCCAGGGATACCCCAACCGTCCCGTACATTCCCCCGTGGACCCATCGGTCCCACTCTTCCCATCAAGCGCATCAACGCACTCCGCACACTCGCAGAGAACAAACATGCCTTCCCAATATCAGCAACCTTCCTTCCAGGACTCAGCATCTGTACATTCCTCATCATACTCACGGCAGAACCCTTCCCCTGCTCCAGGCGGGTATAATGCTTCTCCCTACCCTCGCACGGGCTCAGCGAACCCTCACACAGCCAGAGCGCAAAACAACGCTAGCCCCTGGCAACGAGGCGCCGGTTATGACTAAACGTTTGCTTTACTAGTTTTCTTTTTTCCCTGTTATTCCTGCTGTTTTACAAACTAAGGCTTGGGTTCTGCTTCGTTCCACTGCGTTGCGCGTTCCATCTTATTCCCACCACCCCCTTTTATCAAATTCTAGTGTACAAATATTTTTCTTCTCTTCCCCCTTTTTACTGCCCCTTGCACACACAACAACGGCCGGCAAAGTTACTCATGGAAACTATGGACTGGATTCATGGAGTTATTTCATCTTTTGCTCTCTTTTTTGTCTTTACTTCACTTCTCTTCTAGTCTGATACTACATAACCCCCTTATTCACCCTTCCCTTGCTGCTGCTGTGTGCCTTCTATTGAATGGCCTTGCTATTTCCTAGTGTTTTTTCTTAGTTCCTCAAGTACTACGGGATATTACCTTGTCTCTGGTTTCTGCTTTTCCACTGCCTTTTCCTCTCTCATTGTCTGTTTCATATGGGTCTCCCTCACATTCACACTGCTTTGCTCAGGACTGTTTCCTTGCTGTTTATTTCATTGATCCTGTTCTTTTAACATCGGATAGAGAATGGTAAAAGACTACTTTAATGACTGTATACATACGTATGCGGCAGATGTTAAACCTTCTATTGCTTTCAGGTGTACTAAGTATGGTTATCAAGAGCTTCCATCGTAAGCATACGATCTTAAATAACCACATCACTCCCTACTTTGGATTCGTGGCATTATTTAAGCCAATTTAACATAATTAACAATGCAACCAAGGCACAATTCCTACTAAAACAAACGCTTATAAACTACAAAGTATAACAAGGACGGAAAATGCTAACTTAATCTATTCACTTCGACTCGCCCATCCCCGGTGGAAAACCTCCTGGCAGCTGTCCCACACCAGGAGGCGCAGGTGGACTAGCGCTAGAACCAGGTGCTTGACCCGGTACCTGGCCCGGGAAAGGCGGTAGCGGAGGAACACCGCCCGCCGCACCTGGAGGCGGGAACTGGAAGTTAGGCGGGAACCCGCCTGGTGGTGGCGGAGGGAAAGGAAGACTACCAGGCGGCATGTTTGGAAGGGGCATTGGAAGCGGGATAGGTTTGTCGTTGGGTCCTGGGGTGCCGCCTGGTGGGAAGGGGGGAGGGAAAGGCATCCCGCGACCTCCTGGGGCTGTTGAAGTGAGCAGTTAGCTAACTGAACTGGCTGTGCTTGTAGGCTGTATGGGGGTTTACTTACGTGGTATCATTCCGCCTGGCGGGGGAGGTGCGCCTGGGGCTCCTTGCATGCCTGGTACACCGAATGGCGGAGGGGGTAGTGCGCCTGGCTGGCCTGGTGGTGGTGGGGTCAAGTCAGCGTTTCCACATACTGGCAGTTAGTTGATGTAAGATGCAGGGATACTTACCTGGGAATGCAAAGGGGAGAGGAGGGTATCCCGCTTGTCCAGCAGCATGTTGAAGCATAGGGTTGGAACTTGCCTGGCCCTCGGCGGCGTATGATGAGGTGATGGAATCTATCACCGACTGAGCCTTTTCATGTCCGATCTCTAAAACGCACAAACAGTCAGCATCAGTGATATGGTTTACACGGCATAGAGCGCCGTGTAGGGCGCGTAATCAAAAATAAAGCCTCCCATCCCTATAGCACGAGATCACCTACCCTGGTAGTACTGAACGACGTTCTTTAGGTGATTTTTGCCGGAGTTATGCGCTTTTCGCACACTCATCGAATCGTGTGTGAGGTATACATCGCAGTAATCGCCTGAAGCCAAGGGTTACCACAAGTTAGCACAAGTCTATAGGGTATGTAGCCGCGGGTAGGTATATAGTGCTTGGGCGAAAATGGCATGCGCAAGTGAGTGTGAATATTCGACCTACAAAAGAGTGCACGGGAGGTCAGCTTTGGAATCAATACACAAGAAGAGGCCGGGGGAACTTATATTTCGGCATGGTAACAATTAGACAGCTGTTCCTTTTCTTGTTTATCCTCCCTGCGCTCAGTATAGCTGCTTGGTGTTGATAGAGGTAGCTTGCCTGTCGAGATCTGACTCTCGGCTCTTTCGTCTTTCAATTGGTTTTGGGTTTAAAATTTCGCAGATCAATGCTCAGTTTCCTTGTTCGGTCATGCAAATAGGCGGTAGTTGGAGATATATCAAGCTATAGTATTTTCAGGCGCATAATCTTTCTCTCTCTATTCGCAAAAAGGACTTTGTTATCAGAAAAACGTTCGAAATATCCAGAACTTATCGCGGTCTCTGGATTCCTGTTTAGTACTAGCGCGCTAAAGCTTATTCATGTTTGCACTGTTTGTTTTATGATTGGCTTAGTCATACTCTTCACGCGATACACGCCTGATCTAGGCAGGTATGAAGCTTCCTAACCCGACCATGAACAATCATTTGGTTGGATTTATCGAGCTAATAATAATAACTCTAACTTCCCCCTTCAATTAGATAACTACCGCTAATTATTCATTATTTGACATGCAGACCAAAATAATGTCACGATGTTAAGTCTTTTTGCACTTTCACCCGGATGTTATTATACCCCGGTTTTGTCTGCGCGTTGAAACAGTCACGGACGATAGTCACATTTTCCTCCGTTGTCTCAAACAGCGAAAGCTCGAATCGCCGGATAACAGTGGCCAGCCCGATGTAGCACCAGGAGTACGCCATACTACTCTTCACATTAGCAGAGATATCACTATAGGGTTCAAAACTTGAGAGACAAGTACGTACTTTGGACCCAAACACCCTTGGCTACCCCTCGAGAAAGGCACATAGCACTCATCCATCTCCGATCGTTTGTCCCCCTGTTGCATCCATCGCTCAGGAGTAAATACCAATGGCTCTGGGAAAACAGACGGGTCTCTCAATGTCAGATATATTGACATGCTAATCGGCGTCTACCGTATTGGTTATTGAGTCAGCTACAGAGTCAGTCAAATAAATGGACAAAATGTGGGAATATACTCCTGCTGGTATCTTCCAACCACCGTACTCCAGGATTTTGTCTGGACTAATTCGTGGAAGCCGAGATGTGACAAGTGCTGATATGCGAAGGCCCTCTTTGATAACGGCAGCCTATTTACTCCTTTGTGAGAAATTCTCTATTTCAATAGATATCGAACTGACTCTGCTTTGACCTACCAGGTAAGGAAGATTCTCAAGCATAGCTAAAGAAGGGTCAGATTGTGCGTCTGGAATAGCGTGCACGAGCTCCTCCCGTAGTTTCTCGTGTACTTTCCGATTGTTCAGGATATGGTATAATGTGATGGCTAGAGCCTGTGAGGGAGCATCCGTTCCAGCTACCATAAGGAACAAGGCATCATCTGTTAGCCTCTTAAGCGTACGCTCCGCAGCTGGATGCTTTTCATTATGTATGATCTCAGCAAATACGCATGGCTCTTTGATTTTCTGCCGGTTTTTTTCATAAACGTGCTTGAAACGTTTTTTTACCGTCTAAAGAGCTAACTGTCAGCGGACTCCCGACCAAAGAGGTATATGATTTTGCAGCAGAGCGTACGCTTTCTAGAAAACTTATATCCCGAGTAGATGGTACCACAAGCTCGGTTATGCAAACGGGGATAATGCGAAAAGCATGGATCAGAATGGGGAAGTGTCTGGCAAGGATGAACTTTGCAAAGGCCCCTGTAATCCCATCTTTCCATTTATCGTCCAGGTCCTTTTCATGCAGCACGTTAAAACAGCTCGACTTGCCAAATGCGTGTTGGGAAACGATATCCACTGCAAGGGATATAAAGCATTGGTGGAGCTCTAACGACTCATCCTTCTTCAAAGCTTCTCTCATATGCCTGCAAAGCAGGTTGACCTTTTCTTGAATAACGGGCTCAAGGGTTCGAATTGCCTGTTTGGACAGATATGGGCTGAGCATCCCCCGTCTTAATCGATGGTGGCTGTAGCCCGCCGTTGCGAATACTGAGTTTGGAGCGCCAGCGGAGAGAAACCAGGTATATTTGTTCCGTTTCATAGTTGGCCCAGTGTAAATGGTGTTGTAGTAAATGGGATCTTTAACATGAAGTTCAAAGGGATTAATCCGGACAATTGGCCCGTACTTTTTGTGCATTCTATCGATCTCCCACATGAACTGGCCACCACGAATGACATCAAAATACATTTCGTACCATCGAGTCATGGCGGCCAGTTTTGGCCCTGGGAACTTGGACAAAGGGGAGAAATAAAGACGATATATGATCAGGCATATTCCGTAAATAGCTGAGAAAGGGAGGAGAATTAAGACACAGTTATGGGTTAATGTATTGTCCAGCTGGGGATCTAGGAGTCCCATTTCGAGTGTTCTTGTCAGACTAGACAGAAGGTTTGGGACAATCAGAGGTTGAACAAGAGGTAGGGGTACTTATTCGAGATATAAAAATTAACTCGCAAAATTTGAGCAGTCAGTACTCTGTAGTCATACAGCCAATCAGGCAGATACAACATCCAATTGTTGTTTCTACTCCTATGCTACGATAAGGGCTTGAGAGGGATTTTAATAATGAAGTGCAACTGACTTATATTTGGTTCTTTTTTCTTTTTTCTTTTCTTTCCCCCCCTCTAGCTCTAAGGTATTGAAGCGAGGATTGAGTAGCAATAGCAAAGTATGCATAACTTTACAAAATACCAAATGTCGGCTTCCCACCCCTCCCCAATGCTGAATTGTACCACCATCTACTGAAGGTGCGCATAGCTAAGATAAAAAGACTCTTTGTTCATTACACACAATACAGGCTCAATTTTCAGTTACCGAAATAGTCATTAATAAGTAGCTTGCTTCTCACTTGCTTCCTCCATCCCTTTCAACTATTAAATATTAACGAAATATGGAGTATGTTGAGTGGAAATTTTCATGGAATCTCACTATGATTAATATTGATAATAGTCATTATAATAGCCAGTTTACCCCCTAGAGTTTAGCCATCAAAGCCTCAAATTTCTTGTCGAAGTTGTCAATATCTGGCTTAAACTCAGCAAACCCTGCAGCCGAGCTTTTCTTTTGAAGCGTATCCTGGATTCTTGTCTTCTCCTTCATAATACGGTTTGCCGCACGTCTGGCAACAAGAGTACCGCCAGGAACAGCTTTAATATAAGGAACCTAGTGACCGTTTTAGATATTATTTAGAGCAATAGTGGTATAATTTTCGGAGAACATACCTTCCTAGAAGTGGCATCCATACCAAATGCCAGGCCAGCAAACATTCGTCGAATCAAAGGTCTTCCTTCAATCTCATCTTGCTCGGTAAAAGGAGCCATGCCGTCAATCTTAGCCCGCCCCCTTTTAACTTTGTCACAGGTATCGTAAACGTCATTGGTGATAGACATAAGCTCGGTAACACCTCCTGGCGACCTGTCAATCCTCTGTGAAAGGTCTTCGATAGAAGTGCTGATGGGCTTGAAGTCATCTAAAGCGTCTGAGACGGTGGAGAAGGCAGCGAGGGCAGTGGCTTGAGCCGCAAAGGCCGCGGCCATCAGGGCGAAATATTTCGTGAGCAACATGGTGGTGGTAGAGATTAGACTAACGTCTCAGCACTTTTGTTGGAACGTATTGCTGGTGACTGAGAATGACTGCAATCGCAGTACTATTGTGGAGGGTATATGGGAGTCTTTATAGACGTGGCTGCCGCAAAACGGGATTCAGGGGAGGGGCCATTTCGGCCCAAACAACAAAGGCTTGATCCGTGCCACTTCAGCTGCCAGTTGTTATTTAGGAATTCAGCCTAGGCCCTGGCAGGCTGGAGATCTCGTGGATCGTCAAATCATTTGATTGTTGTGTCAGTGGTCGGCTGTGACAACTATACATGGTCACATCATTAAGTTCTAGTCTAGGATACCCATAGGATCCGCAGGCGGCTTGAGGTGACTGAATGGCTTGCATGGAGTGAGAGACTTGGAAGTGGCGCCCCTATGAGGAGTGTCCCTCCCAGGCCCGACTTGCGGATTAGCTGGTTATTGAACTGACTATTTGCGCCGAGAAGTTTGCTTTTGTGTCCCGGAGGTCAAGATATGGTTTTATATGTACTCCGTAGCTGGCTAGCGATAGTGCCTGGAACGGGGTTCGCGGGACGGGGCCCAGTTTAAGGCCGCGCTAACCGGATTTAGTCAAGTCAGCACATCACTTGACAATCAATCCTCAATTCATCTTCTCAATTTTGAGAGGCCTCTGGTGGTTGGCTGGTCTTCTCCTTTTCTTTCCTTCAGAGGGAGATCGTATGGAGTACATCAAGTACACATGCAGAGTGCATCGCATAGGACGGTGATTGTTCTGCAGTCTCGGTACCAAGTTTCTTCACACCTTCTCGGGACTGCCCCAATAGCAAGCGCGAATCAAAGTCAACCAACAGCTATAACCAAGCTGGCCGACGAGAGCATAAGATGAGCAGTCGATTAAGCAAGGAGGAGATATCAATAAGAGCGGTAGAAAGTGCCAGGGAATGATAATACTCTCTCGAAAGCGGAGTAATTCAGGAATTTGAACCCTCGTACGGAGTAGAGCCAAGTATAAAATCCATGATACAGGGGCTGCGATTCCGCGGAATACTACTCCGTAGTACCCCCTATATACAACACTTCCTCGTACAATCTCGGAAAGGAAAGGATGTTGTGAGACTCTAACCTTATGCCACATTCTAACCATTCTACCGTTCTTCGAGCTTCACGTTGATTGTGAAAAACTACAATACCATCCAGTAAGCGTGGCATCGATGAGCGGTTGAGACATAGGAGTGTCTCAACTAACTAAAGACATAAAAATTATGTGCTTCAACGGGGAACACTAGTTCTGGTGCAACGCTTTAGGATAGTTAAAATCATGCTACCAATGCTCAAGTTCTGAATTGCTCTCCACACGTATTTCCCAAGGGTCAAGGCGTGGTGAAATGAACCACCTCTGAAGCTTGATCTAGCATGTTTATCACTTCTATAAGTATACAAGAAGCGTCACTCTTGCCTTGCCCATTTTAATAGAAATCTATCAGGAAATTTCCAGTCTTATATTACTGACGAGTATCAGGATGACATCATTCCATGCTATAAAGGACGTTGACGAGGGACCAAAGCGACTTAACCGACCCCGTTAATACTGCTTATGAGTATTCCCTGGGCTACGAAGGGCCCACAGGACTTACTGGATCCACTGAGTTCATCTCGACGGTTTCATTTGATATTCTTATATTGCCCTTTGGGTTATCAGCGAGGATAAACATGACATGGCGAAAGATCAAAACCTTGTAAGAGTAATCTCCAAGGTTGCAACCCGATTCCACGGGATTGCAAAGTCATAATAATATAACAAGCGTGCTAGGTAATGGAGAAACGTGACATAACGGGATTATCACAGGTCCTACAACCGGCACATAGATTGTGCCTGTACGGTGGCAGACGGCGCCTTAAAGTACTATATACGGAGCACATTTGGTGTAGAAGCAACATAGGTTAAATCTTGACTTATCTTAAACGTGGCTTAATTAGGCTAACAACCCTAAAGCCCTAGTATCTTTTTCAGTCAAAGTTAACAGTCGGCTTCAATTAGAAATGTTGAGCACTTTCGCCCCTATTTCTCTCCGTTGGTTTCTAGCTCTGTCGGGCCTCACTCGTAGAAAATCATGGTATGTATATACTTGCTATGTTAAATTGCATTATTTCAGGGATTATGGGCAAATCCGAGAGAGTACGGAGTATACATAGCTGAAATCCACCGAGGAAAGCCCCGGCTTTGGAAATGTAAATTATGCAAGTAGTAGGATTTACCGAGTTCTACACATTTTGGCATCTTCATTTCACTGACAATGGCTAGAAGTGATGGCAGGATCAAATACAAGACCACTAAGCCGTACCAAAAGTTCTGCACCATAGAATCGGTTAAGGTTATATCTCCGCCATCCCATCCGGGTCTGAAGAAGGATGTATGTCGGGCCAGCTGTGATGGAAATAGGCGTGGACCCCAAATCACGGTATGTTGCATGTTGCTATGCACAAGATGACAGAAGTACACTCGGTTCCTCTAGTTGTGGTATTCCTTCGTGGGGGTAACATAAACCCCACGTATGCACTTCCGAGACCGGATGTTAGTCGGGCAGGTGCTTTTTGTGGGTCATCCTCAGATACAGATTTCGACCTAGTCTAGTTGCCGAAGTCCGGGCCATTCCTATTCCTATGCTGAAATCCAGCACTATCGAGTAACGAAAGGAGCGAGGAACCTATTAGTGGTATCAACCATATTAATTTCTAATTAACGTTGGGAATGTCTTCCATCATAGCCTCAGAATTATTCATATATTCAGAGTGTTTAAATAGGAGTGACTGATGATGATATTGCAGAGCCCAGCTCTCTCATTTCGCAGGATGTGAATATGGGTGTCGGACTGGTGACGATTGGGCCGAGAAGGTAGCAAGCGGAATTTCTCATCTCCCGTTTGTGAACAAGGAAACAGTCCGTCTGCTTGTTTAAGGTTTGTTATGCTCCTTTCGGTTGATTTTATTATAAGACGGTAAATATCTGGGGGTGTTTCTGTGACAGATTTGAAGAGGGGGAATCATGCCCATTTCCATGGGTATTGCGTCATGAATCGTATTCCAAACTCACCCGACCTTGGGGGTACGATGATTGAAATAAACAAATATGGGGGTATTCTGGGTATTCTTATTTTTCTTTCCCTTCACGATGAGATAGATAGAATGAAAGTAAGAACAAATTTCATTCGGCTCTTCCTTCTTTCGTGCATTTCTCGTTATACGCTAAAAATAGACTCCACGCCAAAGATATCTCACGTGACATATTACTAATAACGGGTATCAACACCTCTTTTCGTCTCTTTTCGTGTCGGACAAGAAAATAAAACGACAAGCGTCTTGACGTGGCTTGCGTTTGATGCGAGTAAGAAACAAGGGAGAGCTCTCCAGCTTAACTACCGTGTCACCAGCAGCTCTGTCCCGTATTCGCAAGGGGTCCCTCAGCACTGAAGGGCTCCCCTTGTCACATCACTCGCAAAATCTGGGGCTGGAGAAGAGACACTGGGGAGGGATGTCGGTTTCAAGCCGAACCCCAGGCCTTCCCCGCCGAAGGGGACGATGGCTATGAAGAAGCAACATCACCCTCGCTGTCTGTGGGAGTGCACCTTGTGAACATTCTTTCTTTTGTATTAAGCCGCGTAATTCGTTGGTCCTGGCACTTCTCGGTTGTGTGAGTAGACGTGCTTTTCGTGAGCCTACGTGATCATTCAGGAGGTATGCGAAGTAGGTTTCCAGCTGTGGCCCAAGCACTGACGACTATCTAGGGAGGTCTGTTTCTTTCTGTCGCCATAGCATATATACTTCTTGCTGTCAAGGTGCTCAAGCCTCTTTACAATGCCTATTAATCAAACAATGCAACATCACGGGCAACAATGAAAGAACGGAGTATACTCCGTATACATGGGTAGATTTCTGGAAACAACGCAACGATGGAGGATGCTTGGGATGTTGATGGAAGCACGTATTTGTGAACAAAAGGTCAGCTGCAGGTATGGGACTTTTTGACATGGAGAATTAAGATTTCTTCTTGATCGGATTCGGAGCATTTCGTGTGGCTCTTCGGGTGATGGGATTTCTCTACTCTGCAGCCAGTCAGAAAATAACGACAAGAAACCGCTCCCCGAAAATGCAAGAGTGCGGGTATTCAACAACCCAGAAAAAGGAATCCGTTCGATGAGCAGATTCTTGTTGGAAGCTTCTGGTGGCCACCGTGGAGCAGCGATTCGAGGAAACTGGACGTGGTGGAGTCACAAGGAGGCGTCCGGGTCACCCAGCTGTATCAGGTGATGAATAAAAATACATCCCCCTAAAGGAGCCAGAGCCCTAGCCTGATCAAGCGACTCCCAAGTTTTTTTGGGCTGTCTCATGGAGGGCCTGGAAAGCGCTGCTGGGACGAGCATGGCCCCGAAGGTTACGTTTGTTGAGGATCGTTAGCGCCTGGGTGCTGCAGTCCTCTCCCCGAAGGCCTTTCGTCCAGCTAAGGTCCCACGGCAGGATGCGTGTATGGGGCCGCGAAGGGAGAAGAGGCATCCTCTGTACTCCGTGCAAACAGCAACGATGCCCGCTTGCTGCTTTACTTGCACTGGACACTCGCCCCGCAGGTGACCCCCTTGCAATGCTCGTCGCTGCGCCGCGAGTGGCCGAGTGTCAGTTTGACGATATAGGCCGTAACCCACTTACGATCGCCAGAAAACGCCTCTGACGAAGGGAATCTTGTGCCCAGGGCCGGAATGTTGGGGGAAAGAAAACGCAAGCAGCATCCTCTATCCGTGCACTATTAACGGGTCGTGAGAGTAACAAGAGTTTTTTTAAATGAAGCCTCACTTCCGCCTGTGGCTACCGGGGCTGTTAATTCGTGATTACAGGGGCCAACTTGCCAATTCCATGCGAAGAGGGAGCATCGGGCATTCGATCCATGAATGGTCTCCATTTCTCCAGTATCCTCGCTAGCTAGCCGCAGGAGCAGCCCAAAGGGTCCAGGCCCTCCCCTCCCTTGCCATGAATTTGGAAGTTAAAAAAAAGAATATATGAAAAAAAAAAAAGACGTGACTGACAGGGGCGTTGTTCACTCTTTTTTTCCTGGACTTTACTCTGGAGCAATTTCAGGAACATAGTTGCGGATACGGATACATAAGTTGCTGGAACCGCTCCATCCCATCCCACCCGCGGCCTCGCCTGAGAGTGTCATCGTCATTCCCCAACCAGCAACCATCGTCACCAAGACAACTTTCTTGTTTGCCGTTGTGACGCAGCGAAACAAACTTTACCTCCTTTCTGGCCGTTCTTGTCTCGCAATTCAAGTCTCATCATCCTTGCCTTCAGAAACCCAAATGGCTTAAATATAACCCACAAGCTGCTGCACACCTTGGTGGCGGGTAATTGCACAATTCGAACTCAACACCTTTTTTGTTGTTTTTTTTTTTTAAGCAATTCGTTATTCATATAACTAGGGGATCAATCTTGTGCTCCTATACCTCTATAAAAAACCACTTCCTCCTCCCTTTGTCCCTCTCCTTCGACGGCGCATATCACAGGAAGCTTCTCCTGTCGGATTCTATACTATCCTGCTCAACCAAATTCCCCTCAAGCCTTTTTCCAAGGTTTCACAATGCCGGCATATCAGATGCTTGATCTCAATCCCTCATCAGCCCAAGAAAATACCATGTACTCCGGACGCGGGGGAGCAGGGAATTTTCACCCCCTCAAAACCAGCCCGATAACGTCGTCAAGCTCGATATCAAGCTCCCGCACCCTCTCATCGCGCCTAGGGTTGAATGCACGGCAACTACTCTCAGCTGGCCGTGGAGGGCTTGGCAACTTCCACAGCACATCGGAGTATGCGATCTTTAGCTTCGATGAGGAGCTTGAACAGCAATTGAAGCGCGAGAAAGACGTTGCTCCCGTCTTCCATATCGGCCGAGGAGGCGCCGGTAATATGGCAGCCGCCGCCTTCCCAGATGCTCCTATCATGAACCTCTCCAAGAAGCGGTGTGGCACGGGGAGCGTAGAAAGTTCATCAGGCGGCAGCTCGTCTAGCGGGAAGGCCAAAGATTGGCCGCGACGGAATTACGATTCATGGCGCGGAGCCTTGAAAGGGATGCCATCGTGATCTATGTGACCCCGGGGACGGCTTCTGCCTACATATCCCCGCTGCCGCCGGCAGTCGTTCCCGCCCTTGGCAGCCAAGGTCGATGTCGACGCATGCCTCCAGCTTGCTCCTCTTTCTTGCATTTCCTTCGATCGTATGCATTTCGCACCGATTTGCCATCGTTGTATATCATAGCGCTATCCGAGATCCTTTTCCCTCTTTTACTTTCCTTTTTACAATTATATTCTAACGACTGATACGACACATGATTCACTCTGCCTCGCCTTGAGAAGAATGAGGAAAACAAAAACAAAAACAACTGTTCTCTTATTGAATTGAAAGCTTTCTTCGATTGCCACCGCAGCCTTCCAGCTGCCGGATTTTCTCTTTTTCTTTCCTTCCAGGGACGCAGGCCTTTCCCCTTTACCTTTTACAGCCCTCCTACGCCAGCCACGGCATACACTTATCTGGCCGATGAACATACTCTCCCTTCCGCTACTCCATCACTCTTGATTTATTTAGCATGCTCCAACAAACAATACATCTCCCCGAACGAATCAACTCACACGTCACACCTCTGTACACCTGATTCATGTCATACCTTACGCCTCCTCTTGGGTGGGCAGCAAAACTTACAACTATTACCTCTTCCTGATGATATGACCCGGCCGAGCATGTTTCATCGAGCCGTTTGGGAAAGATTAAAGCATTGTTACTTTAGAATACATATATTCGCTCCCTAATCGAGACTGACATGTCCGTTAGGAAGACTTTGGGAAAGACCAACTATTAGACTTGATGTCCTTTCTAGTCACTTGAAAGCTGATTCAACCCCCGGCTGTAAAAAAAGCTAGTAGAAAGCTAACCAGGCCACCTGCTGAAGGATCTCTAGACCAATCATATCTCTGCCGGGATGTATACATATGTATAAGTGCGTATGCGTCATTTCATTCCCATGCCCTCCCTGTTTTACCAGCAGAGTCACAGTCTTACACAGGATCGACCACGCGCTTCACGAATATCAAAAACATAAGAAACAGAAAACAGCCATCTATGGTTAGTAGATAAAAAGGTATAGGTATCTTTCAAAAAGAGAATAGCAGCATATAACATTCTAGACATGCAGTCAATACCGGCTTAAACGACCTGGGACGAGAGAAAGGGAGAGAGTGCGAGAGTGAGTATGAATTGACGCAGGGATATCATTAAATTGAGAAATAAAACTGCTCCAAACATATTCCCCAGTGGTTTCACGAAAACAGAAGTAGGATCGACATGTCAAGTGAATTTCGTATGGATTATGTCTGGGTTCTCATGCCAGTCATCAATGCTGACCCACATCTGCCGGATAAGAGAGCAAGCGTTAGCTATTACGTGGTGATATATGATATGCCGGCCAGGGAGGAAAAGGGGCATGGCATTAAACATACCTTTCTAAACGTGCTTAGGCCAGCCAAAATACTTCCGCCAATCCAGGTACTGTACTTTCTCTCAGGCGGTGCAAAGATCTTAATCCTCATGTCCTTGACTGCTAACCGCTGTACTTCGTGAAGGAGACGGTCTCCAAAACCTTTACATAGCGTAGATCCGCCAGATAGCACTATGTTCGCAAATAGGGCTTTTCGAAGGTCCATATCTGTCCTGTTAATGGCGTCTACGACGATTTGGTGGACACCGGGATACTCGAGGCCAATTATTTCGGGGTCGAAGAGGATCTCAGGAGCTCGGAATCGTTCAACGCCGATCTTTCAGTGAGTCGGTTGGTCAGCCACGAAAGTCCCATAAATACACGGCAATGGCAATGAAAATCAAAGTAAAGAAGATGAGTTACCTTCAGCTTGTGCCCGTCTGGCAGAACATACTCGGCCATCTTTGAATCCGCCTTCCCACCATTCGTTGACCATTCCTTTTCTTCCTTTCGGGGGTCCATGGCCACATATCCGGTTCTTTCTTTAATCATGCGCACCACCTCCTTTTCGGCACTCGTATGAAAGACGTACCCGCTCTTTCGCAAAAGCAACTGTAGATATTCAGTTACATCACGGCCAGCAACGTCTATCCTTCGTATACTGCTCGGCATTGCAAATCCCTCATACACGGGGACGGCATGGGACACACCATCTCCCGAATCTAGCACAATTCCCGTTGTTCGTCCCGAAGCATATAGTGACAGCACAGCCTGAATTGACGTATATAAGGCGGGAATGTTGAACTGCTCAAACAGGATTTGTGCAGCAGTATCTCGGTTCGTTCGAGGGTTCAATGGCGGCTCTGTCAAAAGCACTGGGTGCTCTTCACTTAATGTCTTCAATTCCCCTTCGTACACCCATTGCCATATTTTCTCCATGTCATCCCAATCCGTCACAATGCCGTGTTCGAGGGGGTATCTGATCTTTAGCAGTCCACGTAGCTCCTGTGCTCTCTGTCCGATAAACACATCTCCTTCTAAGGCTCCGGCGAGAACTCGGGGGTGTTTTGGTCGGCCGACGAATGATGGGAAGTAGCATTTGGGAAGGTCTTCGCCCGCAAACCCGGCGCGTATCGTACCACTACCATTGTCTAACACTATCGGGGCATTGTGCAGAGCCGTGTCTGCCATGGTAGAGAAGGGTGGAAAGGAGACAGCCGTTCGCGACTACTTATTGATGCCCGTTTGTCGGGTTTGGATTCGCGTCCGGTTTAAGGTATCAGTCGCCTCGGGGAGCAAAGAAAACCTTTGTTTAGAGTATTATCACGTCTATCAGGATGAAAGCAATATGGAATATCGGTGAACGAGAGACTATATTCAGCAGTTGTAGGTGGTCAGTGTCAATAGTAAATTAAATTGCTGGGTTTGCAGCGTAAACATTTCGTTTTTCTGGCACCAGGGGGAGCTCGACCTTAGGGTTTTTCTTGGCTTCGACGCCCACCAGTTGGAGTTGGATGAGGCTTTCACCGAAGACAAGGCCCTTTCGTAGCGAGTAGCTATTATGGACGACGGTGTCGAGACAGTCGAGGGATGATGAAAGGTGGCTTTAGCGAAGTTGAGCTGTCGTTACACATACACATAGAGAAAGAAAGAAACGGCTTTGATGGATGGTTTACTACCGCTTTTATAATGCAAAATATATCATTTACCGGCCAGTCCAGGGGAGGTCAGAATCCTATTCGGTCTGCTCTAACAAGATGGTGGGATACTCCCCTATAATAGGCCTTTAGAGATGGCCTATCTAGCTCCGTCAAAAGAGGCTTTCCAGTAAATTACTGTCAATCAAGAAATCCAAGCTCATCTTCCATCACCCAAGCCAACCCCTTGGAGTCGGTGTCTGCCCGCTTGGGAGGCCATGAATGGATCTTTTCACGGAGCTTCTCTGCTTCATGAACAGCACTGGCCAGATTTCTACGAAGCATGTTAGCGGTGTCACTTCAAGGTCGATTTTTTTCACGGGAAATCCATACCCAAGCTTCCCGTGGACTACATAGTTAGCGGAAGCCAACTCCTTCGCCAACTCTGCCTGATGGTTGTGCATCAGTGCTGGATTCGGCACTACCACGAGAGGCAGACCGAATCGAAGAACCTCTAAGATGGTTCCGGATCCTACGGTGTTCAACCGGGAAATCAGCCTCTACATGTTCAAACGGCCCATGACCTGCGTGGAAGCGGGTTTGGTTTACCTGCATGGCTGATGACAAGGCCTTCGGCTGTATTTGTGCTTGGATCTGCTTTGGCAGCACACATCTCGTCCTTGAGGCCGTTGACGTTGAAGTCGAACCCGGCCAGTGTCAACCTATAATTTTGGAGTATTTCGTCTTCATTATCCTTGACGAACGAGCGAAATAGTTCATCGCCGTGCTGGCCGTACTGGATAACTAGATTGGTGTATTTGTTTGCCTTGAGAGCAGCCAGAAAGTCCTGATGGAGAATCTCTCGAACCAGGGCGTTAAAGGATGCTGTAGCGCCCACTGTAGCAAAACATGTCTTTTTTGGCCAGCTCACTGGCTGCTCTTCTCTCCTCTGCGCCATCTTGGTATTCAATCAATATAAGTCCTTCATGTAGGGATATCTCAGCAGGCCGGTGGAAGAGCGAGGATGGCATCTTTCGCCCAAAACAAAAAGGCCGCCAGAGGAGAGAGTCCAACCTGCTTCTCCTTTTTTCTCTTCACCTCAGAGCCATCTCCTGTCTTCCTGTCTTCTTCTTCTTCTTCTTCGTCATCGTCGTCGTCGTCTTCATCGCCGTCTCAAAGTTATCTTCACTTCGGGGATCGGAAGCCGGAGAAACTTCAATTCCGAGCATCAAACTTCACCAGCAAAAAAGTTGAAGATGCGAACAAAGTGAAGAAAGCCGAGAGAGAGACAGAGAGAGCAGGAAAGCAAACAGCTTGCACCGCCGCCTAATTCCCTTCGTGTACATGTTCAATTGCTGCTGGCAATGGCTCCAGTTGCAAGATCTTTTAGCCGGCTAGCGTTGTCGTGCCCCAGACAAGCTACTTCAAGACGCACCACGTCCCTACACACACAGCAGCCATGCTCGATATTTAACCGACAGAGACGACAGCCATTTTCTGGAGCTTCTACACAACTATCCCCGAGAAGTGAAGCTCAAGAATCCGGCAATACAGCACTTGATTCAGGGATTCCGCCTGATCTGCAGAGGCAAATCAAACAGGAAGTCCATAGTACCATTCGTGAACTTCGCAGAGAGGCGCCAGCTCTTGATACTCGGTCCACAAAGAAGAAGTTTGGCTACTGGAGTTCTGGTGAGAATGATGAGCTCATGTTGCAGGTGGAGGACGGTGACGATGTGTTTGGCGAGGATGATATAACGGCCATGGCGCATGCTGAGCTCGAGGAACACCGCGAGCTCAGAGAATATGCGCGTGTCACAGCCTGGGATATGCCTTCATTGAGCGGTATGCTATGGCTCCTGTTACTCCTAGTATCCTTGAAATTCCACGAATGGTGAGACTAACAATTTCCAGCTCTTGCGAAACCGTTCACACTTCCTCCGCAAACCCATATTCTTCGTTTCCGACAGACTACCTACTTGGGTGAAACGCATCCCGCGGAAACAAAAGTAGTTGTCGAATTATGTTCCAAAGATCTCACACCGAAGCACCTCACCGAAGAGCAAAGAATCACCCTTCTAAAGCTCGTTGGACCACGCTACAACCCAGACTCAGACATCATCCATATGTCTTGTGAGAAATTCCCTACTCGTGCCCAAAACAAGCGATATCTCGGCGACCTAGTCAACACACTCATCAAGGAGGCAAAGGAAGGCGACTCCTTTGCTGATATACCATTGACTTTCCCCCACCACAAGCCCAAGAAGAGCTACGTATTCCCAGAATCATGGAAAGTGACCGAGAAAAACCAGAAGCAAATAGAGGAAGCAAGGAATCAGATCGAGGATGTTATGTCCAAGAAAGGAGTTGTAGATGGGAACGAAGTTATTGCGCAGGCCGCGAAGACGATTCCTGCCCTAGGCTCGATGGGCCAGCTTGAGGCGCAAACAGTAACGGTGAAGAAGGGGCAAAAGGTCCGGGGGCCGAAGGGAAGAAATTAATGCCTGATTGCTCATGGTTAAACGAGATTATTCTATCTTGCTCTTTGGCGGTGGACAAGCTGATCCATCCTCCCTGCGTGCTTCATCATGGATTGGTATATACACTTCCGCTGTGTGTATTGTATTTTATATCAACATGTATTACATCAATTTTTTTTCTTCTTGTTTAATAGACAGCTTGTTCATATAACTTTCTGGGTCCGGTGAGGGTTGAATTTTTGTTGTTGATACAGGATGGGGCTGTCCTCTACAGTCTTTGGAGCAACAGGCCATAAAAACAAATGATGGAAAGAAACAAACAGCAAGAGCAAGCAAAGTGTGAGAAATTAAAAGTCCCAATATCGCCTATCGAGGGGAGGGAGCGTAGCGGCATTTGTTAACCCATTACCCTTATATCTTTGGGGCGAAATTCGGGGAAGGAGCAAGGCAGAAGGAGAAAAGAAGAAAAGCGAGCAAACAAACTCCCAATTTCACAGCAAACTAATTCAAACTGTAACAAAACTCCATCTTCCAACAAAGGGGTATACTCTGTTTCGCTTATTCGGAGCAGTTTCTCGTTGCCGTTCGATGCGGATCCATACTCCTAGATGAATAAGGAAAAAGGTTGTAGAGAGTAACTGTGACGCCGGAGAGGGTACTCATATATAATCCAATGTATGAACGTTGTTCAATACACGAATTATACAATCAGAAAGGTAGATCAAGCCAATTTCTGCAATGGACATAAATGAAAATAGGAAACCAAAGGATGAAAAAACATGGGGTAGAATAAACTGGGTAAAGGATTTGGGATTACAGAGAAGAAAAGGGAAAAGGAAAGAAAAAAGGAAAGGAAAAGGGGGAGGTGCCGATGGTGCTGAAGATGACCTTTAGTGTCATGTTTTTGCTGTCACTGGGTATATGAATAAATGTATCGGATGGCCTTAGACGGGTTTGGCAGTAAGGGTAATTGGGTTGTTTAAACCAAGATCAAACAGGTCACAGTTGATTCCTCTGTTGGTGTGGGTTGATTGGGTAGAGTTTGGAGAGCCACGGCTCCCGTATCTATGATTGCCGTTTCCACGGAAGTCAAGATTGTCAGGGAAGCGGCTGGTAGTCAGGCCGGAACGGGGGGAGCAAGGGGAAGAAGCATAACTGCCAGATTGAGGGTGAGGGGAGAAGCAGGGTGAGATTGCCCTGGATGTGGCACCCTTGAAGTCCAGATTAGTGATAACAGTGTTAATTGGAGGGACGTTTGTTACTCGTAGGTGCTTTTCTTCGTCGGTGCCATTGTTACCGTTGATAGATTGTCGGCGTTGGTAGAGTCGACGAGAGCGCTGAGGCTTTTTCTTGATCTGAACTCCTTGGCCATTGGGCTGCTGGTTAATAGGGGTTCCTCCGACTGGCAAAAAGGGAGTAAGAGGCAGAAGGTTCCAGTTATCTCCTTCATTCTCGGCCATGGTCCAAAGGGAGGCTGACCCTGGAAGCGGCAGGGAGCCGGTGTCGTAGCTATGAGAAAGCATTATGTTACTGTGAGACATAGCGTGTTGCCCATGTATGCCGTTTGAGCTGGTGGCTCGGACAGTGGGTAGTAGCCCTGGTGCAGCGGAGTATGGTTGGTCCATAAGGTCAACTTTAGCATGAGGCTGATTGCCAGCAAAGTTTCCAAGCGCAGATTTGGCCGCGTCCTGCACCATGTGGTCAGGGGTTGGAGTTTTGCGGAAATCATCAATCGAAATAAGGTCACATCGATTGGGGAATTTGGAGACCTCAAGAGGTGGGTTGTTTGCTGACAAGTTCATGTTCAAGCCTCCTGGAGCAGGTAAGCCCATAGGGGGCAAATGAGTAGTGTTTGGTATATTGTTATACATGGTTGGGTGACCATGGGGCAAGCCTGGAAGGTTAGGCTGCTGTGGGGGTGTAGGGGTTGCTCTGGGTCTCTCTACCTGAGCCTCTGTAGTCATAACCCTGTGGCCATGCACATCACGTCTGTCGGCTGAGTTGGCAGCTGCTGGAGGAGGGTGCTGGTGGGTGTGGTGATGGTTTTCAGCCCGCCAGTTGCGTCCATTTCCTTCATGGCGGTTTCGCCCACCAGTGCCACCGAGCCCCTTGACTCCATGTTTCTCACGGTACCAACGAGGAATATCCCTGAGCCCGAGCTTGTCAAGAGTCGGCTTATCCGTAGGCATTTCATGTTTGAAAATGCAGCCTGTATTGATATGTCAGAATTATCCGTTGTCTATTTGCATCTCCCACCAAACGGGACATACCCTGCTGCTGATAGTCACATTCTCCGTGACGAAGCCAGAAAGAGCAGTATTCCTTTTTGGCTGAGTTGCCATTTTGGCTACCCTTGCCGTGGCGATGCCCGGAGTTCTGGATGGTTTGAATGCTGTTAGCCTGACCGCGTACACAAGGGAGCATCGGCAGTAAAATCGTAGAAAATCAACATACATGTTTTGAAGGAGTCTGGCTGCCACCTGTCGTAACGGGAGTCCAGTCTGGGTTCTGAACTGCAGATGGATCGGTTGCAGAGTTTGGAGGGGCAATAGACAACTGCCCAAAATCCTCGGGTCCGCGTCCTGCAACCACCTGGCGACCAGAATTGTTTGCCTTTTCTCCTACTGGCTTGGATGGATGCTGAATAGCATTGTCGATTAGGTAGAACTGTCCACGAGACTTGACGGTTCCAAGGCTGGTCATACCCTGGGTGTCGCTGTGGTTCAGAGTGCGAGGGACACCCCTGATCGAGATGTAATGGGGCAGTTCATCAACAGCAACAAGAGCTGTAAGGGTCCCATCTTCGCGAGACAGGAAGTGGAGGGGTCGAAGAGGCATAGCCATGTTGATGTAGATAACACTGAAAGCCTGCACTGTGTAATATATCAAAGTCCTTCAAATGTTGGAATCAATTTGAATGGTAGAGGGACGAATCGTGATAGATCACCAAATTTGGTCAGATATAGAGAGTGAGATAAGAAGGGGCTTTAGATGGAAAAGAGAAGAAGGCAAAGGAGATCTACCTCATGGAGTTGACGATGAGGATAGATGTTAGAGAGAGTGGCCTCTGAGGGGAGGAAGAAGAGAGAGAGTATATGTGCTTGTGTGTTGTGTGTTGTGTGTGTGTGTGTGTGTGTGTGTGTGTGTGTGTGGAAGAGCAAATGTGCAAGCGAAAGAGAGGCTGGGAGGAAGAGGAAGTTTGGTAGTTCTGAAAAGGGTAAAGCGGCTCTTTCAGTTGTGTTGTTGTTGTTGTTGTTGTTATTGTTGTTAGATGAGAGAGAGAGAGAGAAGAGAAGAAGAAAAAGTGAAGGACTTTGTATCAGAATGCCATTCAGCAGATGACCTTTCTTCTTTTTCTCCTTCTTTTGTGGGGAAGAGACGGTATATAGATCAGCAGGGGGAACTGAATAAACGCTTCTTCACGCAGAGAAAGACATTAGTGTGGTAAGACAGTAAATGATATACAAGGGGAGAGAGCCATCTTAAGGAAAACGTTGGTGTGTGCAAAGGAAGAGAGAGAGGAGGCAGGATCTAATCTAGAGAGACGCGGTCGGTGTTTGCCAGGAAATCTTTGTTTCTTATCCTCAGACAGTCTGACAGTTTGTGCTGACAAGCAGACCAAAGTGCATCCGGGCTAGCAGCCTAGCTGTGGGTTTTAACGGGACTTTGCATCCGCTAGGCTGATAGCTGAGGTGCTTGATATCAACTAGCTTGTCAGGGTAAAAGGGCCTAGATCTGATATAGAAAAGAGGGAAAAATAAGACACAAGATAGAATCACACTATGTGAATGCTAGGATCAAGTGGTATAGGCCATTTAACGGTGGTTGTAGTTTGAAGGTCTCTCTCCTATGTTGACACAAATCAAACAATTCAACAAACTTGCATTAAAGAACCCGGAAGCTTCCATCCTTGAAAGATACGCATTGCCATGGCCCCGTATTGCAATACAAGTGGCAGCCTTGAAACTTCGATAAGCTGTCTGCACATCTGCGTCAAATCTTATCGTTATATGACCAATAATACTACGGACATTTGGTAGTATTAAGATATCTCGACGAGTGTGGCATCCACTGCCCTTGAAGAGACTGGTCTATTTGCTAGGGGTAAAAGGGGAAAAATGCATAAAGCATGTAAATCCGTAGATACTAAATCATAATATCTATACAGTAGACCGCTGTTTTTAGGATGCCTTTGAGAAAGTGCCTGAAAAAAGAAAAGGCCCGCAGCCTTCTTTCCCTTAAGCAGCCCTGCAGAGCAGCAAGTAGCGAGGATGGAATCTCGCTTACTAATCGTGTAATTCCGCGCTGCCACCACCTGCCGCGTTTAGCTAGATGGTGGTTATTATCACGGAGTAAGTATTTTGGAGCAAAAGCTGTTGCAAAGGTGAGGTTTAACAGATTTTCGATTAACTTTCAGACAGACAAGGACTAACTAACTAGTTAGCTGCTTTTGAGTTTACTGGCGCTTAGGCTGCGCTTATTTACGGGGCTCAACTGACGAACCCTTAATTACCTATGTGAATACACTAAGTCGACTGAGATGAATGAGCTTTGGAATGGTAGATGTGGTGGTAGCGGTAATACCCTATACACCACATACTCCGTGCCATTCGACCAAAGACCATATTCAACGATAAAGGTAGCCGCACTAAGTACTTAGTTATGAGCTTGATATTGATGCCACTTGATGTCGGCTTCGTAGGCGCAGGTGCCTGTGCGTGGAGCCACTGTTAATTATGCTTACGCTGCTGAAGTTGATCGCTTATGCTGCTCTAATCCTACAAATGTTTTAATAGTATGACACAAAGAACCACCCAAGTCCATAATGTACACGAAGGGTAATCTAGTTATGGGGCATCCTCAAATAGCACAAGGAGATAGGGGTAGGTAAAAGACGTGAACGAAGGGCAGCTTTTGTCCAGTTGGATCTAGCCCTGATATGTGTAGTTAGTGGGGTATGTATTCTAGTTCGGGCCATAGGGTGAATTATACCCGTAAGGTGCTGCCGGCGATGTAGAGTGTGTGGGTTGATGGACGGGATGTGGCACGGCCGGCCTTGGGGGAGCTGCACGATAACTGGGGTCCGAAAAGTTCGAATATTGTGGCCGAGGAGGTGACTGAGTGGTACAGGAGTACTCCGGGTAGCTTTGAAGGTGAGCGTTCTGGGGATACGAAGGAGGGGGAACTGGAGGAGGATTTCTGGCTGTTGTGTATTGTGTATGCTCTTGAGATGCGGCCTTCTGGCTATTTTTACGTCGTGCGGCGACAAGGTGTCCACGAATTCCTCGCAAATACTTTGTAGCTGCTTCAACAAGGTCACCGGACTCCGTACTTTGTCGGAGCGAGCCAAGCATTGATGCGACTTGTAGCTCTGATTGAAGATGTGGACATGTTCGTAAGTGGCCAAGGTGGGCAATTCCGCAGAGGCCACAATGCTCAACTCCAGCGAGTCTGAGTTGACAATAACCGACAGGGTGTAGATAGTCACATGCCACGCAAGGCTGCTTCTCCTTTGAGCCGGATTGTGTTTCCTCCTCGTCACTAGGATAGGCAATGCTGGCACGTTTAAATGGGCGGGCTGACAGGCCAAGTAAGTATATGAATGAAATAAGTCTGCCACGGATATATGTCTTACCTGCGCGTTTCGTAAACATATCCGACTGCCCAGACGCTGCGGTTCCTTCGGTCTCAGAGTCAGAATGGCCATTGGAAACAAATTCAACATCGCTATCATTATCTGCATTGTTATTCCTGTCATGACCTCGGTAATTGATAGCCTGAAATAGATAGTTTAGCATATAAACATGGGATAATCCTCTTAGTATTGGGTGACATACCTGGCGCTTGCGTTTACCTCGCCCGAACGCTTCTGCCTTGGCCCTCGCTTCCTGTTCTGCTGCCTTTTCTCTCTCTTGAAGGATCTTCTCCCAAACAGTATTATTTGGTGGCGGTGGAGATTCATTATCACCAAGTGCATCCTCCATTGATTCGTTGACCCAGACCCTTGCAAAACTAAACTGTGATTCTGCGGAAGTGTCGTTGCCTACTTTGGTGTTTTCCACTTCACTCTGATCAATCAGGTTAGTAACGGATTGTGAGTCGTAAACGACATCCCCGGTGCTGTCATCGTCAAATAAGGCTTCCGCTCCGTGGCGCAGGATGGCTTCCAGATCAAGATCATCATCATCTTCAGCATCCATGCGCTCGATAAGTACATGGTCCAGTGCCATTTTCTTCTTTCCAATCTGCATAATCTTCTCCTCAGCAGATCCGCGGGTCATAAGCTGGAAAACCATGACTTTCTTTTTCTGACCGATACGATGAGCTCTGGATAAAGCCTGTATATCTTGGTGTGGGTTGAAGTCGGGGTCTAGGATAATAACTGTGTCTGCTGTTGCAAGGTTGATACCAACACCGCCGGCTCTTGTAGAAAGGAGGAATGCAAAGTATTCAGAGCCTGGTGCATTGTATGCATCGATATTTTTCTGTTTTTTCAGCGAAGTCATACTGCCGTCGAGACGAAGATGTGTAAGGCCAAGGCCATCCAAAAAGTCTTCCACGATATCCAAAAAGTCCAAAAACTGGCTGAATATTAGAACTCGGTGCCCACGCTCCTGGAGCTTGGGAAGTAAGAGTTCTAAAAGCTGCAACTTGGAAGATGCTTCGACCATATTCCGGTGAAGCAAAGTAGAGTTGACACCTCTATCCTCGATTGCCTTTGAATAAACAAAGGGGTGACACAGGCATTTTCGAAGCTGCATCAAAATGTTGTTCAAATTGTGGCGTTCACTCTGCCTGACCGTTGAATTAGGGCCAGTATTCTTGAACACCGACTTAATTAGCTGTGGGTTTTTGGCAAGAATTGACTTGTACAGCTTTTTCTGCACAATGGTCATAGAAACGGGTAAGATAATTTGAGCCACTGGTGGGAGGAACGAGAGCACCTGGGCTTTGGTTCGGCGGAGAAAGAAAGGCCTGATCATATCATGGAGTTTGTTGACGTTCTCGTTAGTCATATCTTTGTACTCCTCCTCTAAAGCAGCTGCATTGTGAGAGCGGTCACAGAACTGGAGGATGTTGAATAATTCACGAATGTTATTCTGGAGCGGCGTTCCCGTAAGAAGCAAAGTAAAGGGCACGCTCATCTTTAAGAGAGTTTCATAGAGCTGATTCTTGTCATTTTTCAGTCGATGCCCTTCATCAACGACAAGTCCTGCCCAAGGGATGGTTGAGAATAACTTTCTGGTCTTCTCTTCGACCATACTTTCATAGGACGTCACGACGATATGGCATCGAAGGTCCTTGGATCCATGGGGGAACATTTCATACTCTTGAGCAATTTTCCGCGCAGCTGCTGAGCCATAACATGTAACGACTCGGAGGCTTGGTGTCCATCTTTTAATCTCCTGTCTCCAGTTTGCACAGGTTGAGTTTGGAACAACTACTAGGAAGGGCCAGCAGTTGTGGTCCTGGATTAACGTGGCAAAGAATGAGATAACCTGGATAGTTTTTCCCAAGCCCATCTCATCCGCAAGCACCGAGCTCTGTTGCTTATACCACATGAAGTATATCCAATTCAGACCATCAAGTTGGTAGTCCATCAATTCTCCTCCCACGAGTATTTCAGGCTGCTTCTTGCGCACCCAGTTCTTGGCGAAATCTTTCGAACGGACATGGTCGAGGTGTCTTTTCAGTGCACTGCGTCTAGGAATTTGGATATGATTTCCTACCACCCAGTCGTCGTATGCTGACTGGAAGCTTTGCCATCTCTCAGCATCCTTTCGGTCAGGAGGCTTTTCCCAGACCGCGGACTCGTAAGGAAGGCCTCTATATTTCACATAAGCGCTTTCAACTTCATCAGCTCGAGCTAGATCGATCTCAAGCGTTCGCTCGGAAACAACATTTGAATATTGGACATCAAAGACAATATCTACTTGAAGGTAATCTTCGGGTATAGCATCTTCGGATGTCATTCGAGGCTTTTGTCCATTTTCCGACTTGTTGAACGCCTTCCGTGTAACATGAGCTGCAACTCCCCAAACCCAGGGGCCTGGCATCCAGGAAGTTTGAAAGTAGGAAAGCTTCCGCCATTTGATCAAATACTCCTTAGCTTCCTCTGGGATCTCATCAGACACGTATCCCGGGGTATAGCTGTCTAGGTTGGTCGGTCTCCAAGCGACTAAGGTTTCGATTTCTCCTGGAAGATTCGCACACTCATTACAAGTCCAGCGGCGAGAATACTCCTTGAATCGCTTATCAGACAACTCCGCCTCTTCTAGACTATCATCGACGGTATATGCCGTTCCGGATTTTCTAGGTAAATGATGCATATGCCAGCTGCGTTTGCATGAGTCACAGCGAAACATAACACTGTCTGGCACAGTCAGTAGAGCTTGATCTACATCAATACAAGGATCCTCTCCGCCGTTCTCTTCACGCTGCATATGTTCTTGTCTTGTGGTTAAGCGCGTCCTTAACGGCTTTGTCATTGCTCCAGAGGACTTGCAGCCGGTACAGGTGCCATGATGGGGAGCTGTCGGGTCTTTTTCACGAGCAAGCCCAAGGCAGAATCGACATTGGAGCACGAACAGTTTTGAAGATACTTTGCTGACCAAATGATTCCGGGTCCCACGGGAACCAAGGCAGACTTGGTGGTATGAATCTGTGCAGCCCTGACAGTAGACTAGCACCCCCTTTTCGGAGCTGTCTCCAGCCGTATAACAGACCCTGCAAGCAGATTGGTGACGAAGCACAAAGGGGTCATCTTTTGGCAATTTATAGAATTTCTCCTGTGTAGCTGAGTACTTGGCCTCTTTCTGGACCACTTCTACTTCAGATATGTCGTCCTCTAATCTTTCGGCCATGCTGCCGACTTGTGCTCGCTTCCGCTGCGAAGTACGTACTCCATTGCGGGCTTCCCGCAACGGAGGGGATGAAATTTTTCTTCTCTTTGAACGCGTCCTTCTGTGGGTATTATCACTGGAGCCATCACTGTCTATTTCTATTAAATCCTCACTTGACCGACCACGGCGAGCGTTTAGCCGGCTTGACCTTCTTTTTGTGCTAGAATCTTCAGATTCAACACTAGCAAGTCGCATTGAAGAGTTAACCCTAGCCAAATTTCTTTGACGAAGGCTTTTAGGGCGTGTAGAGCCATTATCGGAATCAGCTGCTTGCGGCCTTCTTGGCTGTCGTCTAGTCGGGCGCCGTGATATAAGCTCGTCCTCCGAGCTGCTTGTGGCCGCTGACTCGGAGCTGGAGAAGACAGCCTGGGAATTAAACGTTGACAGTGCTTCACGGCCACCTTTGAGTGATCGGATCTTGCGCGACGATAGCTACATGTCCGTTAGATAATAGCTCTCTAATTGGGCAAGAAGGTGTCTCGGACTGGACTTACCACTTCAATCTCACCACTTTTGAGGGCTACTTCATATGAGTCCGCAGTGAGGCTTTCCACCTTAGATCTTATGGATTCCACAGTTGAATGGCCCGGTAGATAAGGGTAATCATCCTTATTGATATCTTTTTTGGGAATTTCAACAAATGGAACCAACTTTGTAGTCTGTTGTTCTTCTGAAGGCGCGGTCGTGTTTATGGCCGTAAACTGGCTGAGGATGAAGTTCGCTGTCTCCTGGTCAGAAGACTCCGAAGAGGAAGAAATAGCGAGATCCTGGAACGGCCGCATGATTTGCTGCTGGATATGAGCGATATAGCCTCTTGTTGGGATGTTCTCTCATCGGTAGCTCAGTTAGATCTCAGACGCGGTGTTGGATGAGAACGCGCCTGGCAGCAACATAGATAGAGAAAAGATGGCGCAGGCTGCTCTCTTATTCTCTTATGCACCTCATCCCTTCAGTATAAATCTTCTTAGAAACGTCTTACGGAGTAGACTGCGCATAAACGGGGTCTCAGGGGTTTGATAGATGTTCGCTGCCGTTTTTCTATCACCTCTTTTGGATCTTTCAAGATAGCGATTATGTACCGTAATTACGTTAGATACCATTATACTCGCTGCAGTAACATAGTAGACCTGTATCAGTACCGTATCTACTGAGTTGCCATGGCTACTTTTTGCTTAGTCATCATAGCTTTAATGCGAGTAGAAAACCACTTTAGCTGCGCAAAGCCGTTTCAGATGCGAAGCAAAGGGAAAACGGATGCTTGTAGGTTAACAAGGTGCTTTACAGCTAATCAGGCCCGCTGTTGTTCCTCTTAGAAATGAATACCCCGTACAATGAAGCATGAAGCCCTTTCAACTGCTTTCCGTCAGGCACAAACAAGCAAGAACCTTAAGACTATAAAATGATGACTAATTATAGATACGCTTACATAATGTGTGAGGCTCAAAAAGTATTCTGGTCGGTGCAGCTTTTTTTCTTTTCTGTTTGTTGCATCGCGAAAGAGAAGGAGACGGAGCACTTGGGGGCCTTGTATCAACTGTTTTTTATGCCCGCGATGTTGCTATTATCATCTAGGCTCACGGCTTTCAGTCCTGCTCATTTGCACTTCCAGGGATTACTTGGTTCGCAAGGCGCGAACTCCATTCGGCATCTATCAGTTAACTCAGCTATCACAGCCGGTATTAGAAAAGGCCGCGGATTTGGAGCGCCCAAGCAGAATGATGGGCCGTGGGTCCGACGTGGCCGAATATCATCGCCGCCTCGAAATTCAGAGAAAGCGAGCCAGGGATACACGTTAAATAAGCACGGTGACAACAGCTATGGCCCAGGAGCAAGCAGAACATCGAACTGGAGGAGGTACGGAGAGTTTGACCCTTCAAAGATGGACGATATGACGCCTGGTCGCGCAAATCGACTTTCTAGAGAGAGAAATCCTTTACAATCTCAAAATCAGTACCAAGAATCACCGGACAGCAGCACCCCCAGAAGAACTCCCACGGATTCCCCACGACGATACCAGGCAACAAAACATGGGTGGGGGGAGAGAAGGAAGCCACCGACCTTTGTCGATAATGTGGGAGTGAGGAAGCTTGAGGCTAGCAGTGTGCTGAGCGCCAGACAGCAAATGGGCGGATATGCAAAATCCGAAGACGAAGTGATGGATATACACCACCCTTTGTCTAGCAAAGTCTATATTGTACCGCCTCAACAGATACCATATTCCTCTCCAGTATCAGAGTTCATTTATGGGACGTCTGCAGTTAATGCTGCAGTAAGATGCGGCCGCCGAAAATTGCACACTTTATATCTGTTTGAGGAATCATCCCGGGATCGCTTGGGGGAGCCAAAATGGGAACAGCCTGAAATACGCTCTATTGCTAAGTATGCAAGCTTAGCTGGTGCGCAGGTTAAGCATGTCACCGGGCCTTGGAAAACTACATTGGACAAGATGACTGGCAAACGGCCCCATAACGGCATGGTCTTGGAAGCATCACCACTTCCAAAACCTCCAGTTTTGGGCTTCCAAACGGTAGTTTCCAAGTCGAACTCACATTTCCTGGCGCAATTAGCTCCCCAGCCCGAAGAACAAGCTGCTGTCAACGGCACAGACGGCCACATCCAATTCGATTCTCGCAGGAAAGACAGCAAAGCATCCCGTTTTCCATTCACTCTACTACTCGATGGGATCCTTGACCCAGGAAACCTTGGAGCCATCTTTCGAAGTGCCTACTGGTTTGGCGCAGATGCAATTGTTTTCTCCTCTCAGAATTCAGCACCTATATCTCCTGTTGTAATGAAAGCTGCAGCTGGTGCAACCGAGGCCATCCCTATTCTTTCAGTTCGTGATGTGAGCACTTTCATGACTGCATCTCAGACGAATGGCTGGAAATTTTTTGCCGCAGATGCCCCCGATGCAACGCTGGCTAATGATTATACCCGAAAAATCCCCGTCACGAAGAGCTTAGACAGTCTATCGTCCGAACTCACGAAGGCGCCTTGTGTCTTGATGTTAGGGGGTGAGGGTTCGGGCCTGCAGCAGAAGATAAAGAATAGAGCTGACATGTTTGTTACTATCCCTGGGGCCTATTCAGATAACATTCGCGATGATACTGCTGGTGTTTCAAGCTTGAATGTGAGCGTGGCCTCTGCGTTATTATGCGAAGCTTTTCTCTCCCGTAGACCAGCTTCTAGTGTTGTCGAGACACATAATGCATCAGATACCCCTGCTGAAAATACGAACCGTGTCTTCTAGGTCTTTCTTCGGACCTTGGCCTGAGATACATCACTGATATCTTTTCCATTATATGCCACTGTATTATTACCTCTTTTTGTGTTTCTGGCGTCCATGGCCTTACGCATATTGTACTATAAAGCGGAGGAGCATTTTGGAGTTCTGTGTTTTGGCACCCGTCTTAGAACCGCGGGTAATACTAGTCACGATTTGAATTTGACCACGAACATCATTGCTAGTCACTACTTATTGTCATAAACATACAGTGGAATTCAAAGTGATCTAGATATACGTCAAAAAGTTGAAGTATATTTCATTACGGTAGAGGAACCGCGAGGTTGTTGTAAAGTAGAACCACTCTTGTAGTGAAGTCAACCCTTGGCCTCCAAAGCGCCGTATATACCTCTCTTCTCCCAAACCGCAAACCGTACGCCGTTAAAATTATCATACATGCACCTAGTATCTAGAAAAGAAATTGGGCCTCTTGTAGTAGCTCTATCGCTTCTTTGATTTGCTCTTAGAGGTTGGGCCAGATGAGGAGACGCTCCCTGCTCTTGAGGTATTAGTTGAAGTCGCCTTGCTATTTGACTGAACGGCTTTCAGCTTTTTATTCTATAGGAGATGGTGTTAGTTGCCTGATGTTAATGATAGATAGAAAGAGGTTATTTGCAACGTACCACCGCAGGGGCAGCGCCCTTTGACTTCTTCTTTGCTGGGCCATTATCATCCCCATTTTCTGTCTCTTCATCCCGCGTGCGTGCTTTGGATTTATTGTCTCCATTAGTATCTTTAGTATCACCCTCAAACTCTTTGGCAATTGTGTTCAAGAGGGTGGTGCATCTTCTGCCAATTTCAACTGGAGTACGGGATAGGAAGAACCAATCAAATCGGAAGAGGGGGCTTTCCCGGATCTCGTCACGGATCTTCTCATATAGGCCCTCTCCATCAACACCGTGCCTGTCAAGCATAACAAGTAAGAAACGATCTTCTTCTTCTGTGTATACTTTCTTGTTGGTTGTTGAGACGGTGTAGTTGATCTTCAGCTGCTGGAGGGGAACACGGTACTGTCCCATTTTCTTGTGGAGGAGCTTGCGTTGTTGGTTCATTCTCCTCATCTTCTCCTCACCCTGTTCAATGATGCGGATATACTTTGGATAATCAATAATCTCAGTATATCTTTTCCAGAACACTTTAGCATATTCTTTAATCTCTTCAGGGGTTTTGCTGTCCACTTCGGTAGCCATATCTTCATAACTGGTGCGTCCAAACTTAGCAGAACCGTTGATAAATTGCTGGAAGTCTCTTCGATTCCAATTATAAAACCCTTCCGTGGATAGCTTGGTCTTCTCCTCTTGCTCTTCTGTGGTGAGAGGCACAGCGTTGTCGATCTCTTGCTGCTCAAGTTCACGTTCTGCTTCCCTGTCACTGACTGATTCTTCGGGGCCATCAGGCAGTGCAGCTTTGTAACCAATCTCCTTGTGGAAGTATGCGGTCTCTTTATCTTGCAACTCCTGAAGCTTAGGGGGAAAGAATTGCCAGTCATGAATAGTTGTCTGTTTTGGTGCCTTAGGTACTTTAGCCTTTGGCTCAGAGGGCTTTGTAAAAGTCTGCTTGTAGAAGCTTCCAATGGTGTATGACTGGTCCTTGCGCTCTCGTTTGGCGGGGTTGATCCAGTTCAAACCGATATCCTTCTTACGGTTGGTGAAGTCCTTTCCGTTCCATTCATAGGCATTCTCGGAGGAGAACTTCTGCAGGTCATCAATTCCAAGCTTTTCATATTTGTTTTTGAGCTCAGCGGTGCGTTCTTCGCCTTTCTTCAATATGGCCTCGATGTCATCTTCGGAAATGTCCTTGCCACTGCCGAAGGTGCCACCGGTAGAGCTAAACACATCAGAAGCGCCGTGCTGGATCATGCTCAAAAGTTCATCCTTGGAAGCTGCGTTTTTAGCCTGCTGCTGAGCGCGACCCTGTTGAATGACAAGCTGGTCCAGTCGGAGTTTCTGGGCTGCTCGTTCCAGCACCTTTTCCTCAATGGCCTTCTCGGTGATAAACCTGAATACAACAACCTGCTTGGTTTGGCCAATACGGTGAGCTCGGTCCATAGCCTGGAGATCGGCCTGAGGGTTCCAGTCACTGTCGAACAGGATGACGATATCAGCTGTTGTCAAGTTGATACCCAGTCCACCGGCACGTGTGGTAAGAAGAAATACAAATTTCTCAGAGCCTGGGCGGTTGTACTCGTCAATTGCCTGAATACGGTCCTCATGTGCGGTTGAGCCGTCAATTCGACAGTATTCATGACCTCTGAACACACAGTAATCCTCTAGAATATCGAGAACACGGCTCATCTGTGAGAAGATCAATACTCTGCTGCCTTGCTTGAACAAACGAGTGAGCAACTTGTCTAGGATGACCATCTTTCCTGAATTGTCAATAAGATGCTCGTCTGTGGTATAAGGAGGGCCTGGCTCTGCTCCTTCAAATAGATAAGGGTGATTGCAGCACTTGCGCAGCTGCATGACGATGTTTAGAAGCCTGGTCTTGGATTCCCGGTTGCCCTGAGCGCCGTTGACTGCATCGATATCCTTTTCAAGAATCTTCTGGTACCATTTGACTTGCATTTCTGACATGCCAACGTAGAGATTGAGTTCCTTCTTTGGAAGCAAACTCTTCTCCACATCACTTTTCACTCGACGAAGCAAAAACGGGCGAAGCACTCTGTGTAGCTGCTGAACGACTGTGTCCTGGTCTGCCTCCTGGTTAGAGAACCATTGGTCAAAGGCCTCAGAGTCACCGAACACATCAGGAAGCAGGAAGTTTAGCAATGCCCATAGTTCGTGGAGGTTGTTCTGCAGAGGAGTTCCCGTGATCAAAAGCCGGTTTCTGGACTTGAACACGCGAATGATCTGAGAGAGGGACGACTCCTCGTTCTTGATTCGATGCGCTTCATCGATAATAATGTACTCCCAGGCGAACTTTTTCAAATGCGACTTTTCTCTAAGGATCATCTCGTAACTGGTGATGCACACATCGAATTTCTCGTCGACAAGGCGCTCATTGATGAGTTGGTGGCGTTCATCCTTGGCTCCCTGCAGAACCAAGACATTGACATCGGGTGTCCATTTACCGAACTCTCGTTTCCAGTTATCCAGAGTCGACTTTGGGACGGCAACTAGATGAGGGCCCGTGATTCCGCAGATATGTCGAAGATATCCCAAGAACGAGATAGTCTGGAGAGTTTTTCCAAGGCCCATCTCGTCAGCTAATATGCCTGAGATACCGTTTTCGTGTAGCGAAACCAGCCAGTTCAGACCAGCGATCTGGTAATCACGCATTTCACCCCCCTGAATGAATGAAGGCGATTGTTGGAAGACGGTTTCCGTCTTTCCTCCTCGTTTCTCGTCTTTCAGAAGCTCCGCATCCTCTTCTTGTTCTGTCCTTCGTCGGCGTTCTCCTGCGGCGCCGCCCTTTCTGGTAGCTCCTTTCCTCGAACCTGATGACGCTTCATTCTGGCGATCGATCTCGGCCATGATCTCCTTGATCCGTGGGTTAGGATTAGTATCGATAAAGTGGCGGAATAAGTCAGTTAATCCGAGCAGATAGCGGAATCGTCGAATGGAATCATCTTCCTGTTTTAACATAAATTTGAGTACCTAGGCTAGTAGCTGATAATCCAGTAAGTGAGTGAACGACATACCATTGACTCATCAAGACGTCCGTGTTTTTTACCAAGGACACTTTTGCGTAGCTGGAAGGCCTCTGTCCTTCGTTTCCTTCCATCTGGAGCAGTATCGCCAGCAACACTACTTGCGGTGGTATTGGGGTTTGTATCGGAATCCTACGACCGTCAGCAATGAAACGAAGCATCGGGTGGTTATAGATAGAGGCTTACCGTGTAGTCCGGCGTATCTTGATATTCCTACAGTGGAAAAAAGGGGTAAAGTGTTAGCTTGATATCTGCATCTCCCACATGTGGTGCATCTCCCCACGTCCGCAAACTGCTTAACGCGTCCTTCAAGCGTACCTTCATATCTTGATCCTCTCGCGCATCGTCAGAAGGCTGGTACTCGACGGCATCAGCCATGGTTACATCTTCGTCGCCCGTTGAGGGGAGCTCTTGCACCGGAGCCATGTCCAGGTAGCAGGACACTCGGGACCGAAATATAGATTTATAGCAGGCGGACGCGCTCTAAAACCCGTTAAAATGGCAAGAGAGAAATAATAGGTCTAATAGAGCGTCGATATGCAGGAAGAACCAGTGGTATCTGGAGCGCGATCTCTCATGACCTGGCTGTCCAGGTGTCTGTCTGTCCCTGTGTATGTGCGAGAGAAGAAGAAGAAGCTGGATGGCGAAAGCGAAGAAGGTGAAAACCCTCGAAACGAACAAAACCGCGAGTCTTTTTTTTCCTTTCTTTTTTTTGGCAGGACAGAAAAAAGGGAAGAGGCTGAAGACGCGCTGATTGGTCAACTCAAATGAGTAAGCGGATGAATAATCAAGATGAGTAGGTCGGAGGGAGAAACGTTTTGCCGATGGAGAAAAGAAAATCCGAAAGTTAAAAAGTGCAGAAAGTAAAAAAAGATAAAAAAAGATAAAATAAAATTCAAAAAAAAAAAGAAGAAGAAAAGAAGAAGAGGAAGAGGAAGAGGAAGAATTGATGATGTTCATATATAAGTTCACGAAGGGCTAGCAAGTCGCTGTGTAGGCAGCTTCACGGCTGTAGTTAATGGCTGGAGTCCCTGTAGTCACTTTCACTGACTCAGAGCGACCAGGGAACTTGTAACTTCTTCATCCCTGGCCACAAGAAGAAAAACATCCAAGGCAGAACTAAATAACCAATTCTCATGCATGTGTGAATATACAAAGAAAACACTCTCACTCCCACCTGTTTCACCTTCTTAAGTGACGTAAACCATCGAGCTCTCACCTTGTCCTTTGCCGCCAAAAGATACCTGTATGAAAAGCAAGCCGGGAGAAAGGAATCTCCGCCTCTCCGCCAGCCCGTCAAAAGCCGTCAAGGTCCCAAACACAATAGTCACTTCTTCCAACTCCAACCTCAGCTTTTGCTCTCGTCGACTCCAGCGTCACCACCTGTTTACAGTCGCTCGACCAGTATACTCGTCCTGTTTCGATCGGACTGCTGCTCGACATACAATCTACGAGCCAGTCCTGCCTCGCTTCGCTGTGGCCTCTCCAGAAACCGGCCTTCCCCCACTTCGCCAGGCACAAACTTGAGCGCTGGATCAGCCCAAAGAAAAAAACCTATTCCGCTACTCGACCACGAACCCCGATAACTCTTGGTTAGCAGCTATTGAACCATATAAAGGGGGACGGGAGCGCTGTGTTTCTACCTCGTCACAGCATCGTCCACTCCGCAGCCATGGATTCAATGCGGTCACTCAATAAATCACTTCCGTCTACGACTACAGCACAGCCTCCGGAGCTACTCCTGCAAGCATTCAAAACCGCTGCCCTATCCGTTACCAACCTCTACAAGAATGCAGTATCGGACCAAGCTCAGTCACGGCAACTTGGATACCAGGACGCACTCGAAGACCTCCGAGCTTTCTTGGATAAGGAGAAAATAGGTTTTACAGATGGCGAAGGACAGAAGATCAGGAACTGGGTCATGGATAAGATCGATATGACTGGAACGGCTTCAAACGACAGTGATGATGATAAAGTCGACACCGACAAGGCCAACCGAGCAGCGTCACCGGCTGCTGTACGCAAAACGAATCCTGATACCGCTGCCTCGAAACCACAACCTGAACCTGCTCCGTCAAGGCAGCCCTCCGAGACCCCTACGCCCCCATCAACGTCCATACCCTCTGAGCCTATTGCTATAGTGCCTCCCCGGACGGCGGCCTTCACTTTCACCGCCGGTCAGAGCCTCCCCATGCAAGAGGATATCGATATGAAAGCCGGCATGGATAGCTCTCCCTCGTTATCAGGCGACCCACAGATCACCACCTCACATCCGTCTCATCCCCCGGTCAGGCTAGAAGTGCATGCCCGTCCACCTCGAACACCACACCGCCACGGAAGCGGGAACCGCCATAACCCTCGCTCTATCAACCGGGATCCCACGCCCGGCGCTGGATCGAAACGGAAATTCCATTTTGGCGAATTTTTTGATATCTCGAATCTAGGAAACGGCCGAGATCCGTTCGGCGGACCGAAACGAGGCCGCTTCTTATAGTTATATACTCTTTTTCTACTTTCCTCTTCTTCTCTCCTCATTCTCATTCTACGGCTTATAGAATGGGATATGCAGAGCTCTACGATGCATTAACTTCGGGGCGTTTTGGACCTTTTTTTCGCCCTTTTCTTATACATCATTTTTCTATACTCTCATCATTTGCATGTAGATAGGTAGCATCATCGAAATCGGAGATACCCAATAAAGCCTCGAGTTGATTTGCTCGTAAATTCGTTTCTAAATAAAATGTAGTATACAATCTATGATGCCACGCATTCCTCTAATAAATAGAATGGGTGCATAATATCATACAGTCCACCAAAGTCTCCTTCTTTTCATATTCAATTAAAAGCTCTCCATATTCCCAATCCCACAAGAGAGGTTGATATCATGACAACTCCTAGCCTTCTGGACCCCATCCTGTACTTCGAGCCGCTTGCTAGAATCTTCTGTTCTTGCTCACGTAGGTTCTTCATTCCGGTGTAATAGCTCCAGCCCCCAAGTCCGGCAAGTGCCAAACTGCCTATATACCAGCAAACGAGCCAGACGGTTAGCTATGCACTACCAGCGTACAATCATAGACCCATACCAGTAGCCCTGCATGCCAGACAGTCATCATATTTATCCTGAGCAATCGTCTTTTCGATATCCTTGGGGTTGATTTCCCACGGCGCATCTGGCTGCTTTGCCATGCTGATCGGTAGGCGTGACGATAGAGTAATTCAAAGACTGGCAGTATAGGTATTATCTAGCTATTAATAATTAGTCGTTGGCTTCATAAAAGGGGGATAAATACACCTACCGATGGGGTATTGTCCTTTGATGTAGCTCCTGTTGAGAGTTGTGCTCGCAGAAAGTAAGAAAAACCGAAATCTCCGATGAGGTCACGCACTCCAAAGTACATCGACTAAATAAATACCCTGACTATCATACCAAACCGCATCTATAACCTCCCACACCTCACGACTGATGCGTTCGCAACGATGAGCGCTGTTATAGAAGCTCTTTATATTTACGATGAGACGAAGTGAGCTCTTCCACTTTCGCCTCCAGTGTCTGGATATACATGCTGACATCAGGAATAGCGCACCAATCCTTGAACATTGCTACCGCTCGCGCCCTCCCCCCGCGACGGCAGTCTCCTCTCTCTTTCTAGCCCATCCAGCTCCACGGCCATCCCTGATATACCTCCCCGATGCCTCTCCTCCCGTCTCTGTCTTCTCAGTTTCGCATACAAACCTCCTGTTCCTGGTCCCGTGTAGCAGCGAGGCAGAACCACTTCTCGTCCTCGAATTTATCCACCGAGTTATAGATGTGCTAGAAGAGTTTATTGGCGCGCCTTTACTTGGGACAAAGATACAGAATAGCTATGATGTAGTTGGGCAGTTGCTGAATGAAATGTGCGATGCTGGCATCGTGTCTAATACCGAACCGAACGCTCTACAAGAGGCGGTTGATGTCCCTGGGTGGATGGGCAAGCTATTGAGCGGGGTGGGATTGCCCGGGTGAATATTGACCGCGATATCTCGCTCTCCTTGAATAATTTTATATATTTGCTAACGATGTACATGTGGTGGGATAGTGCATCGCAGGCATCAGCTCTCGCAAAGCCTCTAAATCAGCCCCTAGCCACTGCTCCCGCCTTAGCAAATGCGCCAGCTATACCCTGGAGACGCCCCGGTGTTCGGCATACTTCAAACGAGTTGTATGTTGACATAGTTGAGTCTCTATCGGTTATATTTGCCCCCTCTGGTAGGCCAATATCCGCCTTAGTACACGGTACCATTGTGTTCACAGCAAAGATATCGGGTGTGCCGGATTTGCTTCTATCTCTAAGTGCACCTGGGGGTCAAAGAAATCTTGCGCATAAGATTGAATTGCCCGTTTTCCATCCCTGTGTCCGTCTGGCACGCTGGAGAGAAAAGCCAGGTGAACTGAGCTTTGTTCCCCCAGATGGAAGATTCGTACTAGGAGGATATGAAGTCAACTTGCTTCCTGTTAATCCTGAAGATGACAATCCGCCTGCTCATATGGAAAAATTATTCCTCCCGGCTACAGTAGATATAAAAAAGGGCCTTGGTCCTACCGGATCAAATTTTGAAGTGAGGCTAACACTAAATAACAGTTTTCCCGGGGCTACTTCTTCAAGAAGCGGTGGAAGCGGAGGTGGTATAGGTGGGAATGGGGGGATGGGGAGCTCGATAGGCCGTGGATCTGGGACTTCAACCCCTTCTTTCCTGAATGTCGGAACCATCGGCGGTAGCTCGTCGTCCCCGACCCTAGATGATGTAGTGGTGACAGTTCCCATACCGCCGTCAGTGCGGAACATCACTGATATCCAGCCGAGTCGGGGTGAAGCGACATTTATGCCAGGGAATGAATCCTTAGAATGGCGCATACCTACCAGAGAGAAAGACGGATCGATCTCTGGCACAGCCACTCTGAAAGGAACCATACTGGGGCCCCTCCATGAGCTTGATGGTGACGATGAAATAGTTGAGGGGGATGGTGAAGGCCGTTCTCGACGATTAACTTCGAACCCTCTCAGAGGGTATTATGACGAGACTTTAACTGGGGGCACAAGCTATCAGGATTCAGGGGCAACAACGGATGATACTCCACTGCCAGAGAAGACTGAAGGGCTATCACCAACTGCCAAACAAATGCGGAAAAAGCAGGCAAATGCCCTATTGATGCCTTCATCTGCCTCGGTATCGTTTTCTGTACGTGGTTGGCTACCGAGTGGTATACGTGTTGACTCTTTGATGGTTGACTCGCGAAGAAGTCGCGGGCTAGGGGAAGGAGTTAAGCCCTACAAGGGTGTCAAATATATATGTGTGAGCAGGCAAGGGGTTGAGACAAGATGTTGAACTGGTAATCATATGGAGATTATTTAAAACTTCTGCAATGCATAGCCTCATTTGGTCCAGCATTCAGTTTTCAAAAGCAAAGAAGGGTGCCAAATAAAAAAAAAAGTACATTTCAATAGATTTGTGATTAGGAAGTGCACAATGGTTAATTGGCAACTCAGTACGGATTTCGGTATTATAACCATTGTTGCTAATATGAACGTATATATACCTACCCGAACTGGCCACTCATTTTGAAAATAGGAAAACAGGTAGACGGGAAAAAAGAATGCGTATGTCTACCTAGAGCTTCGGGCCACGATTGGTGTAGTGATATAGAGCGATTGCGACTACACTAGTTGTTAGCAACAGTCAACTCTCATCGTTAAGCAGCAGTGCGGTAGAGTCAAAGGATAATATCGATATTAAAGCGAGAACCTTGAAAGCAGTAGACAGTAATCAAACAGAATATTGCTTAGATGTAGGTGAAGAAAGCCGCGAATGTACATATAGTAAAGGGGTATCAAAAACTGTAAATAAATATGACCTCGTACACGTGTTATCATGCGGATTTCGCGTCTGCGTAGGCGATAGAACGGGGTTGATATCAGATCAAAGATCACAGTAATACCAACCAAAAACGTGACAAGGAGTTGTTGGAAAAGATATACTGATAGAGAAATTTACTTACCCAACACTGTCGCAGCCGCCCTTGTGGCACCTGACTTATTTGGCCCTTTTCCCAGGGTGATAAACCAGGTAATCCACTCGAACAATCCATAAGTTCTTTCTCCGGCACGGTTGAAATTAGGCGACTTAAGGCTGGCGGCTTTGTATTTATTAAGTTTACCAATATAAGGCGGGTAACGGATAGTCAAAATACGCTCGACCCAGCCAGGAGTTGAAGTGATGGAGCGATGATGCGTGAAGGCGTCGAAGCTGCTACGGCCATGGTAGCAACCAGTACCACTCTCACCAACACCACCGAATGGGAGTGTTGAGATAGAAGCATGCATAAACGAATCGTTCACGGAAGCACCACCAGAGCGAACAGAGGCAAGGACTACCACAATATTAGTATGTATATCGTAATGTACAATAAGGAATGGGAATAAATAGTTACCTTTCGCGGTTTCCTCCTTGGATCCAAATGGATAAACGGCCAATGGAGTTCCATCAACTTCATTTGCAATCCTAATTGCTTCATCCAAATTCGATACGGGCAAAAGTGTAATGATTGGTCCAAAGCTCTCTTCAGATATGAGAGAATCATCAGTGGAATCGACAAGTACAACAGTGGGTTCGATGAATTTCTCCTTCTCGTCCATGGATCCACCGAGAAGGATCTTCCCCTTGCTGTTGTCGACCATCTGCTTAATGCGCCGGAAAGCGCCCTCGTTGACAATACGAGAGTAGTCAGAGGATGCCTTTGCTCCGTTTGGATAATATTCTTTGATAGCCCTCTCAAACTCAACCACCAGCTGATCAACAACCTCCCTGTCAACAAGGATGTAGTTTTGTGAAAGACAAATCTGGCCAGCATTGAATGTCTTTCCCCATAGCAGACGTCTGGCAACAAGTCTCAAGTCCGCGCGTTTTGTAACAAAGGCAGGGTTGCGGCCACCCAATTCGAGCAAGACGGGTGTAAGGTTTGGAGCTGCTGCTTGAGCAACAATGCGGCCAACTCTAGAGCTGCCTGTGAAACAGATCTTATCCCATCTTTCGTCTAGTAATGCTTTAGTTTCTGGGATGCTTCCCTGAACAACAGACACACAAGAGGGGTCCAAAGCAGCCTCAACGATTTCCTGAATAACGGCAGCGCAGTGCGGCGAAACTTCACTCGGCTTGATGACGACGGTGTTACCAGCAGCAATGGCACCAATGACCGGACCAAAGGTTAGCAGGAATGGGAAATTGAATGCTCTGGTTACGGAGAGTTAGCTAAATGTAGCTTTAGATTAAGAAGAAGAACGAATCACGAACCCAATAACCAGGACACAGCCCAAGGGATCCTTTCTAATGGTTGGCTTCATCAGCGAAAATGAGAGGTCAATATCGGCAGCCTTCTCGTCTTCAGCCCACTTGGGCAGATTTTTGGTCACAAAGATGATATCATTGAGTAGCATCACAAGCTCCCCAACGTAAGCTTCATATTCCGGTCTGTTTAGGTCCTGTTTAAGGGCCGCAGTCACCAAGTGTTCCCGGTCCTTGACTCTAATAAACACAGATAAAAAAGTCAGTAAGAGCTAGCTATAGCTGCGTGTATATGAATTGGAAAGAAGTTAAAATCTCCTGTCACTCATTCAGGGGTCCCGGCACTCACGCCCAGTATAGCTTCCGCAGCTGCCGGAGACGGAACTCGATAGGCCGAGTCTTATGCTCGAAAAAGGTAGTCCGAACATTCTTGACGCGCGAGGGGATCTCCTCGACGGGTGTATATTTAAGGGTTGGGAGAGCGGGAGACGCCATCTTGTACTTGGGCTGGTACACAGTGCGTGTGCCAACCTGGTGTCGACTTATTAAAGCTGGGTGGAAGGAGTATCCAAAAATGCCGATTATCTGGTCTCTAACGAGCGCTTGCAATAAGTTAAAAGAGGTGGTATCAATGATATTACGGTCTTCTGGCCTGGTATGGTAGTCTGAGAAGCAAACCGATGAGGTTGTTTTAAACTTGACGGCGCAGTCGCATGCGCCTGGCGAAGGTGCCGAGGTAACTTTCAACCCCTGCAGCGACTCGGGCATCGGAACAACCTTGGGCGGGCCGGGATAATATGAGATTGGTGGTGATCAAGGTTATTTATCTCCCAAGTAGAACTACTCCGTACGGCCTAAAAAGATGGATACAGGATGAAGACAGGTGTGGCATGATCATTAATTCATGAGGAAGATGATAGCAATTTGGATACATGATCATACATAGATAGAAGAAGATGAAGTCCGAATAGTAGCTCGAAATAGATAAAAATAATAGTAATAAAAATGATGTGAAACTCCGTCCATGTGAAAATATGCACCATCCCTTATTCCAACAGTGATGTTCGTGATATGCGGTACTTGAAAAAGGAGCAGGCATAAATAATCATTAAAAACGCTCACAGAATGCATGAACAAAACTCAAGGAAAAAGTGTAAAAAGCACGGGGTGAATAGGGGGATAGTAAGTAGTTAATGGGGGAAAATCAATCATGACATGACATGAACAATCATACAGTCGTAAATAAGTAAATATCATGCTGCGGTAAGAACTTGTCGAAGCTTCTCTCTGAAGCTCATGCTTGCGGGAGCATCCTCGCGGTTTTTATACAGACTTGAGCGGCGTCGACGCAGTCGTTCTGGTGGAGGGTCCTCCTTCGCGGCCTTGTCTGCGGGAGCTTCGAGCCTCATCGATCGTCGGCGTTCTCGACGGTGCTCCCGATGCTCCCGATGCTCTTGCTCCTTCGCAGGTTCTTTCTCCTTGGCTTCTTCGTGCTTGCTTGGCTTTCGTTCTTTGCTATTTTCACCTCTACTTAGTCTTCGTTCTCGAGGCTTCGGTTCTTCCGTTTTCGGTTTGGGAGGCTTTTCTTGCTCTGTCCCTTCATCGATCTTAGGGGACTTCCTTTCACGCAGCTTATTCTCCTCGCTCCTGGCGTTACTCCGCCGTGCTCGCTCCCTAACTTCTTCAGCGTTGGTGGACCTTCTTTCACGGCGCCTATCGGAGTGAGAACGAGAGCCTGAGTTTGACTGAGAGTGAGTAGAGGAGCCAGAAGTATTTGGAGGTGATGGTCGTTTGACGGGAGGGACTGGGGAAGAAGTCTTCGCCCGCTCGTTCACTTTCATAACCGGCTGATGAGCTGTTGATTGGCCAGTGGTAATTAATCTTAACAAAGCAAGGGGCTTAGAGGCAAGTGAAGATATCGGGTTTTGGCCTGTACCGGCAGGTTTAGGGGCGGCTTTGGGCCGGTCACGGCCCGATAGAGACAACCGCCGGGCAAGAGGTCGCTTTGGTGGGTTTTGAGGACGTTCTTCCTTCGATTGTTCCTCCTTAGGACTTCCGGACTCCTTAGAACGTTCTGCCTCAGCTCTGCGGGCTTCTCGCCTCTTTCGTCTCTCTGCTCGCTCAGCTTCAGTCTCATTTGGCCGGGGGCGGCTGCTTCTATGTCTAGTATGCCCTGAGTGTTTCGTCTCCTTTACTTCAGTGGCCGCATCGGCCGGTGGTGAAGACTTCACCTCTCGTTCGGCTCTTGGTCGACGAGAGCTAGGTTTTTTCTCACCTGAGCTTTTTGAAGACCGTGGCTCCTCTCCTGGTGTGGACCGTCGATGTTTCTTGTGCCTTTTTTCTTTCGATCGCTCTTTCGATCGCGATTTCGGCTTTGATTCAGTTACAGGTTTTGGAGCTGTATCTTCTAGAGCGGGAGCTTCCACGGCCTTTGACACTGGTTCTTCCTTGATTTCTTCCGCAGGCTTCTCGTCGACAACAGGTGCGGGTTCTGGGACTGGCTCTTCAACGGCCTTCGGCTCGTCTGCCAGAGGTGCTGCTGCTTCTCCTGCAGCGACGGGCTCTGCTACAGCCTTTTCGGGAGGTGCTTCTTCCTTGGCAACATCTTCTGCCGGTAGCGAACCATCATGAGTTTTTTCAGTTGCCAGTGCCTCAGGGACTTCGGCAGAAACCTCTTCTGACGTCGCTGGTGTTGATTCTGGAGCAGATTCTCTTGAAAGATTCTCTTCGGCCGTAGCTATCTCCTGAGTTGGAGCCTCTTCTAAGGGAACAAGGTCTTCAGGAGCAGACTGTTCAGGAACTGCTTCTCCTGGTTGTTCAGCAGAAACCTCTGCCAGGTCCGCCGGAACCGGTGTTGGTTCTTGGAGTGCAGGATCTTCAACGACTGCTTCATCGGATTTCGGCTGGTCATCCACAGGTTCTTCAGCAGGTTCACTGGCTTTAGGTTCTGTAGCTGTTGCCTCCGCAGTAGCTGGTTCCTCGACCGCAGCCGCCTCGGGGGCGGGCTGTTCAACTACCGGCTCTTCACTTATCGTTGCCTCTTCGGCAGTAGGCTCCTCGACAGCGGCCTCTTCAGCGGCGGGTTGTTCGGCTGCTGGTTCCTCTATAACCGGCTCTTCAGCAGTGGGTTCTTGGGCGGCAGGTTCTTCCGCTGCCTCCCCGGTCGCTGGCCCGTCGTGTATTGGTTCTTCAGCAACGGGCTCTTCGGCAGCAGGCTCCTCCACAGCATCAGGCTCCTCCACAGCAGCAGGCTCCTCCACAGCAGCAGGCTCCTCCACAGCAACTGGTTCCTCTGCAGCAGCAGGTTCTTCAGCAGCAGCTGGCTCCTCCGCAGCAGCAGGCTCCTCCACAGCAGCTGGTTCCTCTGCAGCAGCTGGCTCCTCCGCAGCAGCTGGCTCCTCCGCAGCAGCAGGCTCCTCCACAGCAGCAGGCTCCTCCACAGCAGCTGGTTCCTCTGCAGCAGCTGGCTCCTCTGTAGCGGCGGGTTCTTCAGCAACGGGCTCTTCTGCGACCTCCTCCTCTATAGCTGGCTCTTCCACAGCTGGCTCCTCTACGGCAGCAGGTTCTTCAGCAGTAGCAGGTTCTTCAGCAGCAGCTGGCTCCTCCACAGCAACTGGTTCCTCTGCAGTAGCTGGCTCCTCCGTAGCAACAGGTTCTTTAGCAGCAGCTGGCTCCTCTGCAGCGGCGGGTTCTTTAGTAACGGGCTCTTCCGCGACCTCCTCCTCCACAGCTGGCTCTTCTACGGCAGCAGGTTCTTTAGCAGCAGCAGGTTCTTCAGCAGTAGCAGGTTCTTCAGCAGCAGCTGGCTCCTCCGCAGCAGCAGGTTCTTCAGTAGCAGCAGGCTCTTCTGCAGCTGGCTCCTCTACGGCAGCAGGTTCTTTAGCAGCAGCAGGTTCTTCAGCAGTAGCAGGTTCTTCAGCAGCAGCAGGTTCTTTAGCAGCAACAGGTTCTTCTGCAGCAGCTGGCTCTTCTGCAGCTGGTTCCTCTACAGCAGCTGGCTCTTCCACAGATGGCTCCTCCGCAACAGCAGGTTCTTTAGTAGCAGAAGCCTCCTCCGCAGCAGGATCTTCCACATCTGGCTCCTTTGCAGCTGGCTCCTCCACAGAAGCAGGTTCCTCTGCAGCGGTGGGTTCTTCAGCAGCTGGTTCCTCCACAGCAGCTGGCTCCTCTATGGCAGCAGATTCTTCAGCAGCAGCAGGCTCCTCCACAGCAGCTGGAGCCTCTACAACTGGTTCTTCGGTGGCCGCCTCTTCCACAGTTGGCTCCTCTACAGCAGCAGGCTCTTCGGCGACTTTGTCTTCCGCAGCAGCTGGAACCTCTACAACTGGCTCTTCCGCAGCAGGCTCTTCCACAGCTGTCTCCTCTGCTGTCGGTAGTTCAGCGGCGGCTTCCTCAACTGTAGACTGCTCAACAACAGATTCTCCAATTGGAATGTCAGAATCAGTGCCTTCTGTGGCCACATTTTCTGTGCCTTCGATTGCCGCCGGAACGTCTGCTATTGCCGGAACCTCTTCGGCAGGACCCTCCTCAACGGATGATTCTTCTACAGCCGGAGATTCTTCTGGAGTCGTTGCCTCTTCCGCTGGCGTTTCTTCCACTGTTGTCTCTTCCGTAGTGGGTGATTCAGAAGAGGCATCTTGAACGGGTGATTCTTCTGTGTTCGACGTATCAGGAACTTCTGCCGGCGCTGGTGTCTCCTCCGTAGCTGGGGCTTCTAGAGCAGGAGCCGTTTCCGCAGGGGAATCTTCTGTGACGGGAGCTTCCTCAGGAGCCGCCTCCTCCGTCAATGGCTCTGTAGCCGGTGCCTCCTCCGCAGCCTCCCCCGCAGCTAGAGTTTCTTTGGCCGGGGCCTCTTCTGCGGGCGACCCTTCCGTCGCCGATGTATCTTCGGCACATGACTCTTCCGCAGAGGGAGCTTCTTTTACCGGATCTTGTTCTGCCGGAGTGTCTTCTATAGCAGGCTTTTCTTCAGTTGGGGCTCCTTCAGCAGGCAGATTTTCCGCAGTGGGAGCTTCTTTTGCTGGTTCTTCCGCAGCTGGAGCCTCTTCTGCAGCGGGCTTTTCTTCAGCCGAAGCTTCTTCAGCGGATCCATCTTCTGCAACAGGAGCTTCTTTTACTGGTTCTTCGGCCGGAGTTTCTTCTTTAGTAGGCTGTTCTTCAGCTGGAGCTTTTTCAGCAGGCGGATCTTCAGCAGCGGGAGATTCTTTTGTCGGCTCCTCTGCTGGAGTCTCTTCCGCTGGCTTGTCTTCTACCGATGGTGCCTCGTCTGTTGCTTTTTCGGGCTTCTCAGAGGCCTCATTTCCCGTTGGATCTATGAAGTTGTAAGTACATATGGCTCAGTGGCATGATACTTGATAGCAGGTATTGTAGTATGCTTCGGTTACCAACAGATAGTTAACTTACCTGTAGGTGTTTCAGAGACATCTTTTCCGGCATTAGCATCAGTTGCCGGTTCATCTTGTGGTTGCTGGTCAGGGGGGGTGTCCTTTTTTGGCTCTGCGTCAGCGGTAGATTCACCATTGCCGTCATCTGATGGTGGAGAAGAATATAACGATGAAATAGGACAGTCTGTAAATTGACCGGTGTTCCAATCATAGGTTTGATAATTAAACTGAGGAAGTGAAGCATACTGATAGCTTAGATTCGACATTTTCGGGGAGTGCAGACGAGCCGTCACCCTCAGGCAGGTTGCTGCTACTCCCGTTGTCAATGTTGGGCACGACTGAATTGGCCGGCAGTCGATTGGTCTTCTTTGTCTTCTTCTTTTTGGCCATGGTCAAGAATATCTGTGACGGTTTTGCGGGGATGTGAAGAGTAGAAAAAGGTTGAGGAGACGGGGACACAGGAGCAGTGATATGAGAGGTCTATTTGGGCGATATGGTGTGGCAGGGCTCGGCAGTTCGGGGATAGATTGGCGTCCGTCAGAAAGGCGACCTGCGGCCCGGGATTTAAGGTGAGGTTGAGGAATATTGGGGTAAGATTGGAGGAGGGGGATAAATTGAAGCGTGGTTGAGCGAAATTGAAGCACGTCGAGCGATACAAATTATAACGAGTACTCCGTAATACTAGCTCCTATGATGCAGGAAAGCATGTGCCCGATAACCTCATGTGTTGTTTAGGCCTATCAAAAGCAATCATCATCGATAGGGTCATGTAATCAACGGCCATTATTGAGAATTGGAAACGATAGTTTCTCAGGGAAATGTGCTCTCCGAAGCAGCTATGCAAGCCCAAGTGCCATTGGGGCCACGTCTCCCTGCCCCATGGGTCTTCAGAATGGGATTACAGACAGCACCGGATGCACGCCCTACTAAGGCTTGTGGAAAGCGGCCGCTGTGAAGGAGGGAAACCAGGGTAACCCGCTGCACGATGCTATTAATTGTAAAACAGCAAGTCAATGCCAACGTGACAAGAAATACAAGGAAAACGCTGTATCATGGGGAGTGAAAAGCCATCCTATCCTCTGCTCCAGGGGAGAGGCAGGCCATGCACTTGAGCGGGTCAGACGGTAAAACAGAGGCGGGAAGTGGTTATAATCAACAAACCAACCCAATCGCAGCAACCTGCAAGAAAATCTCCCTCCTTACCAGCCAGACGAAGAAGAGGTGTGGAAGCCAGATTTCTTCCAGTGACCCGGAAGCGGTTCCGAGGATAGCATCATTTTGTGCCCAATATCCCGCAATTGGCCGCCTGGCCGACAGGCACTTGCAGGGCTGTGGAGCATGCCTGAGGCTGGCGGTTGGTCAAGGACCAGACAGTCTCAGATCCTCGCGATCTACAGATGTTTCCTAACCGTTCGGGTAACAAAGCAATATTCTCTTCCTAGGGATCCTATGCTCTAGAAGAAAAGTCGGTTAGGTGGCTGGGGGCAGAGGCGATAAACCTGCAACGTATGTTGTAGCAAGTGGTTACCGAAAGCTCCGAGGAGTCGCGGTCAGCACGAGACTTCGTTCTCCTGTTTCGTGCTGTTTCTCATTCATTGGGTCAGATGCAGATAAAGCCAGAGCCTAACTCTAGGAAAGGCGAGGGTTCCAGAACGAGCTTCACTTCAACAAGCAGGGAAGAATGGCCAGATATCAAACGTTTCTTTTTCGCCTTTCAACGAGATGAGGATAAGCAAGCCAGAAAGCGCCCGTTTGGGCTTAGTCGCGGTTCGGGCCGACTTAAACCCTAATGACTCAGCACTACGGCGGATTTAATTGGCTGGTCAATTCAAGACTGCTCTCTGATTGGCTGCCTCACGCCATCAAGGGCTGCCCACGCAGCTGGTAACTTTAAACGTCAACCTGCTATCGGATTTGCTGGTGACCAACAACAAAACCGTGAGAAGAGACTTGTATAGAGTCAGGGAGCCCGCCCAGCACGGCGTGATTGTACGGAGTACGTGGTGACCTCTTCGCCTACTCTGACTTCAGGAACAGGAATGCATTTTCTTGCCTCTCTGCATGACTCCCGGGTGCTCAGCAGCTACAAACCTGATGCAAGTAGCAGAAGGGACGTACCTGCCAAGTAGTCGTCAGGTGCGCCAGCTGGGCATGAATTTCTCCATGCAAAACACATCAGCTCAGATTCTGCTGCATCTCTTCCTGATATATCCTTCGCCCCTTTTTTCAGTGGCAATGGAGCCTGATAAGATGATTCCGGTTGTTGGCTAGTTTAATCGAGAAAGTGCTGAATCACATTATCGTTGATTCAATCTTTGGCCTGATCTGGGAATACAGTTGATTGCAAAACAAATATTTAACTATTTTCAGGATCAGCGTGTCCGGTAACTAGTTACGGAGTACCCGAGAGTTACGATAATATACATTTTCTTTCCACCCCCTCCCTATTGCACTCGTGATGTAGCCGCTCTCCTTTCATCTTAGGACCCCTCCATTATTAAGTCTATGGTATCCCGGATGTACAGAGTGCATGTCGCATTCCGCGGTTAACTGTTAAACCCTGTTCAACACGACCTTCTGGGGAGGGGGAAGGAGGTGTTGACCCCGCAACCCAGGGTGTATTAAAATAGGTCAACATTTGCTCGCACTAAATTGGTGAAGCGGGGAGGAGCAAATGATGGCTCCCTTAGGTCCCGGAATCTTCATCAAGGAACACATATTTGCCTTATCCAATGGCTGCACAGAAATGATTGGCCTATGTAGACTGAGGGATGGAAATGCAAGTCTCGTCATTTTCATAACCTGATACGAGACTCGGAAAACAAAAGAGATACTCCGTATTGAAAACCGTGAAACCTTGGCCTTCATCATCATTACTGATGCAAACAAGCCCATACGTATTCATATGGGCAGTGACGACGACAACAACGTAGAAATTGAGATGCCCTATAAATTCCTTCTCCTGCCATGGCAAGCAGCGCAACATGGGCTTCGTGTCTGTCTCAGTCGTTTCTGCCCGAGCTGGAAATGCAGACGAAAACACATATAACAAGCACCCGCTAAGGGCCACGTATTCATCAAAGAGGAAAGTGAGATGTGTCTTTCGAGCTATGGTCATTAAGCCTCTTGTCGGATTATGAGTCAAATTATGATTTCAACGAGGAGAGCCACGATATGTACGCATGCAACTGAAATCTGATAGAATGTTCGAGAGATCTAACGCCATGAACCATTCAGGTTGAAACAGCAGTGTAGTTCTGCCCAACGTATGCAATTTCCACTCGTACTAAGTGCTTGGTAGATTGGACCGGACATCCCATCTATATTATTCATTAGTAGCCAGGCATCAATAGACTCAAAGTAGTGCATTATCTTGCACGGTTATAGTTTAAGGAAGGTATATAACGGGTCTGAACGGCGAGAACTTACTCGCTAGTAAGTGAAATATCATAAGTACCGCGAAGTAATAAGCTATATAACAGGGTATATATAAGTTGTAAATGCGGTTCGATCGGTGAGACTAACTATATGACGGGAAGCTCGCAAAATACAAATACATACCTAAATGCACGATATTGAACCTGATGCCTACGTCAAGTAAACAAACTCATGTTCAGTTTTCATTCTCTTTCCTTAGGTGTTCCTCCATCGTTATTCTCCATCGCGGCCCAAACCGCTTCATCGCCCAGATCACAACGGAACTGGCAAGACAAATAAGACCAAGAATTGTAAATAGCCAACCGTTCCCAATGGCATCTATAATGGGGGCAGCAACAACACCTCCGACACAAGACGCTATGTTTCTCATAAAATTGTTCAGGGCAACACCAGCCGAGGAACGATTAGGCATGAATTCGGTCAACATCGTCGTTGACATGCTGAAAATTAGCATCGACCCTAGACCAAAGAAAAAATTGGCGGAAATCTGTGGCAACACGGAGTCAGACAGTTTTCTTGAATATTTCAATTTCCAACTAAAATGCGTTGCCTGGACTCACCGTAGCGAACCAGTGCACCCCATTCTCTGCTGTCCAAGCATACCATATCAATGCAGAGGGAAACAGGAGTGCCCCTAACCATGCATTTTCACGCATTCTATCTTCGGGTATAAATATGTACTTGCCATTGGCATCCACTCTGTTGGCACGCCTCGCTTCCCGTTTCATGATGGAGTCCATCCAAGGGCCTCCAAGAACACTAGCAGCGATATAGCCTAACGCCCCAGGAATATACAGCAAGCCAACAATAATAGTAGAAAAATTGTAGGGCTCTCTGCTGAACGTAACTTCAATACTGATATTCATAACATATAAGCACCCAAAAGCGATACTTGCATAGTATACGGTTAGAGCAACAGCCGGGAAGCGAATGTAGAGGATTATCTTGAGAGGGTCAATGATGATAATCTTGAATATGTTTAAAGCCCTGGTCGTTTGTTGTACGACCTGACGAGATGACACTCGGCTCAGAGTGCGTTCCACCTCTGAGCCTCCATTCTCTGGTTCAGGGGGCGGTAGCGGTTTACGATTTGCGAGGGTCTCTGGCAACGCAAACAGTATGAATACCAGTATAAGGCCACCGTATATTGCAAGGAACCACTGCGTACTCCTCCATCCTAAAGATTGGGTCAAAATCCCACCGATGATAGGGGCAATAAGGGGACCACAGAGAGGACCAAGATAGAAGATGCCCATTGCACGTCCGCGATCAATAGGATCCCAAATGTCTGCGATTGTACCAGCCCCCAGCGCTTGGACTGAGGCAGCAGCTCCACCAGCAAGGACTCGCATGATGATTAACATCGTAATGGAGACCGAGATAGCGGATAAAATACTCCATAGAGTGAATAAGGCGAATGACACAAGGTATATCGAACGGCGGCCCAGCCGCTCACTAAAAGACGACCACCATAGAGGAAATATAGATATACTCAACATGTACAACGCGACAGAAAGGTTGGTAACCGTTGATGTCGTGTTATACGTCCTCGCAACTTCGCTAAGTCCAGCTATCAAAGTAACCTTGTATTAGCCCCATGGGGAAAAGACGGAGATTCTATGAACTAAAGGGATTCGTTATTACGTACGAAGGAATATGGCACTCCCCATTGGAGCGGCGGCAGCTGCCACAGCGACAACAAACGTAATAAACCATTTTGCTTTCCGGTTATAATGTTTGGGGTTTTCAACCTCAGCCAGTAGAGTGAGTGATCCAAATAGGCCTCGCCGTCTGCCTCTGGGTACAACAACCGGTGGTACGTAAGAGCTTGTTCTTATCGGCTGAATGGCAGCCTCCTGGTCTGAAGATTGATTTAATTCTCCGTTGTTGATGCTCTCTTGGCTCCATTTCTCTGAGGCAACGGGCGCATATTCGCTAACTCCCTGGTCTGTGGTGATGGATGGCGCTACGGAAACCATTGGGGTGGAGGAAGTAACAGCGAAGCCCACCTGGGAAGAGTTCCCCGTCGACTGCTTCTGTTCAGTCACTACCGAGCTCCGCAACTTAGCAACTGGTTTCCAGGCAAAGACCTTTGAAGAGATGAGCCCACACTTAAGTAGCTATGCAGACGTAACTTCGCTTGTAAGGCACTTCAACACGGCACAAAGCCTCGTTGTCCATCCAGCTGAGTATTGTAGAGCGTATAAAAGCTAGGGAAAAATGACACTTGGTATATCTATAAGGGAATACCAAGAAATCCGAAATCTGTAGGAAATACAGAATAATGAAGAGCCCACTATTCAAGGTAAAAGGAATGAAAAGAAGAGCACTCAAAGAACCTCAAAGTGGGGATGAGACCTGCCTACATAAATGAACCGGAAGGAAAATTTTGGCCAGGAATTCGGGGTGCCCTGGCCCCGAGGGGGATGGATGAGATCCACTTTCTTGATGTTACTGTTTGCTGTTTCAACGCTTTTCTCAGAATCCTAGCAAAAGAGGTTAACTAGTTGCTAACCCCTGGAATTGACCTCGGTTGTCTGTTGCTGTCCGAGAACTGCCTCTCTCAACTTCACAGAATGGATAGAACAGCGAGTCTGACCGTGTAGTAATCCCAGTCAACGAAGGTGCCATCCCTTCCCTCCCTTCGGAAGAGACTTGTTGTGCTGCATATTCCCTCCGTTGTTCGTAAAAATCCGCTTGATGTTCGGCAAATCGCACGGCCTTTCGGCGTTAAGCGTGCCGTTTTTGCCGAGGAATGCGCGGTCGCGCGCGGACCAATAATATCGTTTGATGAACCTTGTTGACTAAGCGCCCTGATTATAAAGCGTGGGGTTGATTCCAACTTCCCAGTTCCCAGACATGCTCTCTCAACAACCAAAAGGAGCGTGCCCATTGTGTATCAAATTAGGACTTGATAACTTGAAAGTGACCAATATTCGCTATGTCGAATTTGAATCTCGGGTTAAATGAACGATTTGTCAATCTGAAGGACAAGCGCCCTGTTGATGTATGGGAGGAACTATGGCAGGAAGAAAAGACCCCTTGGGATAGAGGGGTACACAATCCAGCTTTGGAAGACACCCTGGAACAAAAGTCCGACATTTTAGGAAATGCTATTATAAAGACCGAAACCGGAGAGAAACAGCGCAAGAAGGCTCTTGTGCCTGGGTGTGGCAGGGGCGTGGATTGCTTTCTACTTGCATCTTTTGGATATGACGCCTATGGCCTGGAATACAGCACCACGGCCTTGGAGGAGTGCCAGAAGGAGGCAGCTAAGTATGGAGATTCGGTGAAGCCTAGGGATGAAGAAGTCGGAAGCGGGAAAGTCGTGTTCTTGCAGGGAGATTTCTTCAAAGACGATTGGCTAAAGAAAGCTGGGTTGGAGGAAGGCGGTTTTGATCTGATTTATGATTATACTGTGAGTTGCCTCCAAGGCTATGCTGGTTGCTTTTGGGCAATGACTGAAGTCGAGTGACTTTTTCCCGTTACTCGCACGTCGTAATAGTTTTTCTGCGCTCTCAACCCTATTTTGCGTCCAGAATGGGCTCTTCGACACTCGCAGCTACTTGCACAATCCCCGCGAGGTCATCTAATTTGTCTTGAGTTTCCAACAATGAAGGATCCCACTCTTGGGGGGCCACCGTTTGCCTCTACCCCCGAAGCGTATCTCGAACACCTGAGTAATCCCGGTGAAGAAATTCCATATGATGATAAGGGCAATGTTCAGGTCGGCTTGGCCAACAAAGCAGGAGGTAATGGGTTGATTCGTATAGCACATTGGCATCCAGAACGCACTCATGAAATTGGGAAAGATTCAGACGGTACCGTAAGAGATTGGGTCGCTATCTGGCGCCACAAGTGAAACTTGAGGATTCAAAGGCAGCGCAACTGGCCATTCAACCCCGTCTGTGTATATGTATCTGGGTAGTTGATAGCATATATCACCAAAAACACTCAAGAGGAGACATGAGACAAGGCGTTGTAATGCTCCCCAAGCCCATATGTATGTCTATAGTACGCCAGCCATATATCCTTAATTTTAGGTTCATTAACGTCGTCTTCTGGCTGGAACTTTTCGATGCGTCCATCACCTTGAATGACATTTATCCGCACTTTATATGCACGTGCAATGGCCTGCAGTTCTAGCTGTCCTCCCCATTCGGCTGTTGATTTTATTTTTCGAGCGTAGTCTTCTATTGACTCTTCCAGAAACGGCGCAAAATCGTTGGCATTAGATAGTATAAAATCGGCTGTGGTAGCTCGGACGCCCTTGTAGCCACTTGTTTTCACTGAATCGGCCAGCATCGGTTTTGATTGTTCCGGGTTCAGATAAATGCCATTTTCTGTCAGTTGCCACGCCACAGCAGAGTACAAACAATGTCCATCTGGTGCAATATCTCTCTCTTTCAGCTTTAGGCGGGCAAATGCTTCATCCATAGCCCTACGTTCATTAGCACGATAGTCGATTTGATTAGCAGCTTCATTTGCAGCATTGTTGATCTCTGCTTCACGCTCCGCTGCGCGTCTCGCTAAACGTGCTTTTTGGCGATTGCCACGTCTTGGGCCAGGAGCTCTCTCGATTGTGCTGTCCACAGGGGTGGACGTGTTAACTGGAGGGACGGAGCACACTGTTTTCTCATTGGTGTGAAGCACTTCTGGTCCTTCATCCTCGTCGTTATCCTTAACATCTAGTTGATTTATCTGATTGATTGTGTCCCCATCACCGGCATCTACCTCGCCATTGAGTTGAGATATTTCGGCCTGCTGTTTTTCCAAAAGCTGCCTCTGTAAACTCTCGCATTCATCATTAACACCTTTCCGCGTTTTTTTCGTTGCTGACTTTTTCTTCTGCGTTATTCGCGCCTGAAGGTCCCTTTGCTCCTTTCTGTGACGAGCTTGCAGCTCCTCCATCTCGAACTGATGGTGAGCTTGATGAACCAAATGAAATGAATTAAATGGGTATTGGGTATCAAACTCCAAACAGATAGTGCGATTCTGAGATATTTATGGTTGTAGTCCTTAACGGCCTAGGCTGTAGAACTGATTTTGATGTTGTTAACAGCCCACTTTGAAAAGGAAAACATTTCATCGATAATAGCAGTTATGTTAGGTAATCTTAATATCACGTGATATAAATTTTTTTAATGGACCGATACTCATATGTAAGCAATATTAGGATTATGCCATTGGATAATATTTTCAGTTTCAGCCCCTAACAGCAGCCAATGAATGCATGACCTGCACTGAACCGCTCGGCTTCTGGAGCTGTGACTTTAGGGATAATATATTTCCGAACTATCGCCAAACGGATGCAAATGTTGCAAACAATAGTTAACAGACCAATGGTGTAAAAGGAGAAGTTGCCTCGGCATCTTTTCAGAACTGCCGGCCAACTTTGGTCAACTCTGTATAAGATCCCAGTGCCTTCCTTTTTTACTATCTAAATCCATCATACCACTTTTTCTCTCATAAATCATTAGCGACCCAAAGATTTCTTCAGAAATGGATGCTGCATCCCTCTTTGACGTTAAAGTACATTCCCTATCCTATATTCCTAACATAAGAGGTATAATGCTAAGAATGAATGATAAATCATAGGGCAAGGTTGTGCTGGTCACAGGCGGTGCCAAAGGAATTGGCCGCATGATCTCCGAGGGATATGTTGTTAATGGCGCAACTGTGTATATAACTGCCCGAGATATCAAGACTTGCGAGTCGGTCTGTCAAGAGTTGAACGCTCTTGGAAAGGGCAAGGCTTACGCCATCCAGGCGGACTTATACAAAGAAGAAGACTGCAAGAAACTCGCTGAGGAATTTGGAAAGCGGGAATCTAGTAAGCTCCCTGCGGTCTGTCTGCATCTGCCAGTCAATTGCAAGACTAATGTGGGATTAGAACTCAATATTCTTGTCAACAACGCCGGCTCCAACTGGGGTGCTCCTTACGATGAATATCCATCATCCGCCTGGACTCGTGTCCTTACACTCAATCTTCACCGCGTTTTCAACGTCACACAACTCTTCACTCCTTTCCTTGAAAAAGGTGCCGGTGAATTGGACCCAGCAAGGATAATAAATATTGGAAGCGTTGATGGACTACGAGTTCCGGCTCTGGAGACTTTTGCCTACAGTGCTAGTAAAGCTGGCCTCCACCATCTTAGTAGGGTCCTAGCAAACCATCTAGGAAAGAGGAATATCACGTATGCCCCCTATCTATCAGCATGAGAGATTCTGTGCTAATGCTGCAAGCACAGGTCAAACACTCTTGCTTGCGGCCCATTCCAAAGCAAGATGATGAAGGCGACTCTAGACAAGTTCCAGGAGGTAATAGAAGCTGGAATTCCACTTGGCCGTATCGGCACACCTCAGGATGTCGCCGGTGCCTGTCTGTTCTTGAGCAGTCGTGCTGGAGCATACATAAATGGCTCTACCATCACTGTAGATGGCGGAAGCGTCGTTGGATCAAAGCTATAAATAGATATACGCTGTACGCACATGCTCTGGGTCACACCTGCAGCCGTCTGGCCATATCACTACCATCTCTCAGCTATATGAAATATTATCATGTTAGTCTAATGCATATATTTAAATGTTGCATAGTGATACTTTATTAAGTAAATGTACACGTGCTCTGACATAAGCTGGAGCATGAGCCGCCCACTTGCCACCCGCGGGCCTTGAGCGTCATAACCAAGTTGGTAGGATTTGACGGTGTGAAGGATCGTGTTGATATCTGGAGTCGTGTCGTGGATACGTGCATACGCCTTTGTCACAACGTTGTGTTGAACGGGCTGATAGAAATGAGAGGATAGGTCGGGTTGGAGCGCTGCATCTCATCGTCATAGCCAACTAGTCCATCTTGGCAGAACTTGGGGCTTGACGTCTTAACTAAGTGCTATTAGTGCTACGGGATCGAATCTCATTCTTCTTTCAACTACCACCAAAAAACCTATACTGGATAATGAGTACGTCAGGCGGGCAACATAAACGGCATTCCTCTGATGGTGTCGACCCTTTCTCCCATCCTGATATCTATTATGGCGAGAAGCAAGGAGTTAAAAAGGCTATTCGCAGGAGAGCGTTGTCTTCGGTAAGTTATACTCCCTTTTGTATCGCAGATACAAAGAGCAGTGGCTAACGAACATATGATGACCAGACCTTGAAAAGATTTAATGCCGAAGATCTAGAGCACTTGGTTGCTCGTAGGGGTAGCCATGGTAAGCTGATAACTGTTAGATATCGTTCCGTGGCCAGAACACTGATTATGTCCACACCTCAACCAGACGAACATTCATATTCGCGGAAATTCCTTATCGATGTCGAACCGACTCTACAAGCCCTCCTTGACAGGGAAGATACAGATAACAATATGCAGATTACCATCGAGGACGCTGGCCCCAAGGTTCTCCACGTTGGCACAGCGGCATCCTCCGGTTTTAGGAAGTCCGATCTAAGGGGAACCTACATGCTCTCCAACTTGCTTCAAGAACTTACGATAGCAAAAGACTATGGAAGAAAGCAAATAGTCCTTGATGAACAGCGTCTGAATGAGAACCCTGTGAACCGACTGTCACGCTTAATCCAAAACTCGTTCTGGAAGGCTTTGACCCGCCGAATCGACGGTTCTAATATCGAAATCGTAGGGAGAGATCCCAAGGATTGGACGAGTGACCCGAGGCCACGCATTTACGTGCCAGCCGGCGCTCCTGAGCAGTATGAATACTATAAAAAAATTGCGGAATCCCAACCCGAGCTGCGGCTGGACGTCCAACTCCTCCCAACTGGAGACATCAGCCCTGAATACGTGAGAGACCTGAACAGTAAGCCTGGATTATTAGCACTGGCCATGGAAGAATACGTGGATCCGGATACGGGAGAGAAAGACCTTCGAGGGGTACCGTATGTTGTCCCCGGTGGCCGCTTCAATGAACTGTACGGCTGGGATAGCTATATGGAATCCCTCGGTTTATTGGTGACAGAGCATGTCGAACTAGCGAGAGACATGGTCGTGAACTTTTGCTTTTGTATCAAACATTATGGGAAAATCTTAAACGCCAACCGGTCATATTACCTGTGTCGGTCTCAGCCTCCGTTTTTGACTGATATGGCACTAAGGGTGTACGATCGAATTAAATCACAGCCAGGGGCAATGGACTTTCTCAAGGAAGCGATCTTGGCAGCCATTAAGGAATATCACAGTGTTTGGGTGTCCGAACCACGACTTGACCCGAAGACTGGATTATCCAGGTACCGACCCTCCGGCATTGGGGTCCCGCCTGAGACAGAGCCAACCCATTTTTATCACATACTTTTACCCTATGCGAAGAAACACGGAGTTACATTTGATCAGTTTGTCGAAGGATACAATAGCGGTGAAATAAAGTGCGCCGAACTAGACGAATATTTTTTGCATGACCGAGCGGTAAGAGAGTCGGGCCACGACACATCCTACCGACTTGAAAAGGTGTGCGCCAACCTTGCAACAATTGACTTGAACTGCCTGCTATACAAGTATGAAATGGATATCGCCCGTGTTCTACGTGAGCATTTCAAGGACAAACTATACATCCCCCCCGAATTCCGAACCCCTGAAACGGAATCCAGGGAGTTTGAAAGCTCATCTTTATGGGATCGCCGTGCAAGGAGGAGAAGGGCAGCAATTGATAAGTACCTGTGGAATGAGGAAAAGGGGATGTACTTCGACTATGACACCGTCAAAGAACATGCCACCAGCTACGAGAGTGCCACGACGTTTTGGTCAATGTGGGCAGGTGTCGCGAACCCACGGCAAGCGGCTCTCCTTGTTAGCAAGGCTTTGCCAAAGTTTCAAGCCTATGGTGGCCTTGTATCGGGCACAGAGGAATCCCGGGGTAAAATTGGTCTCGATCGACCAAATCGTCAATGGGACTACCCCTACGGATGGGCACCACAGCAAATACTCGCATGGACCGGGCTCATGCGGTACGGCTACCAAGAAGAAGCGGAAGAGTTGGCATATAAATGGTTGTTTATGGTTACAAAGGCCTTTGTCGACTTCAACGGCACTGTCGTTGAAAAGTATGACGTTACTCGTCCTATCGACCCTCACAAAGTCGATGCAGAGTACGGAAACCAAGGCATTGATTTCAAAGGCGTATCAAGGGAAGGGTAAGTAACAGCATCCAATGAAAGATACAGAGTGTCAAGTAATATGTCTAACAAGCATCTTCTTATAGGTTCGGATGGGTCAATGCGAGCTACGTGTATGGGCTTCAATTTTTGAATGCCCATATGAGACGGGCTTTGGGCGCATGCACTCCTTATCAAACATTCAAGGATGCGACCAATGCTGTGGAGTTCTAGGGATATCATCCCATCGGTTTGGAACGCCAGATGGAAATCTGCGTTTGTTACTTTTCTATCTCAGGTCTTACTCTTCCGGCTCTCTTGTTATGCGGACTGATAAGGATGGTTATATCAAGAGCCGAGAAGTTGAATACTCAGCATGAATTCCGCTCTTTTTTATCCTGGAAAATGGTTTCATCATTTCGTATTTGTATTTTGGGACACTACTTTTTTGCATGAATTCCCCAACTACTTCGTCCCTTCCGTAGCCTTAAAATCTCTTAGAGCCAAGTGACCTATATCTGAGCATGAACTAACAAGTTAGACGCATCTAAACACCAGCTCATGAGGTCAAACGGAAGATACCCGCGACCGACGAACTACCAGCTGCTTGCACGCACCATAGCCACCAACACACTAGCCGAGGCATTGCCTAGGTACCTAAGTTACCGTATCTTCTCCAGCCCATCTTATCAGATCCGCCTCGTCTCTTGTCTTCCTCCAGATACTTACGGCCAGCTTCCGCCGGGGATTTTCCATAGGTCAGGTGACGCGCCTTTCATGTGAGTAGCGCACGTTGATTGGCTGCTCGGATGCTGGCCGAACTCACATGCGAACTCATTGAACGTCATCCCCTTTGGTTCCAAGTCTTTTGATAGCATATTCAGAGCTCGACGCTCATCCAATGCTACACGATTGGTGTCAGTGATATGTATCTATTACCCAGAGGCCTGCAGACCGTTTTTCACCAGGTGAACCGGCTGAAATGTTCCCCGATATCAAAATTCGGCAGCCTATATCCGCACATGTTTTTTAACTCCCGATGGCGCACAAGAAATATGGATATTCTACGAGAAGTCTGGACTTTCTACTGCTCTTAATCGCCGAGTGGGCCAGTTCGACTCTTGCCCCTTAGCTCCAACGCTGCCTATGCGTTTCGGACCCTGGCCGTTGTTGATGGGAAGGCGTCGAACCTTCTCTGACGTTTATGCCTCGGTGGAAATGGATCAATGCCAACAACTGGAGACGCCTTGAGGCCTTTCCTTGATTGACTCACAAGGAAAATGGAGATAAAATAAATCATTGCGCCCACCCAGGTCACCTTGACCTTTTTTTCCTATTTTTTGACTCAGAATCAATTCCCGGGGCTCATGTACCACTATACTCATAGTATAGCCATTCAGAAAACTTATCTCTGCTACTGAACCTATCCCTCGGTTTCCCTGGCAAAGGATTTGTGTGGTTTTATCAATAATCTTCCAACATGTCATACGTTGAACAAGAGGAACAGAAGTTCCTGAAGGACGTCGAGCAAGTCAAGAACTGGTGGAAAGACTCAAGATGGCGATACACCAAACGCCCATTCACTGCAGAGCAAATTGTTGCCAAAAGAGGTACCTTGACGATTGATTACCCATCAAATGCATTGAGCAAAAAGCTATGGAAGATCCTGGAGGGTAGATTTGAGGTAAAAGACTCCTGCTTATATCTCCTGGTCAGCCCTGCTAACTTTTATACCTCACGAAGAACAAAGATGCTAGTTTCACTTATGGTTGCCTAGAACCAACCATGCTCACCCAGATGGTGAAGTATCTAGATACCGTCTATGTTTCCGGTTGGCAGAGTTCATCAACTGCTTCATCAACTGATGAGCCTTCCCCAGATCTTGCTGACTACCCAATGGTGAGTGCAGTTCCAGGTGTCAAGGTACAAAGGCATGGGCTTATCATACGCTATTCTTTTTTCAAAAACAGAACACTGTGCCAAACAAGGTCAACCAGCTTTTCCTAGCTCAGCTGTTTCATGATAGAAAACAGAGAGAGGAACGTCTCCGCGCTCCCAAGGAACAGCGCGACAGCCTGCCAAACATTGATTATCTCCGTCCAATTATCGCAGACGCAGACACTGGTCATGGTGGCCTGACCGCTGTCATGAAACTTACAAAGCTATTCATTGAGCGTGGAGCTGCTGGGATTCACATTGAGGACCAAGCACCTGGCACAAAGAAGTGTGGACACATGGCAGGAAAGGTCCTTGTCCCAATCAGTGAGCATATCAACCGACTTGTAGCCATCCGAGCTCAAGCTGATATTATGGGTAAGTTACTGAATTAAAAATTTTGTCTCGAGTCACGTTCATCTAAATTCATTTTCTAATGTGGATTGTAGGAACCGATCTCCTTGCTATTGCACGAACTGACTCTGAAGCTGCAACCCTAATAACTAGCACTATTGACCCCCGGGATCATGCTTTCATTGTTGGGTCCATCAACTCTAATATTGAGCCTCTTAATGATCTAATGGTAGCTGCAGAGCAGGCAGGCAAGAATGGTGCCGAACTTCAAAAGATCGAAGACGAGTGGACCAACAAGGCCGGGTTGAAACGCTTCCAGGACGCAGCCATTGACCAGATAAATGCTACTGCCTCCATCTCCAACAAGAAGGCTGTTATCGACAAGTTCCTTGCTGATATCAAGGGAAAGAGCAACTCGGAAGCCCGTGCTATCGCCAAACAGTTGACTGGATCTGACATCTACTGGAACTGGGATTCGCCACGAACTAGGGAAGGGTTTTACAGATATCAAGGCGGATGCGAGTGTGCCGTTAACCGCGCCATTGCATACGGTCCATTTGCCGATCTCATCTGGATGGAGAGCAAGCTTCCCGATTACGCACAAGCCAAAGAGTTCGCTGAAGGTGTACATGCCGTCTGGCCCGAACAGAAACTGGCATATAACCTGTCGCCTTCCTTCAACTGGAAGACAGCTATGCCCCGTGATGAGCAAGAGACTTATATCCGTCGCCTGGGAGAGCTTGGCTACAGCTGGCAGTTCATCACCCTTGCTGGTCTGCACACTACTGCCTTGATATCAGACCAGTTTGCCAAGGCATACGCTAAGCAAGGGATGCGTGCATACGGAGAGATGGTCCAGGAGCCGGAGATGGAAAACAAGGTCGACGTCGTCACCCACCAGAAATGGAGTGGTGCAAATTACGTGGATGAATTACTAAAGATGGTTACGGGTGGCATCAGCAGTACGAGTGCCATGGGTAAGGGCGTTACTGAGGAGCAGTTCAAGTAGACCGTTTTTCCTGGCTAGCCTGTTTGATATAGATATTGAGATAATTGTATAATGATCGCCTTTTTATTTTATCTATTTATTTACTTCAGTCGATTCTTGAATCCCTCCGAATACTTTATTCCCTCAAGGGACGATGCAAGGCTGGGCGAGTGTCTCACAGGGTAAGGGGTAACGGCCTCGACGAGTTTGCATGGGTACGTACGTGCAGGTACATGGTTGACGAGATTTACATTGATGCCTCGGACTCTGGTTGGAAGGCATCGCATCGGCTTATTTGCTGTCATAAAGGCAATTTCACGATCTTGGATTTCCCTTGCAGTAGCTAGGTGAAACAGTTATTGAAATCGAATATGATCTTCGTCTTCTGGCCACAGTTGGAAGATGCTAGCTTAATGCATCTGCGGGCCGCAAATCTTAGTATCTATGTCGCCATGACTTTCTGTATCCTCAAGCCGTTTTTGGAAATCGGTTGTGACATTTGGAGTGGTTGGTTGCCATAGCATTGTTTCAGCCCAAAAGAAAAGCAGCGCTCGAGTGTGTTGATATTTGGGGCGAGTCAAAACACATGGAATTGGCTGGATATCCTAGGGCTGTCGCACAGAACCAGCCCAATGGTCTGACATTTGGGAGGTGATCAGGGAAAACGATGGATTCTGATATTATTCTATTTCTATCCATGGACCAGGTTCGGTTTTCAACCTGCCCAATCATACAGCGTGGAACCATGTTTCGCTGATAACGGTTGCTGTCAATTATATGTCCTTCTTCTTCAAAGTCATTCGGACCGGCGTGGGTTTTATCCTTGCTGTAGTTATGGTTCCCTGTATCATTTCCCCGCACGATGCTTGATAGGCCTTTATATGAAGACTAGGCACTGTTTGAACGCCTTCCAAAGATAAGAACGGGAAATGGCTTTAGCGGTTCAACCCAAATTTATTGCTTAGCCGTTAGTTGCTCCTTATGTTCCATATACTGTGTGGTAAGACCATTGCAGTTGGGCCTGCCTGCCGGTTCTTTCGGAGTCTAGTTTGGATAGATAATTAATGAGATAAAATTGTTCCATCCAATGATTTGCAAAACATGTAGTGTAGCCCGCTCAAATTTAGGCTGTAGGATGTGGGCTGCAGGTGTGTATGTATTTACAAAATACAAAATTCACCAGGGCTGCGGCAAGGAAAGGGCAGATGACGGACCTGCTGAGCCTTGCATCAAACAAGGGATATTCTGGTTAGCGGTTGATATTCTGCCAAGACATATTTACGTTTAACTAACTAACTTAACTAAGTTAAGTTACTGTTAGCTCTGTGATAAAATTAGCAACAATTAATTACTAAAAAATCATAACCAAATGAAGCAGGTTAAACGTTCTTAGAGATGCTCAAAAATGTATACAAGTCATAACCCAGGAAAGTCAAGTAGTAACCTAAGCAAAATTCCTTCAAATATCGTATGTCGTCGTGTAACTCCATAGATATGGCGCTCCATTGAATATAAGGTAAAAAACAGAAGGCAAAAAAAGTAGCTCCTCTATATATGCATAGAACGGAAATAGAATGTAGAACGTATACAAGACCCGAAGATGCCAATCAAAAATAGCCAAGGACATCCAAAACCAAAAGAATTTAATATATGTTCATGAAGAGAAGTCGTTAAAGGCGTAAAAAATGAATGGTAGAAAAGAAGTGTAAAAGGGGTAAAAAGAAGATGTAAAAAAGGCATAAAATCAACAAGCCAACCCCAGAACCAAAGTCAAAGCAAGGTGCATCGAAGTAAATGGACAGAAATCGAAAAATAATAAGAAGAAAAAAACAATACAAAAAATTTGAACTCCCTAACCCTTGGCAATGAAGAAGAAACAGGTGCACTTGACCATTGTCCAAGACGGCCCATGCAATGAGCTGAAAATGTGCGATAAAAATATGCCCGTTAATTCATCGGGATGTATTGGACAACATACTCTGTGTGGTAAGGTCGACCAGGGCAGGGCCAGAGAGAAGAGGTTGAGGTAATCCGTGTCCCAAGGCTTGAATAGAAACTAAAAACAAAGTAATAGGGTTTGCGCGAACAGTATACTGTGATTCGGTCATTTCGGCGCGGTTAGAAGAAGGTTGACCTGGCTAATAAAAGAGCCGGTTGGGTATCGTGGAGTAGAGTTAAAAGAGAAATCGAAGAATATAGAGTGAAGCTCCGGCAAGTGAAATTGACTATGCCCAATCGGCTATTGGCTGAATGGATTCCGATGGTGGGAGTAAGCTTAAATCGCAAGGATAGCTAGGTGTGTCAGTCCAGGTCATGGAAAGATTGCACTGCAGGCTTGTTAGTCGATTCTATAAACAATTATTTCATTTTAAGCGTAAAAAGAAAGAGTCGTCACATACTGTGCGTGTGTTATCAGCATTACCTGGGAGAGTAACCAGTGGTGAGGACTGTATTATTGTGGAGTCGACCGCTTGAAAGCCACCAAAATTTGAGTCGTAGGGTAATGGAGTTCCCATAATAGTCGGATCTACCATGGGCTCATGAAAGATACCTATTCCTGTAATGTGCGATGTGCTGAACGGGAAATGGGCCCCATGGCTGCTATCGGAGGATGGGGATCGGGAACACTCTGGAGAAGAGAAGAGACTTGACTCGTCGCCCGCAGAATATGGGACACTGGAGTATCCAATAGATGGGTCCGATGCCCTTCTGAAGCTGGTCCAGTACGGTGGTGAAAGAAGCTGGGTGTTCACGTATGGTGAATGCGCGGCGTGAAGTGAGTGCAATTCGGGGGTGATTGGGGCGATTTGAGCGGAGTTTGGGACGGAATGAGGCAGTGGGATACAAGGAGAAGACATTGGCATTGCATCGGAAGCGTCGGAAATTTGGCTAATTCGTCTCTTGTGGCCAATGGTTGGCTTGGTAGATAGAGTATCTTGTTCACTGTGCCGGGCTGGTGTTAGCTTCTTCCTCTTCATTTGCAGCCTTGGGTGAGATCGTACTGTTTCTCCATGTGACGCGACAGAAGATCAGAGCGGTGGAAGCCCTTTCCGCATCCGTTAATCGTACAGACGAAAGTCGCCTGTGGGTTATGGTTCAACTCATGCCGGCTATAAAGACAAGGAATCTTAGTATGAAGTTCTTGATTGGTTTGCGTGTAGGTACCGTATGTGTACTCTAAATGGGGCGAGAGATATATACCGTCTATGTTCGGCTCTTGTGAACACCTGAAAAGAAAGAAAAAGAAAAAAATTAATAAGGAAAGGCTGAGAAAGAGGGAGGAAGGAAATGTCCTGCCATATTTTGCGCCTTACCTTTGAACAACCAGGAAACTGGCAGGCATGAACTCGCTTGCCCTTCTTCGCTTTGCTAATACGGTGGGTAGCAGGGGTGTATGTAACAGGCATGCTGACATTGACAGTGTCTCGGCGCTGAGATTTGGGGGCGCATTTGCGAGTAGTGATGGTGGAGGGCATGCCAACAGTCCCCTCGGAGTGGCTTCGATAAAGCTTCATGGGGGTAGGGCGGTGCACGTTGAGATTTGGCGAGCAGAAACCAATGATGGGAGTGCTGTCAACCGGAGACACCATTGTTGGAGTCAGTAGAGGAGTGTATGGCGTGAGTGGCATCGTGAGCGGCGTCAAGGTGGGAACTGAGCACGGGACTGCTTCGATATAAGGGCTGGACCACGGCAAGGTGGAATCCATAATAGCTGCTGGCACTGGAGAGCCCATCGTTCAAAAGTATGAGATATCGAACTAGAAGAGAATCGACGGCGAAGCGATGTCAAGCATTTAAGATGTAGGGAGTTTGAGGATGGCAGCGGCTGTGGTGATCGAGACCCAAGGCGGGATGGTTGTAGGAGAGTGAAGAATCCGTTGAAGTCTGGAGGAGCCATGACGAACTAAATAAAAGAGACCCGAGGGTCCCTATTATATATCCAGATGCAGTCGAGGTGCGCAAGAACGGGTATGTCTTGCTCTGGCTTCGCGTCTGCTCTGCGTTCGATGTCGATTCTCAGGATGCAAGGTAAAGTTGCAAATAATACCCCAGTCGGATCTAAAACCTTAGCGTCAGAAAAAAGAAAAATGATGGTTAAGAAGGGCTTGAAAAAGAAATAAATGTGAGCAAATGAGCCAAGGTGGATCAAAAATAGAAGCTAATTATACAAATTAACCTGTGATGGCGGGCAGTGTGGCTGCTGGCGCTGTGATGGCCAGGCAATATGCAGGCGCCGGGGTCAGGGGTTAATGCATACTGGCGCCGACCTTTTTGCCTTCCCTCTCCCCTTCCACCCTTCTTTTCCTTGTCCTGTCGCAGCTGTGCGAGCGTGTACGCACCGAACTAAAACGGTCCTGAAACATTCATCACAGGCGCTGGCGGTTGGAGCAACTATCCTGGCCTCTTTACTGGCAAGCAGTTATGCAGGGCAGCGCCCCGATACTCTGTTCCCTGGCTGTCGTGCGGCCTTCGAAGGCGGAGCGCGAAGTCCACCCCGCAAGGACACATCTTAGCGCCCTGAGTGATGGGCATGAGAGTCGGCGGCTAACTGCACCTTCGTCCCTATTCTAAGAACAGAATCTATCGTGATGGACGATGTAGCTGCTGTCCTCCTCGTTGTCGTCGACGTTGTTGTTGACACTTGACGTCTGGAGAATGAAGTCACAAGAAGACCGGCTGCTTACTCATCCAAATGACACTTACGTCTGACCAAGTATTTCTTCCGCAAATTTCCGCAGAGAGATACATTCTGTAACTTATCAACACAACTACATCTTCACCGCACGGCATATGGCCATGGCGTATAGATATCGAGGTGAAGAGCTTGTACTCCGTAGTCTCTGTATCAGGTCTAAACGCCCGGCTTCATGCAGACAAAGACTGACTCGCTGGCAAGTTTCACATCCGGGTACCTGCTCACTCCCGTCCACCACAAACTTGATCAACCAACACTTAACCCAGCGTTTTAAGTGGCTGGTTCGCCGCCGACTTCTTCGTAGCACCCGCCCAGTCCCGCCTACCAATGAGGACCAGCCTTGTATCCTAAATCGGGAACGAAAATAACCCAAGTGACAAAACAAAACACAAGAAAATGACGACTAATTAGCCCGCTCACTGGGCCCTACCGACAACCTTAGTTGTGTTATTCGGGATCCTGAAACTAAGAATAACAACATGCGGCCGACTAAGGCACCTGCAGAATCCCGAGCAAGCGGGTAGCCAGAAAATCTTCCAGGTTTGCCGCCGACAATCTGCGACCAATTTCACACTGACTCTCGCGCACGAAATCTTCCCAACTTCTAACTACCCAACCGCCAGGTCGCCGTGTTTCATCCATTCTCAGATAACCAAGGTTTGTGTCACTAGGCGCCCATCAACCAGGGAATAGTTGATCTCACTTCCCTTCCGAGGGAGTCAGGCGTAGGAAGAACACTGTATGCACCTTTCTTACTTTCGTGCTCTCTTACTTTGCGCCCTCTTTCCGCATCCCATTGCCGATAGCTCACGTCGCTGTCGGCATGTCTAGCTTAACACCCACACACGGACCGTCAAGTTTATATGGCTTCAACTGGTGCAATATCCAAGAAGGGGAGTTCCTTTCACAGAACCTATGTGTATAATGTAACTTCACGGTCACCAATCGCTAACATACCGCTATACCGCTCCTATTACAAAGTCCATGTTGATTAACTAATGGACAGGTTTCGGCTATCATATGACGAGAGCCTGGCTAACACCGGTCAAATGTGTTGCTTACTTGCATGACTTGAGTTTTTTAGATCTAGAGGCTATAAATCCTTCATCGTATGGATACACACCTATCACATATAAACCAACCACGGGGAAAGCCGATTTAATGTTCCCTATTTGTCAGGGAACTTCCGCTGCAGCCGCATGCCAACCACCCTCTGCATACGCTACCTCCTATTAAACATGCTCCATATAGCTATTCTAGTTAAAAATCTTTAGGAAATGTAAAGCGATGTGAGAGTACAACATTAGGAATATACCATGGCCAATCATCACATATGCTGAAGCCATCTGTTAACTATGTGACAATATATGGTCGGTCCAGAAGGCATGGTGGCTAAACAGACGAGTACTCTCGAGTTACCGTAACGCGCTATCCCTCCAGGCTAAGTTTCCCCCTCGATTAATCATTCTCCAGCGTCGCTTACTACGCCATGTGCCTCGAGCTTCTAGGATTGAGGACGTTTCATGTTTATAGGGGACGAGGGGTAGACCAAGGCCGCACACACCATATAACCTACCTATGAGCCAGGACAATCTAGCCGTGCATGATCTGTACTCCACCCCGCTGCATGTCTTCTACTCCGATATATCGTCCATGTATGTTTCGGAGTCTTCACATCCACATCTCGTACCCATCCTGCGCTCCAGGTTGGAGTCAGCAAGAGCTCCAGGAGCGGGCCCAGTTTATGTATATATCCTTGAAGTCCAGAGTAGGAGGGCTGCGCAAAACATGGAGTATAGCTAGTGCCAATGTTACGTTTCGCAGTAGAATGGAAAGCTCACACGGTCAATCGGCCAACATAGCCCTCTTGTTCGCTCTTCCCTCTTGTTGTTTACTTGGGACATTAAATGTGGGTAAATTCAATAACTTTGCTAATAATAAACAGCCGCTAAGCTAAAAGCATTCGTGCAGAATAACTAGCTTAGATAAGTGCTATAAGTTCGATAAAAATAGTAACTTGCCACGCCAACACTATGCATGCCAAGCAGGGTTAATACGACATAATTAGCACTATTAATAAATATAGCTAATTAGCCTGCTTTACTAATGCATCCTTCTCCCTTTTTTGCAAAAGTGAGAAAAAGCGACTTTCGAGGAGGATCGCCCTTGTCCGACCATACTTGCGCAGAGAGTCAAGACTGCCCCTGTGCTGGCCAGGGCCTTCGAGAGGGCTGATTCACTCTCCTGCCATGCATCAGCGGTTGACACAGACAGGCATCTTAGGCAATAAAAGTTCCCGTCCAATCACAGCCGCGAAATGCGGAGGCTTAACTGTTGGTTTTGTCGTCCTTCTCCAATGGCGTTCTTCCCTGTCATCTTTTTCTGTGGAATGTATGAAGACGAAGCTCTCACTCGGCCATTGCATTTACGGATACCTGTTACCCCATGTCCCTCCGCCATTCACTTGCCTGTCATCTCGTCAATATTGCAGCGAATCGGGGAGCAGAACTGGTGATTCTATTAATTAACAGACCCTATATCTATCTATCCCTATTATCTCTCGGCTACCTATCTTTTCCCTCTATCAACCAGGTTCTTTCCCTCAAGTGTGAAGTGGCGAGCTGATCCTGCAGCTGGGAGTACGTCCTTTTGACAAGCATCCATCCTACCTGCTTCATTACTATTGTTATCTGGAAGGTTCTCCCCCTCCCCAAGGGTATCGAGGCAAATAGAAGGTGGAGGCCAGGCAATGTCCTGCTTGGCTGTCGTGTTAGTAACAACACAGCGTACACCCTTTCAAGGGCTGTCTTTTACTCTCTACGCCTTGTGAAAATTCTGCTCCCCTTCTATCGAGAGTACATAATCAGCCTCTTGTTTCATATCATCAACCTGCAAGGGGCAGAAAAGGCTGTGGTTTCGGCCGTTGTACAGTCGGATTTGCAGCCTCTACTGTACACTGCTTAGAAATATTTACTCCGTAGTAGCCGATTGATGTCTTGGAATATTGTTGTGCTAAATACCAATGGGCATGGGAGGAATTCTTATGAGACATTAGTAAGAGAGTGTGATAGAAAGCCTGTCGTTGATGTTAAGCTATACATTGGTGATCAAAGCGTTCCTGGTGGTGTTTCATTAAAACTCTAAACTTCGGTCCAACGTCTTTGATAGTCATGACGATATGTCCGCCCTGGTAGATGTTATTAATCGTAGCATTGATTATCGATAAACATACACTTCACTTCCGAGTTCTAGTTGCAACGCAAAGATAAGTTGAAGCTCTCTCTACCCTTTAGGAATAGGAATCTTGAAGGCCTGGTGAAAAGAATGCGTGATAAGGCTGAGAGTTGGAAACAGTATCTACGACAGAATGGATCTCTGCGGCATAGCCTGCAGGGACTGCAAGGCTGTAAAGAGGAGATCATACCATAGCCCATGTGACTATTTAGGTGCGACAGTACAATACAGTCAATGAGATATGACAACCAAGGTATATACAGTAGCCTAGAGCATATGGATTTGTCTATGGTAATAATCAGTTATGCTCCTTTTCAACATTACTTGGAACGATCCCAGAGCACCACCCGCATCGACTTCGCACGGCGCCCGAGGTTTCTTGTTTCAGATAAGTTGCCGTTTCGCGGTCGTCGTCACGTTCCTCAACACTGGCTCCTACACGGACTCGCTTCTTGACTTTTTGTTTGACCACGCCCCCGATTCCCTCGATCTCCTGCCGGAGATAGCCTGGTTCCTCATCGTCCCGGCCATCCGAATGCGAGAACGAGCTGGAATGACGGGGATGCTCGATAGAGCTGTCATTGGAATTATCTGAACGGGAGAATTCTGAAACCCAGTCCCCAGCTTCACAGTCCACCTCTACCTCGATGTACTCAGCCGCAAGACACCTTTGCTCGAGGCCACACTGCACACCTTGGCCGCAGTCCCCGAAGCCAACCCAGTGATCACCACCGCCTAGGACCTCATTGTATCTGCTGCGCCATGACCAGACTCGTTGGTAGGTGACGTCTTCACACCTCAAATGTTGTCCACAAGGACGACAATACCAAGAATTGGTATCACAGGCGCATATATGCAGGCCGGATGTTAATCCAATTGCAGAAAGCCCGTCTTTGTGGTCACTTAAAGGCGCTTCAATGCAGACACGGCAAATACGCCGTAAGCGATTTTTCAAGTTTGCCAATGAAGGAGGCTTGACCGTACAATTCTAATCAAGGAAGACAAGATTGTTAATGACGAGTGTCAGGGAAGAAAAAAAAGGGGGTATAATAAGAGCAGCCGCACTCTACAAACATATTCATCACAACGCTGACACTTGTCAACCATATCTCTAGCGCAACGCCCCGCTTTACCCCAAGTCAGACTGCCATTTCGGCTTGTAGGCAAAGCACCCCATTCTATATTAGATGGCCCTGAGCAAGACTGGCCTATTATGCTGTCGATAATCTCATTCCTACAGCGCAGAGTTTCCTTGACCAGTTGATTTCGAAAGATAAGGAGGGTAGAGTGGACTTGACGGCATGTCATCGACAATGAATGTAGTGTGGTTAGGTCTACAGACCGGGCGAGCATTGTCACTATCCTGTAAAGAAGAACATGGAAATGGGTAAATCATGATGGTCAACAATAATCTTGGACAAAAATTGCCAGGTGCCATAACATTCAATAAAGAAGAAATATACATAGGGGAATAGGTATATTTCATTCAACGGCAACAACAGCAGCAACAGCAAAAGGTGTGATTTTTTGCGTACGGGTAGCAGCTCAATGCCATAGATATAATACCGTTCAGGCGTGAAGGGTCTCTACCCCCTTCGGGCTCTGTCTTATCAGCTATTTCGGCTTTCGTAGCTGGATCATCAATTCGCAATTGGGGCAAGGATGTCGCGGGCATGAATTGGCCATCCTTGGCGAATGACGGCGGTGGAATGTCCCGTACGTGAAAAAAGCCGCCTGCGGGTTCACATGGGGGAGCACCTTCGAGCGAATGGTCTATAAACACAACCATGACTGTGCCATATGGTCTCCCCCTTTACAGGAGTAGAGTAGGCGTATGAATGCCCTGGCTATTTACCCGGTTGGATAGTTGTCTAGATAGCCGGGTTTAATACAGGAGCGAAAAATAAAATTCAGAGACGGAAGGGGACAAGGGAGAGAAAGAAATGGAAGAAAAGGACGGCTACTGAGAAGGCATGCTGAACACTTGCTTCTCAACTCGCAAGCAAGACGAAGACAAGCGGGTTGAGCTGCTTTAACCGACGTTGAGGTGTGGCTAATTTACTTGGTCAACTCCTTCCTTTTGGTCGTTTCACTACCACCTTAGTTACATTACTGGGCTGGGGCCCGCAAGGGTCAGGTGATTGACACGTGATATGATTATGGCACGATTAAGTAATCTAGGTTTGAGTTCTCTGATTATCTCGAAGGCTTGATGAACGTCACGTGATGGAAGCCTCGCAAAGACACAACGGAGCAGCAAACTAATGCCTCAGCGTCTTGCTGAGCACTGAAATGAAGAGAAATAGGTGTGTAATTGGATGATGATGATGGTTATCTTAGACTGGCAGCCATTTCACGGCTATTTATCTATACATGGAATGAGCTCGTCGAACTGCTGGTGCCTACACCGATAATGGAGCAGGAGGTGGCCGCGGCGGCGTTTCGTATAGTTATCCGAGACGAAACGCTGCCTCATACTCGCCAGGTCAAACATCCTGGTCAAACGCTGGCTCCAACAGATTATCAGTTAACTAGCACAACTTTGGTTGGGAGCCAAACGTATTCCCTCTTCCTCAGAGCAGCTGTCTTTCCAAGATTGGAACCCGATGCTACCGAGTTTTCCCAGCCTGACGCGTGATGAGCTACCGATAACTCACATCGACTCATGCTGGTATATTTAATGGTTTCGTCTGCCAGCGATTGCCCTTTCAATACTTGTTGGACCACACGGGACAAAAAAGCCTGATGCCCCAAGGATACCTTGGGTAACGTGTGCGAGTCGTAGCTAAATCATGGTATCGTCTATAACCGACATTATGTCGAAATCATAATGCACAACTTATCAGTACTGGCTATGTAATGCGCAGCTCTGTTGACTGTAACTAGACAATGACCGGTGACTATGTATTGTGCAATGTGATCCCGCTGGGACGAGGATGGGAAGCCAGCATGTTAGTAAAGGGATTCCGAGCCCGGAAACGTTGATAAACGAAGCCGAAGAAAGGCAGACCAATTGCTCAGAACCTAAGTGGTTATTTAACACATTGAACATGGCTAAACCATACGGAGTACCTAGGTAGTTACCCGTCGGATTCCGGAAGGGAGCTTATATGCTGCAAGCCTCACGCGCCAGGTCAAATCTCAATTTTGTTGAATGGTCTCATTTTGACATAGGGCCCACGACCTCTCAACCAGCCGTCGCTATGGTCACCTTGTTATAAAGCCGCACTGGTTAAACGAAGGCTTTCGTTTCAAGAAGCTCGGAAAATTCCATATTCTGTGAACTCCGTATGGGACAGAATTTCTGGAGACTCTGGGTATCCAGCGATTGGCCCCTAAGGTTAGCTTGAGAGGCAGGATAAACCTGGACCTTGACCTGTGTTACGTTGTTACCGCTTTGTGAGATAGCTTGCGTTTGTCCGTCCTCACCTATACTCTCCCACCCCTGGTTAGTTGGAACATGCAAGGCTAGAAAGTTGGGTAAGTTGATTAACTAATTGGTTGAGGGGGTGTTGATCGAAGATGACTGACAACTTTTACAGTTAGTATTATGGCCTTAACTTTGGTGTCGTTATTCCATAATGGCTCGCAATACCATTTCAACCGACTGGCTATCTAGGTACTCCTTATCTGTATATACACAATCGAATAGCTCTGGCTTACGAGTTTGAGAGAATGGTGTTACTTCCTCTTCCCCTGTAGCCGCCCCGCCGTAACTATCAGCTCGCCCTTCTCCACAGACGTATTTTAACAGCTGGGCCGTGCTCTAATTTTCACGACAACTGATCAATGAGCAGCCACTTTCGACGGCATCCAGCATACGCATATGAATAACGACTTGTCAGTTTCGAGCGGGGCTGGTGCAGTTTAAAATCTGTGTAATGACCGTCGACAAAACCATGAGAGAAGAAATTTCTGATGAGGTGTAACAAGCTCCCTCGTAAGCTCAACTACGGGGCTGGTTGATGGACAATTTTGAGATCTCTGATGAGCCAATTAAGTAACTACGGATTACCCCGTAGTTATTCGTCAGCTTTCAGCCCAGAAATGCGATGGCTGGCCTACCAGCAATGGCAGCAATATCCACGATACCCCCGTGGCCTCTCCTGCAAGCAAGGCGATTCCGGGGGGTACCTACAAGCCCACCTAAGCAGTTTTTAATGTCCTGCTTAAGGTGAGTAAAAGCAAATAATGATTACAGAAGGGAAAGGAATCAATGTGCTGGTTGCAATTGAAATAGGAAAAAAGGAAACATGTGTAGGTTTTGCTAGCAATCCGAACCAGCAGCCATACAGAGAGAGGAATACTGTATGACATGGCGCGGCATGGCCTGGTGGGCTATATTATCCTAAGATTTTCAGCTATATAACCTGAAATGCCACAAAGAGATTTGACACGACTGTCCCCGCCCATTGTTTTATCTCGCTCTAGAGCGTTGGTAGGAAGCACCCAAAGGACTCCGGCGTTGCTAATCGACTCCATAGTAGTACTTCAAGCTCTCTCCACGGGGGCCTACTTGCTTACAATAAGTGCATCGACTGGGCCATAGCCCCAACACTTAACATGGCCGTGGCATTGTTAGGGGCGTTGAGCGTCACCGATATCATCAACTATACCATTCCAATCCAAATTATTGCCCTCTTTATTGGCCTCCTAGCAGTTCTGGTCCTGCTCATTGACCATGCAGATATTCTCCTTCGTTCCTGGCATGTCAGGGGCCTCCACCGTGTCACTAGCGAGACGTTTTTTAAGACACGGTTTAGGAAGAGACTCAGTGGCACCGAGTTAGAAGATGCCCTTCAAAATGCATACAATAAGGTATGATAATCCTCCCTAAGTGTGCAAGCATTGGTTCATTTTCTCTTGGGCATGGTTGCTGACCGTCTTCACTGGAAAGTATACAAAACAAGGGAAACCATTCGCAACTAAAGCAGACCTCGAAAGTTGGATCATTCTCCTCCCACCGAAAGCGATGAAAGAATGGTGTAACTTGCCTTTCAAACACTTGAACTTCACGAGTTACCTCCAGGATGTATGTTTTCTTCCGGGTTACCTCCGATCCACCGTTACTCAATATTCTGACTATGAATACTCTGAAGGTGACCGCCATGGGGTACCATACCCAGGTAAACTGCCAAACCCACCTTCGCGCTGTTATAGCGTACAATCAGAAGAAACATTTCGGTTAGTGCTTCTTAGGCATAGCATAGCATTCTTGAAACAGATATTCCAACGACATGCTAACATTTGGTTGCATTCACAAATAGAAAAGATTCAGCGAGACATGGCCTGTGATACCAAAGAGTTTCTCCCTTCGCTGCTGGGCAATCCAAACCACAAGGGTAATCACTTATGCTTCCCTTACCCACTATATGATGTGTTAGCCGGTAATCTAATGTACTGTTGTATATCTAGAGTGGACCGAATTCAACTTATTTGGGACGTCGTCTCCTCTGTTGATGCTGTTTTCCACCTCTTTAGTTCTGGGACCAGAATTCTCCAGGGACCAAGAGCTGATGACGCAGATAACTTCTCACGTCCTGGGTATTGAAGAAGTGCTGGAGGAATTTAACAAATACCCAAGAATTTTGCGCCCGCTAGTATGGGGATTTTCTCCCCTCTGTCGCGCATTTCGCTCCAATGTTTCTACGTTGAGGCCGAAGATAATCCCTGAGATGCGGAGGCGTATAGAGCTGCTACGGTCAGGCGAATTGGCAGCCGATGATTTGACCATGTTAACCATATTTTTGAAACAGGCATTGAAAGATGGGCTCCTTTCCAAGGAAGAGTCTGCAGATGATGAGAAACAGATTGAAAGCTTGTTCATGAAATCTTTGTTCCACATATATGAAGTTTGGGGACCCATCAATCCGCTCCTAATTAGCCTCCTGTCTAGGGTTATGGCCAGCCCAGAATACGTGGATGAACTAAGGGAAGAGGTTTCAAAAGCACTGGCTTCTTCTGCCAATGGATGGGAGTCAGACTTCCTAGCAAAAACGCCGAAGCTAGAAAGCTTCACTCGAGAAACGCTCCGTTTAAATGTAGCGATTGCAGGTATGTGCCCTATATGTTATCCGATCCATACTCTTGTGTTCTTTGGTATTTGAGGCTTAGCCAACCTTTGTGTTACAACAGTTAGCGTATCTCGAGTCCTCCATGCACCTCTGAAGTTGAAGTCTGTGGATATGGACCTTCCAAAGGGGTCATATATCGGACTGCCCATTAAATTCATGCATACCGATCCTGAAATTTACCCCGACCCGATGACCTTTGACAGATACCGTTTCTATGATCAAGCATCAAACACATGCACTGCACGGGCAACCACTGGGTCCGAGAACTTCCTCCCGTTTGGATATGGAGGTGGAATCTGCCCCGGGCGATTTATTGGCGTGAAAGCGGCTCAGGTTGCTTTTTCAAAGTTCCTGCTGGAGTATGACCTGCAGTTTGCCTCGAAGGACCAAAAGCTCCCACCCATGAACCTCGCTGAGAATACATGGACATGGCCTGAGATGGATGTCATGGCGAAGGTTCGGAGACGCCAGCCCGAGTCATCCTAAATGGGTAGCTAGATAGGCTCACTGTATGTGTAGAGAGGGGGAGTAACATGGCTTTACTACTACACAGTCGCCCCTCCTCCCCCGATCATGGCGCCTTCTGTAGTTGGATATTTTAGGTTGTCCCTGGCAGCAGGTGAATAATTAGCGAATGAATTAACATAACTAGTTAAACGAATATAACTACAAAGGCCCTTTCAGTTCGCTTGCTTGTTATTAATTTCAGGTGATATATTCAATCGCTGGAGGCCCTGATGCAATAAGTCGAACTAACAGCAATCTCTCCGCATGAAGATGAGGAGAAAAGACCGAAACTCCATGTGCATGTGGGGTGTTGCACTCTCGAGATATGACCGGACGGGGCCAAAGCCGGTGCGGAGGGAGTCCTTCTTTTGCCCTGCTCGGCGATTAGCTCGGCATCTTTCCATGGGCGTGATTTACCCGGGTTGATTCACATAACTACTTAAGTACTCAAGCAGACGCTCAAGGAGCTGTTGATGTTGGAGACACTGCTAGTATAATCTGTTGTAACTGAACCGATCGAAAAGAATTGTTCGATATCTAGTTATGCCGGTGACTGCAAGTGACATCCACTCGGCGTCTGCGCCGTTTACTGCGTTTCCTTGCCGCCGGAGCGTGGTTCACAGCACCAAAGGGATAGTGTCATGTACTCAACCTCTGGCTGCTGAAGCCGGTCAGAGGATCTTGCAACTCGGCGGTAATGCTGCTGTAAGTTAATCTGTTGAGCTATAAGTGCTGTGTGTTTCTACGTGCTGATGGATCTGTCTTATCTAGGATGCGGCGGTTGCAGTGGGTGAGTGGGATGATACCAACGGCCCCTCCAAAAGCGACCTACAACAAAGTACTCCATATGTGTCGCAGAGCTAATGGGATAATGTAACAGCTGCTGCACTAAATGTGACAGAACCGCACTCTACGGGCATCGGAGGTGACATGTTCTGCCTGTTCTATAATGCCAAAACGAAGAAAGTACATGCTCTGAATGGTTCTGGGCGCATGCCGGCGGGGGCTTCCCTAGATCGGGTGTGTCAGGCGCTGGGAGATGACAGTCTGACACAACTGCCAAAGCTGAGCGTGCATGCTGTTACGGTGCCAGGTACTGCTGCTGGCTGGGTGGACACCGTGGAGAAGTTCGGAAGTGGGAAGGTCACTCTTGAGCAAATCCTCACACCGGCTATTGAGCTGGGAGAAGAAGGGTTCCCCGTAGCAGAGCTGGCATCTTCATTCGTACGCGCCTTCGTCCCATGTATGTGAATTGATTAAAGGAGTGTGCTAACAACAAGTGCAGTGGAAGGCAGCCGAAGGCAAGATCCGCAAAGGAAGCCCAAACTTCAAAGAGCTTCTCAGAGCCGATAGCCAGGCAGAAGGCGGTGCGAGGGCCCCTGCTCCTGGAGAAGTGTTCAAGAACCCGACGCTGTCCAAGACGTTCCGCGCCCTAGCAAAGGATGGGAAGGATGGATTCTACAAAGGAGATGTAGCCAAGGCTATCATCCAGATTGTCGAAGACCTGGGTGGCTTCATGACCCTTGACGACCTCAAGGATCATGCAGAAATGGGCAGTCAGGAGGTTGACCCGATCTCCCTTAAATTCGACCCCAGCGACTTTGTATCCTCCAAGAAAAAGGAGGATGGAAAGGAAGTCGAGCTCTGGGAGCACCCACCGAACGGCCAAGGCATCGTCGCCCTGATGGCCCTGGGTATACTCAAGGAGCTCTCTCAATCCGGGAAGATTCCTCACTTCTCCCCTGACCAGCACAACAGTGCGCCTTACCTGCACGCCCTGATCGAGAGTCTCCGCATCGCCTTTGCAGACGCAGCATGGTGGGTGACCGATCCGGATGTGGAGAAAGTGCCAGCCCAGCAACTCATCTCACCTGCCTACCTGGCCGAGCGAGCCAAACTCTTCGATCCCAGCAAGACATCAGCCGGAATCCTAGACCATGGCAGTCCCGCAAACAACCACAGCGACACTGTCTACCTTGCGGTCACTGATAAGGAAGGGAACGGCATCAGCTTCATCAACAGCGTATACGAAGATTTCGGTACCTGCATCATCCCCGCTGGCTGCGGGTTCACTCTTCAGAACCGTGGCGCCAACTTCTCACTGCAAACGGACCACCCGAACGTCCTGCGGCCGGGAAAACGGCCATATCATACCATCATCCCTGCCATGGTCACTAACCCCTCAGACAGCTCCCTGCACACCGTCTACGGCGTCATGGGTGGCTTCATGCAGCCACAGGGTCATGTACAGGTGCTCTTTAACATGTTGGCGTTCGACCTGTCCCCCCAGGCGGCGTTGGATGCTCCACGATTCTGCATCGAGGCAGGAAGCAAGGAGAAAGGTTATGGACAGATTATATACCTCGAAGAAGGCATCAGCGAGTCCGTGGTCGAAGAGCTGAGGCAGATGGGCCACCCGGTGAAGGTTCTAAAGTGTTTCTCCCGAAGCAAATTCGGCCGCGGCCAAGTTATCAGATGCCATACTGATCAAGGCAAGACTGTTTATAGCGCCGGAAGTGACATGAGAGGTGATGGTGCGGCTTTCCCGGCATGAGGCATATTATTTCCGCACCATTACCAGCACATTTATTTAATTTAAACTAATTTGATTTTGGTATCTTTTGGTAGCCCTAGTTCTTGGTAGATAAATAGATTGATCAGCTAGCCAACGAGTCGATTGGATGGCTCTTATCAGACGAGCGTTCCGACCAGTTGTTCGATCGCTCAGGAGAACGCATGCCGATCGAACTTCTCCCAGCAGATGTCCGACAGGGATGGATATCCTCTCCGTGGGCAGTCGAAGCACCCAGGACGAAGGATGGAGTTTTCGATGTGGTTTCAAGGGACTCGCCAACTGGTCCCTTGACGAGGGTACGGAAGATGGAAACCAAGATCCCCTTCCTCCGCGGGATAGACTGAGAGAACGAGAGAACTTTGTCGCAAGAAGACCCGGATAAGAGCCTCAATATCCGGTTGTGTATGGATGAGCAGCCAGGATGTTGGTGGTTTGATTTCGGGAGAACTGAGATCATCGACAGGGAATATGGAAAGACGAGAGAAGCCGCCGGCCGACCCATCGCCAGCCAGAGCCAGGACAAAGAAGCAGGAGTACGAAGTAGAGCAGAGCAGCAAAGAAGAAGAAGCCGGGACTAGTTATCGCGACCAACTAGTTATCCAATCTATCCAAACTATCCGGGATGGCTGTTTTCTTGTAGCAAAGGGGACGAATCCTTGCATACAGTAACAGTTAGCAAGGCCGTTAAGACCTCATCAAACAGCAACGACTCGGTGAATGCCGCTTAAAGAGGCCCCCTTTTGCACATTCCAGTGGCCTATTTCTGTCGACTGGGGAGTGAAACTGCTGATATCAATCAATACTCTGCTGGCTGTCACTGGTCGAATCCGCCCCCCTCTACAAGTCACTCTAGCCGCCAGGGCCCTGTTGCTGCCCCACGCTTCATCACATCAAGTCACAGCAAGAAAGGGGCATCTCCTCTCCCTGTTATCTGTTTCTCTTTCTCTTTCTCGCACCTGTTCCTCTGTGTTTCCCTCCCGAGATAAAAAGCGGCGAAGTGGTGAGCAGTGCTGGCTCTCTCGTCCGGATATTTAACTACCAAACCACAGGCGTCCAGGCGCATCAGTGTCAGGTAAATAAACCACCATAAACCTCCATCCTACCACCACCTAGGCACCAGGATATCACCTCCACCACCGTCGTCTTGCCTTCCTCTGCTCTACTCCGGCTCCAGTGTGGGCGAGGGTCCTCTTGACTTACGTATCACCATCCTCTCTCCCTCTTCTCCTTCTTCCCCCCTTGATTCCTCCCCCACCACCAAGCAAAACCCGTCGTCTTCACTGTCCACACACACTCCTTCTTCCCTCCACCAACCGTCGATACAGCAGTGTTCAAAGGCCGAACGAGCTCAAGCTGTCTACCACCTCTTCTTCCCCTTCTCCGGCTCATCGTATCTCGAATAGATAGACCCGGGGGACCCACTACTCCCGTAGTCAAGTCCCTTTCTTTATTTTAATTGTTGTCTTCCATCTCCAGAAAAGACCGAACCAGGAAACTCAATTAAACGGCCGTCGACGTTCAAGAGTTATTACTTTCTCTGCTTCCTTTGCCTCTGCCTCTGCTCCTCTAGCTCTACAAGAGCCGCGAGAAGACGCTCTGACTGCCTCGTCTCCGGATTGTTTGTGGGCTCTCTTCTTTTTTTTTTTTGGCGCGCCGGTTCTCCCTTTCGCCGTACCTTTCCCTGTCGACCTAGATAGATACATGCGAGCGCGAAGTGACGGGCAACATGGCAGACTTACAAGGACGCAAGGTGTTCAAGGTGTTTAACCAGGACTTCATTGTCGATGAACGATATAATGTCACCAAGGAGTTGGGTCAGGGAGCCTACGGCATCGTCTGGTATGTATTCTCCTGACGTCTCTTCGTGAGGCTGCTTCTGCCCCGCATCCGGCCATAGAACAACAACATCCCGCTTTGCAACGTCAAGCGGCATCAGCAGCAACACCAGCAGCAAACAAACAAGCAAGCAGAACGACGAACAACAGCTAACACGGCCGGGAAAATGCTAGTGCTGCTTCCAACATCCAGAGCAACGAAGGCGTGGCCATCAAGAAAGTTACAAATGTCTTCAGCAAGCGGATTCTGGCCAAACGTGCCCTGAGAGAGATCAAGCTGCTACAGCACTTCCGTGGCCATCGTAACGTACGTTTGCTAGCACCGCAATATACCTACCACATATTCCGTTGTACTCGGGCTGATGAGATCTAGATTACCTGTCTCTATGATATGGATATTCCACGACCAGATAATTTCAACGAGGTGTACTTATATGAAGGTGGGTGACTTACTTATATGCTGCAGTTCAGTCAAACGGTATTATCATGACAGGTGCTGACTGGCAATAGAACTCATGGAATGCGACCTTGCAGCCATTATTCGATCAGGACAACCCCTGACGGACGCTCATTTCCAGTCTTTCATCTACCAGATTCTATGTGGATTAAAATATATCCATTCAGCCAACGTGCTGCATCGAGATTTGAAACCGGGTAACCTGTTAGTCAACGCCGACTGCGAGCTGAAGATATGCGATTTTGGTCTTGCCCGTGGATTCTCAATTGATCCCGATGAAAATGCTGGATACATGACCGAGTACGTTGCGACAAGATGGTACCGTGCTCCCGAGATCATGTTGAGTTTCCCAAGCTACACCAAAGCTAGTGAGTCAATCCCATATCAGCCAGCCTGCCGAGTACATAGACTGTTAAACTAACCGTCCTTTGCTAGTTGATGTGTGGTCCGTTGGATGTATTCTGGCAGAGCTGCTTGGTGGACGACCTTTCTTCAAAGGCCGTGACTACGTCGACCAGCTAAACCAGATCCTCCACTACCTTGGAACCCCTAGCGAAGAGACCCTCTGCCGCATCGGCTCCCCACGCGCTCAAGAGTACGTTCGCAACCTACCTCACATGCACAAACAGCCCTTCGCCAGACTATTCCCCAACGCCAACCCGGATGCTCTTGACCTCCTCGACCGAATGCTCGCCTTTGACCCTTCATCCCGTATCAGCGTGGAAGAGGCCCTGGAGCACCGCTACCTGCACATCTGGCATGATGCAAGTGACGAGCCCAACTGCCCTACTCCCTTTGACTTCCACTTCGAAGTCGTTGATGACGTCCAGGAGATGCGACGCATGATTCTTAATGAAGTACAGCGTTTCCGCGACCACGTGCGCCAACCTTCTCATATTCAGGCTGCGCTTGCCCAGCAGCTTCAACCCCAGCAGACCAATGTGCCCATCCCAGAGGACAAGGGAGCCTGGAGACATGAAGATCCCCGTCCACAGGAAGCGGTGTTTGATGGAACGAGCGAACACGATCTTGAAGCGTCATTACATAGAGGCATGGATATGATCAGATAAATGGATCTATAATCAGAATTATGCAAAGAGCGCAACGAAGAGATGGAGGGAAAGTAACATGCATGCAAATACCGGCCAGCGAGAGGACGATAAAAAATGGGTATTATTTACGTCGAGGCCTTCGCCCTTCTCTTTGCCTCGCCGCCCTCTTTACTTTTATTTTTTTGATCTTTGGATATCCTTTTGAATTGTTCAAAGCCCTCTACGCTGTTTTATTTTTTGTTTTATTCTATGCTTCTTTTTTTCACCTTATTCTATGCGGTCTGGGCTAAGTATTAACATGAGATGACACGGGTCCCATATATGGTACAAAATTTTATTTTTATATTATTTTCAATAGAAAAATCCATGCTTTGTACTCATGTACGTCTATTTCTATGTAAGAGTTTGGTTTTCAGACAAGTAAGGAGAATCACCACTATTGTTTTCTGGTCTGTAGATAACTAATGATAGCCATCCAGAGTGTCATAATAGGGCCCAAGAGACAAGCCAGCCCGTGCCAGGAGGTGTATATAGATGGTAGTAGTAGTAAGGAGAGGGGAGTGTTCTTTTCATCCTGACAAATAGAGAAGTAGAATAAAAAGGCAGCAAAAAAGACCAAGTAAACATAACTTTGAACGCCAACGCTATGCATCCGCCCCTCATTAGATATAGGGAAGAGGTATGAGGAAATGTGATAAAAATACACCGGGGGTTTAAATATGGCTTCCGCTTGAGACCGGATTCTGCCGTAACCTTAGCTTGAAGCTCGATATCCAACAGTCTTCGTATATCGAAACGGGGTCGATAGAACGTATCTAAACGGTCTTCTCAAGTAACTCCTTTGCTTCGTTGATCTTCGTGGCAAGGTAGGGGCTGCCGCCTCGGTCAGGATGGTTAAGAAGCATCAGCTTGCGATGGTTTAGGCGGACTTTATCCTTGGTAAGAGTTCGTTCACTGCGTAATGTTAGTTATCGCACTGTCTATCATGGTCGATAAGAGGAGAAGGGATCTTCTTCAGGTAAATGGTGGACGCACGAGAGTGATAGGATAAGAGACGCTTCTCTCCTGTTCATCTTGGGTTCAAATCCGCCCTTGTAAAATGCGCGGCCGGCGCCATCAATACCTCCTCTGTATCTGCGGAGGGCCACTAGACCTGCTCGACCCTATAAAGGTATTAGTTCCTGATGCGTTGCTGTTGCGGTTGCGGTTCAATGGAAGTGCAATGGGTAGACTTACGAAGAAAGCGGCCGCAGCGACACCAACACCGATAGCAACGACGGAGGTCATTTTTAGCGAAAGAGTGGTATTTCTGAGCAGTGGATAAGTATGCGATGCCCTGAATGTCTGTCAATAGCTCGCCGGCTGGACTGCGAAGTTCTTGCTCGGTTTCTTCCTTTCCATCTCTCGAGATGCGAAAGATGGAAGAAAAAGTTATATAGACTTCGCCCAATTGGGACTAGCGTGGAAAAGCCACCCGCAACGTCAAGAAAAAAAATTAAATGCACGGATTTTGATAGAAGAAACAAACTGCAGATTGAATATTGAATATTATTTATAAGATTGGCCTTGACCGGAAGCCAACATGCGGTAAGTAGGTATCTGTCCTTTATACAGACAAATTAGACTAACACACGGGGTAATAGTGTCGAGACTTGCCATTTCTGTTCGCAGCCGGTCTATCCTTCCAAGGGGATTACATTCGTGCGCAACGATGCTCGACAGTTCCGCTTCTGTCGCTCAAAATGCCATAAGAACTTTAAGATGAAGCGTCAACCACGCAAGCTGAAATGGACTAAGACACACCGAGCTCTGCATGGCAAGGAGATGATAGTCGACTCGTCCCTGGTGCTCTCACAGTTTGCCAAGAAGCGCAACGCACCGGTGAAGTACGACAGGAACCTGGTGGAATCAACGATCAAGGCCATGAAGAGAGTGGAAGAGATCCGACAGCGAAGAGAGAGGGTATATACGAAGAGACGGCTGGCAGGCAAGATTGCCAGAGACAGAAAGAGAGCCGAAGACAGAAGAGTTGTCGCGGAGGGCGAGCATCTTATCCGCAAGGAACTCAAGGAGATGGCGGAGGGGACCAAGAGGCCAGAAGATCTGCTCAACAGGAAAGTCGGCCTGCCTGTTGGCGAGGAGAAGCTGCGTGGGAAGCAAAAGACCAGGATGTTGGTCGACGGAGGTGCGCAGGAGGAGATGGATCTCGACTAGATCTGCCGACCCTTCCTTGCATCGTACGTCCCTTTTATTTCTTCCGCTTTCTTGCTTACCTGCTCGCCGGTTTACCATGCTACTGGCAACGGATATAATTCTGCTGGATTCTTCTGTTTATGAAAAGACTAGGCGTGTACCCTCTTTATTTTTTCCTATGCGATGGCGTTTGAATGGGTAGGGAAAAAGAACTCTTGATATATCCTTTTTTTACATTCTATCATTCTATGTGCCCTTCTGGCTTCTCTCCTTTTTACTCTGTCTACATGATTGTTTACTCTGCGGTTTCCTTGCATGCAAGTGCTAGGAAGCAACTATACCAAAGAATGCTGATCTAGCTGTTTCTATGGTGGTGATATCTGAGCGCATAAATACCCCTCTGATCCTCCTGAGATAGGGCCTACTATATACCAAATATACCTGATATGTCTTCTATATACCATGCCCTGCTCCTATATATACCTAGCAACACTGGATCACGGTCCTTTGTGCGGGATCAACGCACTCAATCTCGAGTCTACAAAGAATGATCCTACGGCTTCAGTGTTACTCGATTAGGAAAGCGTGTTGCTCCCGCCACACAATATAAAATCCTCGTCTTTATCTCTCTCGCCTTTTGCTCTTTTTTTTCTTCTCTTCTTCTTCTCTTCGGCCACGCAGATTTTTTTACCCTCGACATCGAGAAAAAGACGATAACCAAGAAGACAAGATCCTCTGCTGCCACTCCAGCCAATACACCTACATCCACGTCTGCGGCCGCGATAACCGCCTCTACTCCCACAAATACCGCGCTGCCGCTGCTTCCCCCCCCACCAGCAGCCAGAAACCCTTCCTCCTCCCGTCGGTGCTGCCGCTCCTTTTGAGGGTATGTCCTTTGCTTGCATCTCCTGCTCTGATATAGGCCATGCTAACCTGAAGATGCAGGAAGCTAGATCCCAAAAGACAACAGTCTTTTGCCCTCTTCCTTGCCTTCGAACGTAAGTGCTAATTCTCTCCTTCACTCCGCCCTCTACTTGATATCCTTACCCCTATTCCTTACACGCGTCCTTGTTTTCTACGACCGCGTTCAGCCCCTTTTTTTTGAACATCACTAACGTGCTGGTAGGGCATCAAAATGTTGTTCGCCTTTATCGGTCTCGTGGCAACCTTGACAATTTGGAGCTCTATAGCTTCATTGCCACTGACCGCCGTCACCCCTCGGGATGGCTTCGGCAGACGGTTGGCTGGGTCCATTACGGCCAGCTTAGTGACCATCGGCGCCTACGAGGTCACGAAAGAGGTAGTCACCACTGCCAACAAAACCAGTGACTACCTTTACCGTTATCTGGAGACAGAAGACCTTCCTGTAGAGGTATTGCCACCTCTACCCGATTCTGTCTCTAGCCGCCTCCCGACGTTCGAACTATGGCTCGCAGTCCCTCCGGCCAAACTCGCGTTTCTTCACGAGCTCCGAAATGCAGTAGAGAAACACGACACTCTCAACGAACGCACGTTATGGTACTTGCTAAATACCCTACCATCTCGTTGCTCGAGTGCTGCCGTCCCTGTCCCAGGTACAACCCAAACCCACCGCGCTGACAGTCTCTCGCCCGCCAATTCACTCGATTTTCTGACAGTCGGTGCCTACCTGGGACTGATCCTCGCGTCATTGGCCATTGGCCGATGTTTAGGAACCCGTTACCTCGTTCCCGCGAGAGACGACGACAGTTTGGCCCTCCTCCCCGCTGGAGCACCACCGGCTCTGCCACACCGGGTGGTAACCGGCCTCCAATGGGAAGTGAGAACGGAGCTCGTAAATGGCTTACCTCTGATGTGGGCTTCCCAACCCTACATCAGCTCTGAGCTGTTTTACTGGATTGCTGAGACGGAGAACGTCCACTTACCAACACCGCAACCCGATTACACCACCAAACGGCAGACTGAGACCCGTCCTGGGCCTCAGCAACAGGCGTTAGTCCTCAGACGCCTGGACAATATTTCGCCGTTCGTCTTGATTCAAATCGTTCGACTCCTCGTATCTGCCCTCGAGGCCTGGACCCCCGACTCTTCCGAGCCGGGGTCTCAACCACGCCTCGACCCTGCAGAACCTCTACGGGAACCCAAGAAAAAGAAGCGTAACCGACCTGGCCAAAAACAACGTCGACGCCAATGGATAAGAGACATGTACGCCACGCAAGCCAAGGCCATACAGGAGGCAGAGGGGAAGTCACAGTCGTAAGGCTGTGTTCCGACCCTCGTCTTCTGTCCGATTGTGTGGTGCTGCATGCCTCACGGATACAATACTGACATAGCCGCTCATTCCAATCCTACTGGCATTCTGTGGAGCCTACTTGGTGTCTACATGGAGGCATCGGGTGATGGTGCCGTTGTGATACCCCCCTTTTCCACTCTCCTGTCGGTGTTTTTGCCTCCCACCAGTTCCTTCGGGGGCTGGTTGGCGTAGGTGAAGCATCCGTTGGTTAGCTGGTGACTGGGTTATTATTACACGTCACTGGACCCCGTGGTTTTCCATTAGGCATCCTGTTGAGTGAAGCAGGGTGTCAGTAGCAGTATTGGCCCAGGCTATGCTTGCTGTATTCAATTATCCATTCCACTGGGAGAGGAATGAGTTGAGCGCGATTTGATCAAGACTACGAGTGGGTGATCGGGAGCTGCGGAAGTGGACTCTCTTACTAGTTCGCGGGTGACGCGAAGGTGCAAGGAAGATACCAATACACACACAAAAAAAAAAAAAAAAAAAAAAAAAAAAAGGATGATGACTTTGATGATTGTTGACGACGATGATTGACTACGAAAAAAGCAAGCCTATATGTTTTACTTACAAATATGTTATACCAACTGCAGTTTTATCTGCTTTCCACTACACTACGAGCTCACTTGAGCGTTTGATACAAGCTTGCTTTCTGTTTTTCTGTTTTTATATGTTTTACAAAGACTACCTGTTACTCAATAACTTTTACTCAATATTATATCTGCTTTACCACCAAAATCGCCCTTCTCTCTGTAGTAAAAATCCGTGCAGTCCCTTCACTAGCATGACGTAGATCACTCCGAACTGTATATAGATGAGGCTGAAGCTTCCCGGTACTCTCTGCATACGCAATTGACCCTGACTTCTATCCCTGGTACTGCTCAAACCAGTAACCACCCAGGTAAAACGCCATCCAAGCACCGTCAAAGTCAACTACGACATCAAAGAACCTTGCATGTTACGCTTAAGAGTCGTCTCAGCCTGCCAAGGCATCGAAAACAGTAGTTAATTAGCGGTTCCCTTAAAAAGTAGTTTAAAGGTTAAAAGATTTGTGTGATTGATATTTCTACAATTTGCATCATCGACTCAAAACTACCGAAGTCGATAACGTCAACAGACGCGAAAGCCCAACGCCTCCCAGCGTTCCCCTTTACCAGGAGGCAAGGCAGGGGAACATAAATAGCCGGTCAATGGACGCTTCTTTCAGATTCTTGCATGAAAGAAATAACCTCCAGAGACTGTTTCATTTCTCCTACAATTCATATTCACTAGTTGCTTCACTATTTGACTATCTATCTCTTCTCTACCAACTTCACCTGCCAACAACACACCCTCTCTCGCTTAAATCCCCAATTTAACAATAACACACATAACTCTTTAAGCTGACTACTGCTTATACCCTCCTGTCTTTATAAGAAACGAAAGAGGCCTTTAGACATAGCCTCATTTCTTATTCTACAGACATAGACACCACTCCCGCTTGTGCTGTTTGCTGTCTTCCATCTTGATATCAAACTGCGGCTGTGACCTGAATACCTAACCAGCCGTCACTATGAGTTATACCGACCGTTTGAAGATGCTCTTTGACGGAGACGATGCCAATCTACTTAACCTGGATGTCGGCCTGCGGGAGATGAAGATTGATACTCAGAATAAACCTCATCAGGATCAGGCCGCAGCTTTGCCCCTGATCGATGTCGTTGCAGAGTTCGAAGTTACCAACTCTGTAGACAAGCAGGATGTGGCCTCGACGGAGGTCGCCACCGAGATCCACGAAGCGGAGCCTGGAATAGAGACTCGAGCATCCGAGGAAGATATCCCTGTTGCTATTTTTCAGCTACAACCTGGAGTGACTACCTACTTCTGTGCTATCGACAACCTGGCCAGGCCATACAAATATATCAAGGGACGTGCCCTGAAGCGTATTGAAGAGAAATTCTTCAGTCAAGGGAAATTCTGGGAGCGGACGTGGGACTTGTAAGTATTTCTTCTTCCTCATATGACTAGTTACTAGTTATAGTTAACCTAGCATTTGTTCAACTGTTTACTAACTGATGCACCCGAAAACAGGTACCATGTTCGTGTGCCACGCAGTATTTTCTTTGAGCCTCTGCTTTTTACTCCGGCAGCACAGGCTCAAGTGCTTATTGATGAAATCAACAAGGAATTTGGCTGCAGTCTCAGCCTCCCCCTGGACGAAGCACGAGGGTTGACCGTCCCATTTACCCCTGACGGAACCCCCCAGCCGGAGTACATAGGAACTTCCACCAACCGAGAGATGAAGAGTGACCTGAGCAGTGCGTCCGTCGAAAGATGCAAAGAGACCCCCATCGAGTTCCCAGAAGAAGGAGACGTCCGTTTTGCACAGTTCTGTAGAAGAATGAAGATTGTATTTGACGTCAGGTACCGTGTGGACAAGAGGCCCACCAACACTAGCGGCCAACAGAAGGTATATAACATCCGCCGCTGGAACCGCCAGCTTAAGCGAACTCAGTGCAGTCTAGGGCTCCTTCCTCGAATGCCTCGAGGTCCTTCCAAAAGGGACGAAGCTACTGTCGGTCTCGCTTGCCTACCCGCCGAGCCATCATGGGAACAACAACAACAACAACAACAACAACAACAACAACAAGGGCCGGCTGGTGATGAAACCACTGTTGCAAATGGTGCCGTTCTGGAACCACTCGACGTAGAGAAACCCGTTCCATTTCCCTTTGCAGATGAAGCCATCTTCATCTCTATCGACGTCGAGTCCAACGAACGGGACCATAGCCAGATCACTGAGGTCGGGGTCTCTACTTTGGATACCCTGGACCTGGTGGGAGTTCCGCCCGGAGAAGGTGGACGAAACTGGATGGACAAGATCCAGTCCCGACATTTCCGCATTTCTGAATATAAACATATCAGGAATAAGAAGTTTGTGTCGGGGTGTCCTGACGAGTTTGCCTTTGGCCGCAGCGAGTTCGTTCGCCTTGCAAGGGCTGCCCAAGTGGTTGACTCGTGCTTTCGGCCACCTTACTCCGGCCATATCACACATAGTCAGCCGAAGGTAAGTAAAGCTGTTTGTCACCCATGATCTTCTTGTCATTCTGTCATTTTACTTACCTCCTTTATAGGAAGATGGTTCCGAGGAGAGGCCCCGTGGAGAAGACAGTCAATCACATCCACGGCCCTCTGGGGATGGTAGACGTCAGTCAAGAGGTCGCTCCTCTCGACGGGGCGACAGACGTCAATCGCACCCTCGGCCCTCGAGAGAAGGAGACACAGACCAGTCGCAATCGCCCGACGGCGGAGTCAGACTACCATCCGCGCCCAACGACTCTCCACAGAGGGGAGGACGGAGCAGAAAGCGGCAGCAGCGGTCTCCAGTATCAGACGCGAGCCCCAGCACCGCTCGATCCCCGGGCCAACAACATCCAGCCCAGCCTCCGGTCTCACCAGTAAAAGAATACAAGACGAGACCACGCAACCTCATCCTTGTCGGCCACGGCCTCTCTGGGGATATCAAATCCCTGGACAAACTAGGCTGTTGGACCTTCACTCCAGAAATCTACGCTGCGCGGGATGGCGATGAAACCAAAATGCTTCCCTGCTTCCACGACGCATCGGACTCAGCCAACCTCTATCGCGTTCTCAAACGCGATTACCAGCCAACTTCCCTCGGCGCCATCCTGACCGACCTGGGTATCGCTCCCTGGCACCTTCACAACGCCGGGAACGACGCCCGCTACACCCTCGAAGCGGTGGTCGGAATAGCCATCAAGACCGCACAAGCCGATGCCACGGCTGAAAGCGAGCGAGATGCGCTACGAGCCAGGGAGGCACCAGAGCCAACGAGTCCTGCAGTGCTAATCACGCCTCGGTCAAGCGAGGAAGATCTGCACTTTCGTCGTGAGGTAGAGCGCTTATCTAAGAAGCGCTCGCGCAAGCGCGAGAAGAACGTTCTGGAGGAGTGCGAGGCGTGGGAGGACGGGATGGGGTGGAGCGCGGCTCCGACGAGGGCGAAGGAGGACATGGACGGCGGCTTGCCGCAAGGAGTGGACTACACTCCCTGATCCTCTGTCTTGCTCTGTCTCCTTTTCTTTTCTCTTGCTTTCTTCCTGGCGGCTTGACTAGTTATCTACAGCTTGCTCCCTTTTCTCTTCTTTTGTTTATTTCAGTTTCATTAACCTGGAACAGCGTCATCTTGTTTTCTAATACCCAAAGAATCATCATATAGATAGAAAGACAATAGAGACACCAGAGTTCAATACTGATAATCCACTCTTGATAGTAAAGACCAAGCTAAATACACCAGTTAAGGAACACAAGTAAAGCAAGTGATAATAAAAAAACGCCGCTTTTCCCCCGTAGGACTCGTATATAAAGGCGTTCCCAACACCTTTTTGCCTCTACCCGCGGGCCCAACCAAGTTAAGAAAGTGAGGTCATCCATCCATCCATTCATACCTAGCTATCTTAGCAGCATAAAAACGATATCCTTTCCGTCCGTTTCCATTTCCGTTTCCATCAGGCAAAAGGCCACCGGCATAGCAATGTCGTAAAGTACAATTCAATCAAGCAAGCAATAGCAACTGAGCGAGTAACAGTAACAGCAGAAACAACGGGTCCAAGGCATGGGGTGAAACAGGAACAGTAACAGTAACAATAGCAGATGATGGGTAAATAAAAATGAATAGATAATACATGGGAAAAATAGGAAAAGGGGGGGCTTGTGTTGCGAAGGGGATGGGGCGCGCTATTCATATCTCATATCTCATACGTATATGCATGTTTGTGGGAAGTAAAGATATAAGAAAAGTAGGTAGGTAGATAGATTATCTATCCATCTAGCTAGCTCGCGCGGCGTTGTTGATTTGTCTATGGAATGAACCAATTGGTTGAAATCCCCTAAGAAAGTATTAGTATAGTGCATTCACACATTGGTAGTAAAGGAGAGACAAACCTAGCAAGATCAAAGCCAGTATCATCACCGTCGTTGTCATCATCGTCTTCATCCCAGCTATCCTGGTGGCGCTTGATGGCGCTGCTCTCACGCTCGCGCACAGTGTCCCGTCCCAAAGGCGACAGTCCACCGCCGCGACCCCTGAGGGAAGAAGTAGGCGGCTTAGTCGGGCTGCCTAGGTTGGCTGGGGGTGGACTACTGCTTGGGATGGGATTGAGGGTCTTCCAGCGGCTGGACTCTGCGGTGCCAATGGAAGGTTTAAGCGGGCTGATGTCCGGCATTGGTCGGGCAGGAGTGTTGCCTATGTCTGCCAGTTTCCAGAACTGGGCTGGTGAGCTGAGTTGCATGTAGCGTGACGGTACCTGGGCAGTGCTTGGGGGAGCGAGACGAGGCTGTTGGCGTAAGGGAGCGGGAGTGATCATTGACGAAGCGGCGTCGTCGTAGTATGATGAAGAGAGAACGGGAGGAGAGGCGACGGCGTTGTCAGACAGGCCGTATGCCCGTGTTGGTACGTTGTGGCGTGGCCCGTTGGGCAACGGAGACTGTTCTTCAAAGTCGTGTGTACCGGCACCGTTGATGCCCAGGCCGTTGCGGGAGCCTCGGTCCGGTGTGTATGCCTCTATGGGAGCGACTGAGAAAGAGTGATACCCTGGCGAGGCTGTGGTGTGTGTCTGAGGCGATGGCCTGCCTGCGAGGGCGGCTGAGGCATCGATGTTCTTCTCGACGTTGGTGGCTACATGGCCGTTTATGGGCTGGTAGGCGCTGCTGGCTCTGTCCTTGCCGATGGGGGAGGCCGGGGCGGAAGACTGTCCGCTCTTCTTGGCCTGTTTCTTCCAGTACTCCTCGCGGTGTTCGGGGACAATCTGCCACTTCATGCCCTTGCCGGGCTCGTCGGTGCGACGGGGCACCTTCTGGAAGGCCTTGTTGAGGGAGAGGTTGTGCCGGATGGAGTTCTGCCAACCGGACTGCGAGTGCCGGTAGAAGGCGTACTTTTGCATGATGAACTTGTAGATGTTGCTGAGGGACAGTTTCTCCTCCTCGGTCGAGAAGATAGCTTGGGCAATCATGTTTGCGTAGCTGAAGGGCGGCTTGATGTCCTTGGCCGCGTCCTCGCTGTAGTCGATCTCCTCGGTGCTTTCCATCATCAGTCCACGGTTGTACATTGGCGAGACCTTGGACGATGGTTCAATGGTATCTCGCGACAGTGGGCGTTGAGAGGGCGTTGTCTGCCTCTTGGGAGTAACGGTGGCCGCGTTTGCAATCTCCGCTGCTCGTCGGCTACCGTTGGTGGTAGTAGCAGCACCGGTGGAAGTAGCCGCAACAGCTGAAGCCGAAGCCGAAGCAGAGGCCGCAGTTTGTTCTCTACTACTGCTGGGAGCAAATGACATACGACGGGGTTCTCCTGCAGCAGCACTTACACCGGCACCGGCACCGGCAGTGGTCGGATGCGAATGGTAGGATCCATCCCATGCGGTCTCGTCCGCTTCACGGGTGGCATGTACGCCGTTCTGGGCCTGCTGGATGAAGGTTGGGTCGATGACTGCCTTGTCCCGGGGCGTGACGAACATCATCTGGGTATTGGCGATCTCCAGGATGTCACCGCAGGAGATCTGGGTGGCCGTTCCACGCTTGAAGAAGGCGTTGTTGACCCGCACGCCATTGCGTCCGTTTACTCTCACACGCCAGCACGGCGGGTCGTCGCGGTCGTAGTATATCTCAGCGTGCAAGCGGGAGACGAACTTGCCTGGTCCGAGATCGATGTGGACGTCCGGCAGGGCCTGGGCCGCGACGGTGATGGGCGAGGACTGCACATCGAGCCGCTGGTCGCGGTCTGGCGGCCGTCCGATGTTGACGTGCAGCGTCTTGACGTAGTATGTCCAGTCGCGGCCGGCAATCTTAGCGTAGGCCTCGACGCTTTCTTTGTTTTCCTGCTGCGTGCGGGCGTTGGAGTGCAGGGCCATGACGGCGACGGGCTCCCTCGCCACGGCCAGGTTGGCGATGACCGAGTCGATGAGGTCCTGGTTGGCCGCCATCTCGTTGTCGTTGTCGTTGTCATTCTCGTTGTCGTCCTCGTTCTCGTCCGCTGAGGCTGGTTCGACCGTCCTGTCAAAGTCCGGCTGGGACGTGTGCTCGACCTGCATGCTGTTAGATCTTGTATACACCACGCAACCACAACGCAACCACGCAGCAACCATCTTGATGCCGGCGCGCGCGCGCATCACCAGAGAGACGGGGAATACTCGGTACTGACCTTGCGCTTCTTGACTGAACGCCGTGTGGGAGACGAGTCTAGGGCGTCCATGTCGACCGGGTCATCGTGCAGGTCGACTTCTCGCCGCCGAGTGCGACGCTTTGCAACCGAAGGCGCCATCTCCAGCCTCTCTCACTCTGCTTCTCTTCCTGTCCTCTTCTCCTTTTTCTCCTTCTTCTTCTTGTTATCCCTCCGAGCAGCCTGCTGTGTCTTTATTCTTCGCTGGTTGTTGACGAAATGAGCCGTAGATGTCTCGACCTTCGCCGATCGAAGCAAGACGAGCAGAAACGAAACCAAAACAACCCAAGCAACGAGAAAAAAGAAGAAGAGGCCGCTTAGTTACTCTTTTTTTCCTTTTAACTAAGTAACTAAACGCACTTCGTTCCTGCAACCTCTAAAGGGCGGAAAAAAGAAACGAGCAGAAATCCTGGTGAAGTTGAATGTTGAATGTTGAACAGTGAATAGAACAATAAGATAGACCAGTGATAAGAGAGAGAAAAAGAGATCTTCGTCTGTCTTCGTCCTCGTCTTCGCCCTTTGGTAAATAAATAAATAGAAGAAACGGAAAAAGGTAAAAAAATGGCCTTTTTTCGGCTTCTTCTTCTTCTTCGTCTTTCGGTTTTTCGTTCAAGACAGAAAAAATAAGAAAAAAAGAAAAAAAAAGAAAAGAAAAGAAAAAAAAACTCCGTCAAAGTTGGTAAACAGAGAAAAGAGAGAGAGAAAACTCTTTAAACTCTTTAACAGGCTGACTTTTTCCCTCTTCTTCCTCTTTCTTTTCTTCCTCCGGCTGGACGCGACGGTTGATGCTGTATGGACGGCAGATGGTAGATGGTAGACGGTTGGATGGGATGGGATGGACGCTCTGGTCTGGTCTGGTTAACGGTTCTTCGTCTCGACTCTTCTCTTTCTTCTTTCTCTGGCTGTCGACTTTGTCCTTCTTCTTGCCACTCGTCCCTAAGTCTCCAAGTCTCTAACTCAACCAGACTTCGGCTTTCGTCTTGATGTGGGTTTGAGCCGACTGACTCAAGTCAAGTCACTCGCGTCACTCGTCACTCTTGTCTTTGTTGCGTATCCTCGACCGACAGCGGAGGCGAGAGGGACGGTGGATGTTCGTGTCTGTGGTACGACGAGTTACAGCGACTCCCTCTCCCTGCCTCTCGCGTCTGTAAGGCAGATAGTAAGCAGGCTGTGCACTGCAGACGTAGCTGTAGATGTAGATGTAGATGTAGACGCAGCCCTGTCCCGACGCGACTCCAGCCAGCCAGCCAACAGAGTATCACAATAACTATCACCGTATCACGGAATCGAGCCGCACGCAAAGTCAAAGCAAAGCCAAAGAAAAGTCTCTTCCGCGTCTCTGATGTCAACGATGATGTTAGCCGTGGGCTTGCAATGTTTGTTTGTATCCTGACGCAATGCAACGCTCGGTACCTTTTTTACGCATTCAAACGCGTCGACTCGCCCGCCTCCAACTCTCAAACAGCCGATATCGATAACCTCAGCCTATTATCCCTATCGATAAAGGGGGAGTGGGTGGGTGGGTGGTCTGAGGCGAAACACAAGCACAGCCTTATCGATGTACCTTGGTTACTTCCACTTCATAGGGAGAAGGTCGATGGCAAGGGGCCAACCCCGGATTCTCTTTAGCTAGTTAGTTGCTGAAGATGGATCTGGTGGACGTCCTCGCCGTTGATGCGAGAGAAACGTGGAAGTCCACCGGGGGCTTTTGGCCGTCTTGTACATAACTAAGTGAATGGAGCCCAGGGACACCGAACCATGGGTCGGCTTTCTCTCTTGCTCTCCATCTTCTACTCATGTTCTTGTCGCTGAGTTACTTTGGTTGTTGGTATCGGACATACGACCTGTTTAGGCAGTGGTGGCGTAAGTTACGGTATTTTACGATATCAATACACATTTCTACCTTTTACTTACTACTGGCACTCGGAAGGGACCATTTGTGAGAAGAGAAAAGGAAAGATAGTATAAGAAGAGAAGAGACAGAAACACGCCCAGACAGTACTTTCAGCAGATAGAACGATAAAACGGACAGACAGACAGACAGATAGATAAAAAGGAGAAAAAGAAGAAGACGAAAAAAAAAGAAGAAGGGTAGAGTAGAATATACAATGGCTGACTCGACAGCAGCAAGACTCATAGCATCATGAAAGGGTTGTTGAAGGAAGAGAAGGAGAGAAAGAAGAGAAAGACAGTCTACTGGCCCATCTTTTCGTCTCCGTCGGTGTCAGCTCCGTCGTCGACAGCCATCTTGAGCACAGGATACAGGTTTTCTCCGGCACGCTTGGCCTCTTCCTCGGCATCGAGCATGGTCGTTGTGCTTTTGGCAGCGGGCGAGGACGGGGTGCGCTCTCGTGACATCTGATCTTGATCTCGTCTTTCCTCGTGGGCCACGGCAGCGGCGGCGATGGCCTCCATGCCATGCATCTTGATGCTGGGGTAGTCTCCATTAGCGTCAGATGCAGGTGCGGGTGTGGATGCGGATGCAGGTCTAGAGGAAGCTTTATCGGTCTTGGCATCTTCCTCCTTATCGGAGGCTTCCTTCTTGTCTTCGTCGAGGTAGTCGCCGTTGTTGAGACGTTCGAGGACATAGTCACGCAGTCTCTGCAGCAGACGCACGTTCTCGACCCACTGCTGCTCTCCGGCCGGCTGGCGATCTTCATCAGCAGCAGGAGCAGAGGTAGGAGTAGGAGTAGCGGATGAGCTTCTTCTACGGGCAGAGGCTGCGTCTTCGTCAGCCGAGGCACGACGGAGAGCAGGGTCGATGACGCTGGAGGACAGCTTTGGCTCATCGGCAGAAGCAGCATCATCACGCTTGATGGTGGGAGTGGAGAGGTCGATGTCTGGACGAGAACGCTGGAGCATGCCGCCAGTGTAGCGTCGTCGATCATCGTCAAAGACGCTGCTTAGGGTCGACGGAGGAGCGGCACTTGAAACCGTGGTTGAGTATCCGGAAGATGAGAGGCTGTCCTGGCCGGTGGTGGCGGGCAGGGTAGGGTACATCCCAGCCGTGGAAGGGTGATGATGATGGGTTGGAGACATGCCATGGCTAGAGGCAAGCGAGATTGGAGAGCGGCCAGAGGTGTAGGACTGGGCGCTGGAGGGCGGAGTGAGTGCTGGAGTGGATGCATGGGGGGATCTGGAGGCAGCAGCAACAGCAGCAGCCGTGGGCATCATAGAGGCAGAGGTAGCGGCTGCAGTGGTGACAGTGGCGGTGGCATGGGGATGCTGCTGGTGGTGGTGGTGGGACTGGTGATGGGTTGGGGGAGAGTTGGTGGTGCGGTAGCTGAGGGGACCCTGGACGTAGTGGGCACCAGGCTGGGCGACGCCGGCAGCAGCCACGTTCTCATCACTCTCGTAGACGGTGGACTGCATCTGCTCCAGGAACTGGTCAATGTTCATCAGGTCAGCTTTGGTGCGCAGGTTGCCCATGGGGGGCAGGTGGTAGGACTGGGTCGGGATTGGGCCGGCGGACTGGTAGCCACCGTGGCCGCCACCGACGCTGACCATGGCAGGCATGGGCTGGTATTCTGGCACCGCGCCGGCGTGGGTCAGAGGCAGCGGGAGGCCATGGAGGTTGAGCAGTCGCTGGCCCACGGCGGCATAGGAGGTAGGGTCGAACTGACGGCGCTTCAGGTCTCCAAAGAACTCATTCAGGGCATCGTAGCCTCGCTTCTTGTTCTCGTAGGATGCCTGGTGGGCAGCATCGTGGCCAACGGCGTAGTACACGTTGCCGTACGACGGATTGGGCTGCTGCTGGGGGTGCTGGGGCTGGTAGTACTGTGGTGGAGGGTGGCCGTAAGCCTGGGGGACCGGTCCCAGAGACCCCTCAAAGAAATGAGCCGCTATCAACCTGTCAGCATTTTCACCTAGAAATATGTATACAGCCCCAAAAAGAAAAGGAGAATTAACGTACGCTTCCCGTCAGGCCCAAGGCCGACACCAAACATGCCCGAGGGAGGCTGCTGGCGCTGTCCGGCACCCGGCTCCGGCGACCGCACGAGGACGGAGTCGTCCGCGTGAGTCTTGACATGCTTCTTGAGATCCTGGGGCCGCTTGAAGGCCTTGCCGCAGAAATCACACTTGTGCGGTTTCAATGGAACATGGACGCGGATGTGGGAGGTGATGTGGTCGCGCTTGACGGTGGTGGTGCGGCAGTTGGACCATCCGCAGGTCAGGTTGAGGTTGTTGGTGCTCTTGCGTCCGACGTGGCGCTCGCACACATGTTCCTACAGTCTCAATTAGCCAACTGCACCGCCAACACGCAGATAATAATAAAGAGAGAGTCAGTCATACGTAGAGGGCTTCTGGAGTCGGGCAGAGTTCCTGGCAGCCCTGCCACTGGCACTCGAGCGAGCCGGGGGCGCTGGGGCTGTTGGGGGCGACCTGCTGCACTCCTGGAGGCGCAACGGCAGCGGCAGCAGCAGCGGCGTGCTGGAGACTCGTCTGAACGGGGACGCTCTGCACCGTCTGCGTCGTCGATGGCTGCTGCTGCCCCTGTTGCTGCTGTTGTTGTTGCTGTGGTTGCTGCTGCTGAGGCTGTCCCTGCTGGAGGGAGGACGCGGTCTGCATCTGAGGCCGGGACTGCTGGGCCTGCGCCTGCTCTGGCTGCGAGGCCGTCGCCGTCTGCTGTCCCTGTTGCTGTTGCTGAGTCTGGTGCTGCTGTGGTTGATGCTGCTGCTGCTGCTGCTGGGCGAGGGCGGAGTGGTCTTGGTCCTGGGTGGAAGACATGGCTGCCAAGCAAAAGGCTTGTCGTGGTCCTGGGCGAAGACAGCACCAAGAGCGGAAAGTCAAGAGAGGAAGAAGAGAGGAAGAAGTCGAGAGAGAGAAAAGACAGGGCGGGACAGGCAGGTTAAAAAAGAGGAAGACGGGAGAAAGAAGGAGAAGAAGAAGAAAGACGAGACAAGAGACAAGAGACAAGAGACGGGGAGGAAGAGGCAGAGAGGAAGAAGGGGAAAAAGACGGGGGTGGGTGGAAGGGGCTGAGTCGCCGTGCGTGGGCCTTGGCTGGGACTCGAGGAGGTAAAACAAAGTCAAGCAAAGCAGCAAAGACGACGCGGAAAGGCGAGGGAAAAGGGAGAAAGAAGAAAGACGACGGAGGAGGAGGACGGGGGGAAGGCCAAGGGCTGGGCGGGCGGAGGGAGTCAGCAAGACCAGACAAGTCAGAAGAGCGACAAGACGACAAGACGACAAGACAGTAGGAGGACGAGGCAGTGGCAGAGACAAGAGACAAGAGGAGAGGCAAGAGTGAGACGGGAGAAAGGGAAGGCAGTTGGTTAGCTGGACAAGACAGGACGAGGACGGGCCAAGACATGGGTTGAAATAAATAGGGGCAGCGAGAGACCAAGACCCAAGACCCTGCAAAGACCAAGACCAAGGACGGGGACCAAGACAAGGCCAGGCAAGGCGTCCTTTTGCTTCTTCCTCTTTTTTCGTCTTTCATCTTTTTCGTCCTTTTGGTCTTTTTTTCTTTTCTTTTTTGCATGTTTCTTTCCTTCCTTTCTCTTTTCTTTTTCTTCCTTCTTTTCGTCCTTTTCGTCTCTCTCTCTCTCTCTCGCTTTCTCGCTCTTCTCGCTTCCCGTCTCGCGTCTTTTGCTTTTTTCGTGCACGCTTACATAAGACAAGCGTTGCAAAAGATTAAAAAGAAAGTGGTTTAACTCCTCTTGGCGTGTGTTACTCGAGGCCGAAAGAGGACAAGCGCCAAGCCAGAGCGGAGCCAAGGGCGGCCAAGGGCGGCCAAGGACGGGCAAGAGAGCAAAGGCAAAGGGGGGCAGTAAAGTGCCAAGACCCACAGCCAAGACAGAGAGAAGCGAGGGCGCCAAGGAGGGGCCAAGGCAGACTATCCCTGTCTTGGGTCTGGGTGCCGAGGATGCCGAGGTCAGCCGGTGCTTAGTCAGGGGCAGGGGCTCTAAGTAAAGAATAGAGACAAAGATAAGGCAGAGATAAGGAAAGCAGGATAAGGCTGGATAAGATCTCTTGGGGCGAGTCTCAGCCAGTGCTTGGTTTCTCTTCTTTCTTCTTTTCCTCGTATAATAATAATAAACATGCTCCGTTCTCTCCTTATTATTCTGGCTGAAACAGCTTGATCTCTTCTCTTCTGTTCCAGGCAGTCTCGGATAGTCAACTCGGAGACAGTCTCGCGTCTACTCTAGCCAACCGCCAGACAGACAGCTGGGGACAGGGAAGATGGGCAAAAGGAACAAAGTGACGCGTTTCATAGGTTTCGTCCAGGTTGAGATTTACATACTTCAATAAGATAGGATAGATGCAGGGGTTGTAAACAGCCTTTGGATATAAATAGACTCTCTTTCTAGAACAGCATGCTCACATTCAGGTGAAGGGTTATTAGACAAGGGGTTTTGCCTTCGGTATTGGCGCATCGACGAAACCATCGGTTTACCGAGAGTGGCTCACATCTACTCCGTACACTCAACATAGCGGCAATGACTCTCAAGACAGACCAGGAAATATGCAGGCCTAGCTAGTCATCCAACGGGCTCACTATCTTTGTAGAAAAATGTGATATGATAGATGAGCCTACTCATACCACACCAGGAACACAAGGTTATATAAACCCCTGTTTGGTCTAGACTATCTCTCCCATGCTTATCATATCGGTCCATACTTCTTAACAACCGACGACGCCTGTCCGTCTTTGATTGTGTTGTCCAATGGGAGTCACAACCGTAAAGGCAGTTAGCCTGACATCCACCGAAGAATTATGGGTGTCTGCCGGAAGTAATAAATACTTACAACACGACACAGGATTCTGACTTTAAATCCTTAAAGCCTCCCTCACTCCCTGGCTGGACAGCGTCACAAGGGGCAGTGATATACGAGCAGATCACCGCCACTGGCCTCACTGTTCGGTATACAATGCCATTCGATTCGGAACACTTTACTAGCCCCTTCAGCCCGGTGGAAGCCCCTAAGCTGGACGATGTGCCGTAGAGTACTCCGTATAGAGTAGCCATGCGCGTAAGATCGCTCCTGCGCGTCATCAGCCAAGCATAGATCGAAGTTTGCACGCGGCGCGTCATGTCTTGGCAGTTGTCAGCATACATAAACAGTGCCCTTAAGCGCCCTTAAGCGCCCTAATAGGGCCCACTAGTGCGGGGAGACGAGGGCCTGCCGACTTTAAATGGGAGCAGCTGTAAGTGACCAGAAGCAATTGCCTATTACTTATAGCCGTCGGAAAGATGGTTGGGTTTTCATCACTATGTCTAGTACAGGGAAATAGCAAGCAAGCAGCCTCGTTCTCTCATAATAGAGGATGCTGAAAGTGCAATACAGCAGAGATGAAACGTGGCTCGATAAGTCCATAGAGTATGCAAAACAACACCTAGAAGACGAAGACGGGGATGAAGAAGCAAATGGCAGAGAAGGCAAACAAAGAATTAAGAAAAAGAAAACCAAACCTGATATATGAAATGGAATTAACTATGCCTAAACCAGGAGAATATCTGTTTACACTTGAGTATCTATATGCTGCGTAACTTTTTATAGAAACCTTGCTCTGTCATATGTTTGCGGCGCATGAAAATATACATAATGGTGAGAATGTACACGCTTGAAGAGAGCATGAATCAATGTATACGCATTCGTGTTTTTCAAAGGGTATCAAGTGTCTAACGCAGAATTGCAGGGGAAAAGGATTAAGACAATTATATTCTGTCTCTTAGGGTATGTGCAGTAGTATTAAACTGGAGACCAATCTCAAAAAAAAGAACGCATGCTATAAAAATGGGTGTCATACCATAGAATCATTAGTCCTTGTTACTAACATTGTTGTTGATGCTGCTATCACCACTGTTCGAATTCCAGGTTCCCCATTGACTCCAATCATTCGAAGACGTGCCCATATTTCCATCTCCATTTATATCTCCGCTAATGTTGGTGCTTGCGCCGCCGAATTGATCTAGTAAGTTATCAAATTTCATATCCGTGTCTAGGGCCATATCTAGGCCAGCACCAAGGCCCATTACGAAGTCGTCTGATGTGGTCTGGAAAGGAGGATCAGCTATAGGGTACTGGTATGTATTATTCGGGGCTCCTTGTGCAGCAAGGTTTTGCCAGATGAAGGAGTGGCCGGGTATTGTGACAAGGTCGGGGTTGCCCATGAATGGGTAGTTATTTGTACTTTGTTGAGGTCCTGATGTCGGACTCTGTGTATTCCCTGGGAAGGTGGTAGATACTGCTTTGAGATGGGGAGGTAGACTGTTTGTTGACGCTGGGTCATGCGAGGACGTCGGAGTGACGATAGACAATCCCGGGGTATTTGCAAAGGAAGGTGAGGAGGATGAGTTGGATTTATTCAAGCCATCACCTTCCAGCACAGACTGAATGGATGCATTGGGAGAGAACATATACTGGCCCTGGCTACCATTGTTGTGATTGTCCTGTTTGAAGTGGTCATCCTCTAGGGTTGACATTGGTTGGTTGGGATAGGCCAATGGGTCATCGGAAGGAAACATCATGGGCATAAGGTCCGGTAGGGGCGCCAGGCTATCGAACGGCGGTGAAAATGATATATCTTGCTTGTTTGAAGGTTGCGATTGCTGGTTCCCAATACCTCCTACTGTAGGTAAAGAAGGGGATGACAGGTGACTTTGTTCGTCATCGACCAAAGATGACACCTGGGATGTAGATGGAGATGGGCCAAATAAGCCCTGCATAGCAGCCGTCCATTTAAACGGGCCATTGGGGGTGCTATTTGCATTTTCCACTGGCGTATCACCAGCTTGAGAATTTTGGCCTGGAGCGTCTCTGCTTGGTGTGATGTGTAAAGGAAAGGTGCTTGCCCGTTGTGGAAGAGTTGCATTGAACTCCAAGGGTATTTTAGTCTGCAGGGGTGGCGTCTTGTTCCCATTTCCTGAAGAACTGTTCGAACAAATAGGAGTGGGTGTTTGGGTACGCTTCCGGTTGATTTGCGAAGATGAAAGAGCTTGCCTATTTCGAAGTCTCTCCGGAAGGTATTTAAACATAGACTAGTACACGTTAGTCCGCTTGCAACCACCGTCGATGCGTACTTAAAGGGGGGCTTACATTCAAACTCTGGGCACATCGATCTGCAGCCATACTCTTCTTTGCGAGACCAGCTAACACATTTTTACCCTCTAACGCATCTTTCAGAATCCCATCCTTGGCCGCCGCAGATTCTGGGTTTTCGAGGATAAAGAAGAGGAGCGTTAAGATAGCAAAATAAGTCGTATACATCGTAAACCAGTACGATCCGTTGAGAAGCTGTTTCTTTTTCATACCAGCAGTGATATGAACAACATTTCGCGCTACACTAACACAAGCAGCAGCACAAGCATAAGAGCGTTTGTCAATTTCTTGGCCCTTGGAGCCGCCTGTGACATAGTGTAAGAAAGGACGGTACATAACCATCTGAACGTGAGCGTAGCATATACGAAGGAGTTGTCTCATTCTAAGGTTTATCATCAGAATACGCAGGCTCAATTCTTAAACAGATTGTCACTTACCGCTCAACCTCAATTGCCGCCTCCCCGCCTGGCCTGTAGGCGTCGGGAAGTGCCTCCATCCATTTCTGAAGATCTCGTTCAAGTTCCCGGATTTTGGAATGGCTTACCATATAGGTGTGGTTATCGCCATGTGTTGTGACTTTGACAGGATATATATACTTCATCACTTTCAGCATAATATGGCCCAACCTCATGTGTGCATTTGCACCCTCCATTAGGCAAATGTAATTGGCTGGCATAGGCAAGATGCCGTCCTTTGTGATAAATTCATCATCAACGGCGATAGGATAGGTTTGGTCGATGTCATCCTCACTTAGCATTGATGGGAGACCCAGGATGGTGCTAACATGTACATCCATCTTTCGGACGACCCAGAAAATTCGCTTGCGAGTTTCAAGCTCAATGGGGTTGAACTTGACAGAGACCGAACGGTGGAGGCCTAGGCGAACGGCAGCACGAAGTGCAATTCCAATGTATGAATAACAGGTTCTAATATTGGCAGAAGCCTGTAGGAAGAGAATCATGAAGCAGACAGCTTGAAGAGAGGTCAAGTCACGACACTCGGTAATATCAAGCAACTGTCGACCAGCTCTAAAATATTGGAAACTACTCTGGGCGTTAGCTTTTAAACTAAAAGGGTCAGAAAGATTCAATCGGAGGAATTACCCTTGATCCACGGCACTTTCGTAGCCAGATTTCTCCAAAGTGCAGTCACCGGGTCCTCGGAAAAGACATCCGACAGCAAGCGCAAGATATAGAAGGGGCAAGAAGCTGTTCTCCTCATTTGAGAACTGTTCTAGCGGAGTATCGTATATTCGGTCGAACATTGCCCAAAAGGTTGGTTTATGCAAGAAGCGCATTATACAGCAGGCGTCTTCAAGTGCATGGGTGCAAAATTTCCGTGCCTCCTTCTTCGATGGTAAGTCATGCACAGGAGACAAATGTGTGTCGATAGGAGACTCAGAAGTTGATTTCATTTTCTCAAGCCTGAGGGGCAAACGGGGCAACTTCTGCGGCAGCTGCCCTTCTAAAGCAATATTTCCAATTTGCTTTCGCACCCTTCTCACAAAGATAAGCCCCGAGGAATGGCCATGGTAATCCCAGTGTCCTTCGTCGTCCAGGTCAAGGGAGCCTGTATTATCCACCATTGACTCGAGGAGTGATTCGTCACACTGTTCCGAGACTACCGGTAACTTCGGCTCAGGCTTTTTAGGAGGATCTGGCGTTTTATTTTTGAGGAGGGAAAGTATTTCTTCAACACAACATCCGTCATAGCGCGGGTCGTCCAGGTCAATCTCAGGTACGAGTGCTCTCAGGAGCCTCTCGGCTTTCTGGAGTCGACATTCGAGGGCTTCGATATATTGAGGGGCAGGATTTCTTCGTCGGTTTGACGGTTTGTCGTATGTGCATTCTAGGTTCAGGACACAGTTAGCTACCCTCTTTTTGGCACAGGATCAATCGGAATACATAGTATGTACTCAGGGGGGTTCATACCATAACTATAGACAGTGCAGTGGGTACAAGGTTGCTTGCCGTCGCATTTTATCTTCTTACGACGGCACTCATCGCAGGCTCTTGTGACCCTTCTTCTTTTTTGGACTGTGATGCCTAGCGAAGACTGGTGTGGGTCGGTAGCAGGTGTTCCGTCTGCCGTTTCGGGTTCTTGCGTTGCATCTGGTGTTTGGCCATGAGCATCCTGAGAATTGTCAACTTCAACTCCCGTTGATGTTGGGGTTTGCTCATGAATTTTGTGCTCGTCCTGCGGCGACTGCATGATAGTATCTTCAGAGACCATTGTGTTCGAATGACCCGCGAAGCACCCACAAGTTCATTGGGGGCGGCCAGTGTTTGAATGAGGGTTTATATCGTCGTCTTCACTACTACTCGTGGTGTCGAGCAGGAACATGTCCAGGCGCCAGGGTGTATTCCTGGAGCTCAATACTAACAACGCATACCAGGTTAGCACAAATAGACATACGGCGGTTATTAACTCCACAGCCACGAGTATTTTCTATGTATTGTTTTTTTCTTTTGGCCAGCCTCATTCAATCATTCGAGCGGATAGATGCTCATTCGACTTCCTTCCCCCTCTCTGACTGGAAGAGAGTTGGCTTACCAATGATAAAGGTTTCCCCCGCTGAGCTGCTATCAGATCGACAAGCAAATGCAAGCAGACAGCCAACTCGTTGGTCCGTACCCTCGATATCGTTGGGCGATGAGGAGAAAGAATGAAGGAGCGTGCAGCCGCAAGGATGGTTGACAGATACGACCAACAGTTGAGTGGGAGTTTTATCAGATGGAAATGACTCTTTGATGTTTCAACCAACACTAGGCTTGCTCGGGTTCCAGACAAAAAGTTTGAAAAAGCGCGACCCACAGCGCAAAGCATGTACTTCACCCGTTGATAGGTGGATTCAAGCTTTCGTACATCGAGTCTTGCAACGAGGTGAAAAGGAAAGGTGTGCGCGATCACCGGATTGAATCAGCCCTTGCACATCGGACAAGCCCTAGCCAACAAGTAAGCAGCAAGCACGATGCGTGCAGGCAGGCTTGGAACAACCAGGGGTGCGCACGCTGCACCTTATAAGAGCGAGACCGCAGCTTCCTAGTTACTCCGATTGATTGTCAATCTTAACTCCGACGACTGGAACCGAGGGTGTGTAGATGCATCTCGCTCAGACAGTATTCTCTCATGCAGCCACAGCGAGGAGAAGAGCGCGGAGGAACGAGGCAGACGTCGTACAGCCGTGCCAACTCAGGCCACAGAGATGCCGCAGCGCCCTTGGTTCTTCTGCTACTCCTGCTTCTCCTCCCATGTCGTTGCTTTGCTGCACATCGCAATTGAATCCCCGAGCTGCATCTGCTGACTAACAATCCATCATTCACATGACTTGTTTTCTTATCCTTGATTGGTCCGTCGGCCGGAATGGGATTTTGCTTTGGATTAGATAAGCAATTCTAGAATTAGAAACGTTAGCTAAGACTTTTTATCCTGGTAACTCCTGATGCGGAAACTTAGACGTCATTCGACAGTTTGACAGCCAGGCAAGTATAATCCTATCGTGATATACTCCGTATATATAAGATGTTATACTCCGCACATATTGCGCGGCGTGAAGGCAGCCCGAATCCTGTTCTCCCAGGACGGGAAGATGGTCCAAACCTGAGGTGTCATAATCGATGCTGCATGCTCATGTTCCAGGCAAGCCCCTGCAAGCACAACGAACATCTAAATAGGAAAGTCTAACCTGAAAAGCATCGGTGTGCTGGCTGGGAGTGTGTTTGGAGTCATGGGTTCGGGACTGCTTTTGCTCGCCATTGAGATTCTGGATGCTATCGGCCGGGCTTGGGTCCGGCCAGGGACTGGCCAGGGTTCAGGTCGTTTTGCGCCTGGGTTGGCGTAAGTTACCGACGTGCTGCATGGAAGATAGGAAAGAAAGCATAGAGGCCCAAGTGTTTTCTTGCTGCTGTCAGTTGAGCGCCGTCGCTCACTATCCCTGACCATACTATTCCGTGCGCTCATCTTATTTAATTTGAGTCTCAGCCCTGGCCCGTTCCTCGCCGCACTTGACACTTCGTCCGCTGGGGAACCATGGATGATGGAACCGAAGAAAACGACAAGCTTTGCGGCTGTCCAGCGCTACACACCACTCCCCGCCACATGGGACCCGATAACGGAGTAAGCACGCGGAATTGTATACGGGATAAGTAGATATCGGGATGACATTTTTATTCCGTGTAACGCTCGCGTGGTGCATATATCTCGTTAGTTACCCTGAATAAAGTGTCCCGTAGCTGCAGGCTTGCCATAGATACTTTTCCCTAGGAAGAAGAAATGTTATTCTTGCCCTTAATTAAGTACACACTCGATTGACTCTTACCACTTTCTAGGAATCCTAGAGAATTTTCATATTAGCCTGTCTTCGCTAACTAGTCGTCTTCTTGGTTTACAAGTAACTAGCGAGATGTCGTCGTCTTCGTTAGAGAACGAAGATATCAGCCTCTTTCTGCCGCCTTTCACCGCATTGCCCGAACAGGAAATGGGGAAAGCAACTCCAAGTCAACTTCTAAATATCAAGGATATAAACAATGAAAAGCCATAAATGCTGCGCTTTTCTCTCACATAAGAACAGATACTTAGCTATCCGTAAGTATACGTGGAATAGGATCCACAAGCATGCAGGCTTAGTCAAACATACAAAGGCTAAAATAGTTAAAGTGAAAAAAAAAAGCATGGATGAGCCGCCAACACCAACATCGAACCCAGAAACACCAACAGCACCAGGCTCACCTCAGCAATCGCAACAATATCGTGATCCAAGGAGAGCTCCTGTCCATTCAATTGAGCCCAGTTACGGCCCCAGAGAAATTGATCCCTCCAACTTAACTCCACTCCTCCGGGACGGACCGTTTTCTTGCGCTGCACCGGGGCCCTCACAATGCTCTGATAGCTCCTCTCGCCCTCACCCTCACCCTCACTCTCACCTTCGCACCCCATCCTCTCCACTAGGGACTCCGGTTCCCTCCTCTGGCATAGGCGCGCCAAATAATCATTTCCCTTCTGAGTCGCCTCGCCTGTTTGAACCAGAACCTCTTTGGCATCGCAGAGGAAGAACTCCACAGGTTGACGAGTCTCGCCATGTCCCGTACTCTCCAAACATTTCAACCCAGCTAGCTCTGTCAAGGCCTATCCGTATTAACACCCTTCCAACCTCCACGTCGGCTACTTTACCTGCTATCAGAACGGCCGAACCAATACGCTCTCTCCCTTCTCTCTCAACCGTCACGTCTGCCGTTCCAGCAACGCAAAACACCCTCGACCTCGCCAACACCCCGCATCAGCGCGAAAGCGCGACTTATAACGCAATGGCCTTTAACAATCCGGCTCCAGCTCCTGTGAATGCAGTTTCTGGTACTAATATTGTTGCTCAGATTCCGAGTCCCTCGACTGTTGAGAATTTCTGCCCTGACGCGCGTCATATAATGTCAACCAGTCCGGAGTCAATAAAGTACTGGGAGGAAATATTGGACTGCTGCAATGCCGACACACGCATAACTGTGCCGCACATTGGGAAAAGAGATATATTTGTGGTGGGAAATGTCACTGTCAAGAGTGATCATCTTGATCCAGGTGGGGGGGCTGGCTATCATCTGGTAGACGCGAACGAGGTCGCTGCAGTGAAACTGGTCAGAGATGCGATCCCGGATATTCAAATACCGCAAACCTATTTCAGCTCAAAACTCAGAGGCCACGATATTTTGATTCAGTCTCGCATTCCCGGACAGCCTCTGGATTCTATCTGGCCACGGCTCACAACTGAGCAAAAGGAATCCTTTAAAAGTCAAGCCCGCGACATAATTATAAGGTTACGTCGGATAGCACCTGATACCTTAAAATACCCCCGATACTTTGTCGCAGGCTCAGAAAAGGAGAGTCAACGGAGGCTATCAGCAGAGGAGGTCCACAGCCTCTCGCCTACTGATACCTGCGATGACCTCGGCGTGGCCCATAATGATATGGTTATGTCCAATATCATTGTAGACAATGATAAAATAACTGGTCTGATCGGGTGGTCTAATGCTGGTTACTTCAATTGGAGAACCGTGAGCAGAATCCATGCAAAAGTTAGATGCATAGATTCCGAGACAAATGCACCCATCCCGGAGTGTCATGAAACAAAGGTCCAATGGCATGACCTCTATGAACATCCACAAATACCAAAACGGCTAGAAAATAATGAAGGTGCTACTCCTAAAGTGTCTACGCCGACGATGGATCTGAATCCGATGATTCCATCCGAAGAGGGCTCGTCACAGACACCTGCTCTCACTCCCAAAAAGGTGGCAGATATGAAACGAAGCTCCGTATCGCGGGCTTCTTCGGTTGACCGTTCATCACCAGCTCCATCAGTAAATTCTCAACCAACCACAAAAAAGAAAGGCTCTACTGCCGCTGCTATCAAAAAAGGGACAGCCAAACGAGCACCGGCAGCGAACAAGAAACGAAAAATAAATGAGCTTGGAGATGTGGAAGATGTATCTTCTGCAAAAGCTTCTCCACTAAGCAAGTCGTCAGCTCAGAGGAATAAAAAACAGGACTCTCAATCAGCTGCTGGTTCACCCGCTCCTGAGCAAAAGGGACCTAAGAAGGCGCGTTTACGGCGTGGCAAGTTAAACTCTGACGACGATGATGAGGACAATGATGAATCTGCCTTGTTTTGCATCTGTCGTAAACCAGATAACCATACCTGGATGATTGCATGCGATGGAGGTTGCGAAGATTGGTTCCATGGCAGATGTATGAAAATTGATCCAAAAGACGCGGATTTGATTGATAAGTATATTTGTGAGTCCTCCCGAGATATATATAAAGTCACCCCCTAGTCACCCCCTTGATAACCCAAGCTAACTGGCTTTCAGGCCCAACTTGTGAAACCAAAAGCCCTCTACGCACAACCTGGAAGCCTATGTGTCGTCTTCGGGAATGTCGCCAGCCAGCTCGAGTTGATACAAAACCACCAAGCAAATATTGTTGTGACCAACATGGAATAGACTATATGAAACAAGCAATGTCTCGTGGCTCAAGGCAACCTAGGCCCAGTACTAATGAACAGGGCAGTCAAAACGAGGCCAGCAGAGGCGGAATACTAAACCTGGGAGACCTCAAGTCCGTCGTTTCTAAGGTAGGCTCGGCCGACCAATTTCGGAAGCTTGGGGCCAGTCCGCTATCAGCTCAGCAGGAGGAAGTTCAAGCTCGACTTTCAGATGCTATGGCTGCTCCCGGCCCGAGCCAGAACAGTCCACAGTCCAAAGACGTAGATTTTGAATCGGAGGCTGATAAAGTTGCATTCTCATCCAGCGAACGCCAACGACTTAACCAGCTTCGAATGGAGAAATTGAAGCTCGACAACCGCAAGGAGATGCTCCAAGCCCGAGATAACTTCATCATTATTGCTAAACAAAGAGTTAAGCACGCATTTGACCGCCTCAAAGCTCATGGATCCATTGGCAATTTACAACTCAAGGACCTCTGTGGCTTTGATAACCGATTCTCTCTCTCTGACGAAGAATTCGATGAATGGCGCAAATCTGACAAGGGTGCTCTATTGCTTGCTGAAATTACCAACCAAGACAATTCCGGAGAAGCTAGCACTCAATTGAAAAATGCGGTCGATGCTGAAACAATTGAAGAGCTTCTCCAGACACTATGCTTGAAAAAGCGCTGCGAGCGCCATAAACAGTGGACTAAAGTTATGCAACAGGAAGTGTTATTTGAACAATCAATTTTGAAGGAACAGTCCGATAAATGTCACAGGGATGCTGAGGAGCTAGTCAGAAAAGCCGTTCTTAGGATGTTCAGCAGCGAGAACTAAGAGTCTTTTTTCACTCAAATGCTGAGTCCCAGTCCAACTTGCAGCATCCAGACACGGATATCCGACAATAGACCTTTGAATCTTCTTATTCCGATACCCAGCTACACTTTATTTCCTGTCACATCTTTCTTAGGAACAGAATACCCTACCTACCTTTACCCTGCATTACTAATCCTACTATGGTGTTTCGGTTCTCCCCCCTTTTTCCTTTGCACTTGCGCGATTCTAATGGATTGACAAACAAAATCATACCAACTGGACTCTGGCGTTCTATCTATATTTTCTTTCTACCCTATTATTTTTAGGAATCCAGTGACATGGGGTTTCTACTTGCGAGTACTGTTCAATATTCAAGTCAAAATGTATTTTATACCATCCTTTTATCTTTATGTACGGTTACATGGTTCCTTTTTGCGTGGCACGCTCCAAGGTGCATGGTTAGGGAGTCAGCGACTTGCGTCAGTCTTCTATTTCGTTTCATCGACCAGGTAATAAAAGGTGTATATGGCAACACGGTTAGAAAACATCCCAACGCCCTAGATTATCTCCGTTCCTATCTTTAATTACTTCGACCACTCGCTCATTATCTACACTAGAGATGGCCAAATGGATATCAATGCCCTCGTCGATTTCATCAGCGAAAATGGACAATTGCAAGCTAGACAGGTATGGAGAACCGCTAATCAGCCGACGGTCATCAGGCGCCTCGAAAACAGACTCTACTGGAAAATCCATATCTTTAAGCATATATGGGGTGGTTAGCGGGGTTTCAATTGGCGTTCGGCCAGCACGGACCTGGGATCGGAGGTCTTCTGTCGGCATTTGTATTGCCTTTGGCGCCTGTGGTCGTAGTGGTATAGAGTTGGCGATAATAACTGCGAACAGGGACTCATATGTCCTACAAAGTAGAGTGAGAGTGCGGAGCAAGGAGCATAGTTGTTCTCCCGCAGCGTCTGTGTCGGACGTGTGAATGGTTTCCTGTATGGCTACATCCATTCCTTCGATAAGGAGCAAAATAGGCGGTTCGATGGGACCACCCCCCCGTTGATTGTTTGCCGATTGCATCGTATGGTTTTGGTCACCAGTTTGTTTAGTAGTGGGCAAATCTCTCTCCTTGCTCGGTTCCTGTTCTTTTTGTTCGATTTTGAAGAGGAGATCTGATACTTGGTCGACAGCACTGAGTATCTGGCTAAATTTTGATGCATGAAATATGTTGACAGTGCTTAGGATGGCCTCCACTTCCTCGATGGAGAGACCTGGCATCTTTTCTCGAATAAGCCCACGAAGTACTACAGGTGATAACGGACGGCATCCTTCAAATTGGATAATGAACGCCCCTGGCCTGTTTGTAGTTGTGTTTCGTGTAATTGTAGAAATCAGCAGGTGCAATGACAACTACAGAGTGTTAGCAATATGAAATCAGTCTTCGTGGATAGAGGTATACATACTTCGTCAACCCATTCCTGAACACATTCTTTACCGTTTGATGTCCTTTTTCCTGGATCTATGCTGAGTATCAGGGAAGAGATCCCCAGTACCCGGCCTGTCATCACGATAGCTGCCGGGGGTTTCTCTGATGCCTCATCACCGAAAATATCAGCTGCCAGCCGCCATCCATCCTCATCCTCCGAGCTTGATGTACTTCTGTCATCATCTTCGGATTCAGGAGGAAGAAGTGATGATGCCAGGATAGGCCTTGCAGCCACAGCAGATGATGTATCCATATAGCTGAAAAGGTATCCAGTTGTTGTTCAGAGCGTTGCCGTCTCTTTAGCTGTCGTTATTGTCATAGTATGTCCCTAAACTTCTCTTCTATAGATTATACTCAAGCTTAACAGGGGTATTTTATGAAGTATGGCTATTCTGCATAATCTTGCTCTCACTCGCTGTATGTTTTTGCAAGTCGACGTTGACGATGCTGCTGCAGTAGTTCACACTTGAACACTAATAACACAGAACTAAAGATAAATAACTATTTAACTAGGACGGTTGAATATCACCAACGTCAGGCTGCCACGTCCATGGAGACAACTGCTCACCCTTGAACGCAAGATTTAGAGACGTAACCCGGCAAAGGCTCATCCGAACAAAAAGCCTATCAGACTCAACTGTCTGCTTCCTTCAAGCTTATGCAGCTCCCTAAATTACCCCACAGTGGCCGGTTAAGGATATAAAGAGCCGGCGGATACGAGCTCCCCTCCAGATATCTAGAAACGCATATTGACCATTCTATCTAAGAAAGCCATCTGGGTACTCATCCGGATACTCTGATCCTCTCAGAAGACTAAAGAATCCACATATATATCCCTTAAACCTGTAAAAAATGAGCCCTGGCGCCGTTGCCCAACCTGGCCCAGCTGCTGCAGCCAGCGAGGACCTCAAGACCAAACAAGAGCAGGAGAAGCAGCATATTCATAGCGATGAACGAGGCCTTAAGGCCCTTAGCCACGGAGACACCTCTATCCCCGGTACCCTTCTATCTTCCCTTGCCTCTCTCCCACCAATACCATACCATACCTGATTGGAGACGGCGTTTCTATATACTAAGCCTATGTATAACCAGGAATACCCAGCTTCACATCCCACGAGCTCAAACGCCAATGGCAACTAGAGCATATGGCAGGCGCATTCCGCATCTGGGCTCGACAAGGCTACGTCGAAGGTCTATCAGGCCACATCAGCGTCCGCGACCCCGAATTCACCGACGCATTCTGGACAAACCCTCTAGCCGTACACTTCGGCCTACTCAAAGCCAGCGACATGATACTGCTTCGTCTCGACGGCGAAGTGATAGGCGGCAACCGATCACGACCCGCCAACGCAGCTGGGTTCCTGATCCATGCAGCGGTGCATAAAGCCCGGCCGGACGTTCATGCCATTTGCCATGCGCATACGATGTACGGCAAGACATGGTCGTCGTTTGCTAGGCCGCTGGAAATGCTGAATCAGGATGTTTGTAAGTTCTACAAGGCGCATAGCGTGTACTCTTCGTATGGAGGGGTGGTGCTAGCGGAAGAAGAAGGGGATTTGATTGCAAAGGCGTTGGGGGATGGTAAGGCTGCTATACTTATGAATCATGGCTTGTTGAGTGTTGGAGGCACGGTGGATGAGGCAGCGTATTTGTTTGGGGTGTTGGAGAGGAGCTGTCAGTCACAGTTGCTGGCTGAGGCGGCGGCTGCTAATGGGATTGAGAAGGTGTATATTTCGGATGAGCAGGCTGCGTATAATTTTGGTGTGGAGAGTGATCCGGAAGTGCTTTATTGTGAGTTCCAGCCGGATTACGAGTATGAGGATGCCATGTGTGGAGGGGCTTTTAAGAAATGAGGCTTTTCATAGTCTATATTTCGGGTATCATAGCTATCTTGCGATAGTCTTGAATCGAGACCAAATACATAATGAAATATGCGATTGGAATACTAGTATCATGAATCTATCTTATGTCCCACACCCTATGTTCTGGTTAGTACTTAGTTACATAAAAGGGGTAAAAAGGGGTAACTCAAAAAAGGGGTGGAAGGAGGTCACTAGCAAAACTATCTTTATATCACCCACCATGCTCGAATAACTAATAGACCATGCAGAACTTTTAACAGAATGACAGTAAGGAATGAAGAAAAAGATAGAAAAAAGAGAAGAAGAAGAAAAACCTAAATCTTATAATATAATCCATCCATGAGAATGATGTTTTTTCTTGCCCATTTCCTCCCGCCGAGTCACTTTTGAAATGGAACGAAAAAAGAAATCTAGAATATTGCGTACAACTAACTGACAGACACAGAGGGATGGATGGATAGCGGGGATAGATGGGTCACGGGATAGACATTAACATAGATAGTGATGAGATAGTGATAATTAAGAATATCTTTCATAGAGATAGACTTATGTAGGGGTGAATAAATGCATAGATGGTTCAGCGGCTAATAAGGAGGCGGACCGATCCCCCTTCTACCTGATGTAGATCTGCTGGGCGCAAGGAGTCCCTTTAATCCATCATTTGACGGCACGGGAGGGACAGTGTCCGCGTCAGGAGCAGTAGGAGTTGCAATACCGCCAAGTAGCTTGTCAACCTCCGCCCTTCGGCTTTGGCTGACGGATCGAAGCAAGATTGGGTTCTGGGTTAGACTTGGGTCCCATGCTTCGACGGGGGTGTCTGCTGCGCTCCTGCTATGTTTGCGAGACCGGGTTGATGCTTGTGGTGAAGTAGCGCGGCGAGAAGTAGATGGAGTTCTGCTTTTGGAACGTTGGCGGGAACGAGAGTTGGAGCGTGATTGGCGTGCTGACGAGGATCTTGAAGGCTCTTTGCGGGATTGGGGGTTCTGGGGTAGTGGTGGGACGGGGGGTATGGATTTGTCTTTGCCCTGGTCAATGAAGGCGTGGGGCTGGGAATGAGACTGTTGGACCTTTTCGAGGACTGCGTCTGCGTGACCGCCTGGACCAACGCTGCTGAAGCCTGCATCGGAGGTGGAGAATGTATCTGTGACCATGCTTTCGGCGCTAGAAGCATCGTCGCTGCCTAGTCGTGAGTGACCCCTTAGCGGGCTTGGGTGGCGGACGTTGGAATTGTTCATGACCGAGAGGACACGACGGAGCTCGTTGACGCGGACTGTTGAGTCCTTGCTTGATGAAGCGGTTGTCGGGGAGCGAGGGTGAGGCGTCTCGGTCAGACTCTGACGGCGGTCCTTGCGGCTTTCAGCACGGGTGCCTGGAGCTGTAGTATTTGCGGTGGTAGCTGCAGCAGCAGAGGCAGAGACAGGACGGTGCCATCTATGGCCCTGGCCATGAGACGAGTCCGTGCCTGTAGGGGAGCCAGCGGTACCGTTCTTTCCGCCGGACGTGAGGTTCAGAAGGTTACGGGCAGGGACGGAGCCATTCTTCGAGCCACTGATGGAAGACGACTGGGTCCGTTCTTGTTCAATAGAGGCCAGACAAGCCTCTCTGGACCAGGGAGAGAGCATTTGCTCCTTGACGTATGACGGTAGTTGAGTTGTGGGTAGCTGGCGGGCTGGCTGGAAGGATAATGTAGCTGCGAGTCCCTGGGCAGCTGTACTGGGAGAACTTGCTGGGCTGGAAGCTGGGGAGAGGAAGGACTGGTTATATGCGGATTCAATCTGGGAAACCAGTTCGACGGTAGAGGTAAAAGGGGTATAGGCAGCCTTGTTTGACTGGGCAGCGGGATCAGTGTTGGTATCACTTGTGTTGAGTGGCTGGTCGGTCAGGATGCGGATTGCAGGGAGAGGAGGCAGTTGGACCTTCGAGAGCCAGAGGCCGTTCTTCCTGCGCCTGACGACCTCGTTGACGATCTCTCTGCCTACCCTTGTGCCTTCGAGGGTGAATCGCTCGACGACGGCTGAGAAGTAGCCGTGGACGAGACTGCCTGCCTTCAAGGGGGAGGAAGAAGTAGATGGATCGAGATAGTGAGACTGTAGCTTCATGATGACTGGCAGTCCGTACCTGGTTGCATTGACGCCCAGATTCTCTACCAGATGAACCATGAGGAGGTGGAGAGCAGGATGTGAT